GTATTTCACATGGGACGTTTTCTATGAGATGCAAGAAAGAAAAAGAGAAGAGTATGGTGGTGTTCTTTTCTTAAGATAAATATTAATTTTTTTACGTAAAACGAGGTGTTTTTAATGTAAGATTGATTGAGTTTTAATTATTATAAACTTAAAAAATAGATTAATATGATATTTTAGAGCGACTTTCATATAAAAAGTTTTCGCACGAAACAGCAGTTTGAAAAGCGTGCCACGAAAATCTTAATCTTCAACACAAAATGCGTACTCTCTCCCACTAAAAATAGTATTAGATATTTTGTAGTATTACGAATTAGAAAGCACTAGGGATTATCCTATCCAATCTGATACTAGGTTTTTATACTTTTTGTACAGAGAGTACTAGTGGTGATCAGAAATGATGTCTGGGAGTGATGATCTGATCAAGCCAAACTAGACAGTACTATTAGCACTAGAAAAGGCTTTAGGCAGCCCAATGCGTGCAGGCAAGGTGCAAACTAAGCTTTATTACGAGTGGTAGCTGGGCCAACCAAAACACCAACAAAAAAAGCCAGCTCGGCCCGAATTCCGAGGCGATCCCCCCACCAATCCGCGTGCCGGCCGGAGGAGCTCGCCTGTCGCCTCCAAATTCAGGCCGCCGCCGGCCCACTGCCCGGCCGTCGTCGTCCTCCTCGGAATCCCCAGTTACATATATCCTTCTCCATTTCCATACGTACTCCTACTACTGTTGCTGCCACTATTTGTAGTAGAAGAAGAAGTATTCTGATGCTCTCCAATGGCGGCAGCCACTGCATGGCTGGGTCAGTGAGACAGTGGCACGAAATCTAAAGCACATTTTTGGTTCTGGAGTCCATTCACAAGGAGGGCTATCTTTGGTCTTTAGCTGGCGTTGCTGTTTTTGGGACTTGTTGAGAGTATAGCGTAGCTCAGCCCCTTCCCGCTGCTTGGAGTTTGTATTTAGCCGCTGTAGTTTTCTAAGCTTCAGCTTTTTATTTTGCCTTTTCTCTCTTTCTCTGACATAAGCCGGTCTAGCTGATTGCGTTGTGTAACTATAACTTTTTTTTAGTGTAATTTTTTTACGCGTTCACGGAAAAATAAAGCACATTTTATTTTTCATTACATGTACAGATGCTGTACTGTAGGATACACTCCTCTTTAACAATCTGTGCTGGTAGTTGGTTCCAAATTCTGATGCTTTCTTTTCTGTTCTGAAGACTGAAGAGTAGTACTATAGCTGCAGCTGCTGCTGCTGCCTTTGCTCGCATCTTTTGATCTTTCCTTCCAGGCTCTGCTTTTGTTGCCATCTCACAATCTCTTCCTTTTCCATTCTCTCTCTTTTTTTATATTACTTGTGTATCTTTTGAATATTCCCATCCCATCTGCTGCCCTCTAGCATTTGCTCCCTCTTCCCTCTCGAATCTCTCTCTGTGTGTGTCAAAAAATGCAAAAGTTGGTGCCTTTCTCGTTGGCCTTTTGCAACCTGGCCTGCTTCTGAAATGCAAGTGTATGCCAACTTTTGCTTCGTTTTTACCAGCCCATATCTAATTTACTTACCGTGAAAGGAGTTGAAGCATATGCATGCACTTGCTCCCCGTTTACCGATAGATGACGGATGCCTCTTGTCTTACCTGACATCGACGCTTTCGCTAACCGCTCCAATTCTCTGTCTAAGCAACGGCCATTATGTACTACAGTACTACTTCAATTAGTTACTTTTCCTGACTGTTTACCTCTGGTTATCCATATCTGAAAGCGACAATCAGAGTGTGATAATCTGGGGAGCAGTAAGCAAACCTCGTTAAACTACAGTATCCACGGAGAAGCTGAAGTGCAGAACCATCCATCCAATCCAACTACCCCAAGGCATTGACACACAATTGTCTTGTAGTGTTAGTACTCCCTCCGTTTCGAAATGTTTGACACCGTTGACTTTTTAGCACATGTTTGACCGTTCGTCTTATTCAAAAAATTTTGTGAAATATGTAAAATTATATGCCTACATAAAAATATATTTAACAATGAATCAAATGATAGGAAAAGAATTAAGAATTACTTAAATTTTTTAAATAAGACGAACGGTTAAATATATTTAAAAAAGTCAATGGCGTCAAACATTTCGAAACGGAGGAGTACTCTACTACAATAAGACCAGTGCATTGTATACAAAGAAGCTGATCAAACAGTAGATTAGATTAGATATGCTGGTACATGTACATCAGCTAGCTAGCTAGCACAGTACACTTCTCTTGGATACCAAGCATAAGCAAAGGCAGCTGGGATGCTGTACAAGTGTAGCACATTGGCTGGAATCAATCTTGTATACATATATTGGTTTGTTTGGTCAGACCACAACATCCTGATGTTAACACTTGCACACATTCTCTTTTCTGAAGAATACTTGCCCTGCTAGGAAAAACTCTTGATTAGGTCGTCGTTGGCAAATGCAGGTGATCATCATCTGACTTGCACATCAGCCAATCAGTCTACAAGAGGGCAAAAGATTAGTAATAAGAGAGATGCCATCCAATCTGCAAGAGGACAGGTTCTTTTAGCTTGTGGTGTTCAGAGACCGACATGTTTTGGTCAGTGTTTTTTTTTTTTTGAGGTGTCAAGATGAGCCTGAATTCTGAAGGAATTGTAAAGAAGTGATCGATGTTAGGTGTGGCATAAGTTGGAAGACCACTTTCAGAGCCTATCACTGCATTAAAACATGTCTCCAATGGCAAAGATACCAACCAATTGAATTAGCAACAACTAAAAACAAATTGCAGTAGAATCGTACTGAAGCTTTACTGAACTCGGACAATTATATTGAGGATTCGAGATGATAGAACCGTGCTGAGAACACTGCGTGCATTTTCTCCTGTTCTTGATGCCGCAATGATTCGGTGAGATCTTTGCGGCGAGGCATTGGAGGAGGATTCGATCGATTGATCGAGTCGAAGTGAGTGAGTGAGTGAGTTTTTCTGACGATATTGATCATGCATCCATGCAGCAATGTCTTCCCTTGAAATGAGCTTTCTCGGTACTAGCAGTTGCAGAGCCATGGAATGATGGCAACTGCTCCATGTCCAAATGCGTCTCATAAGTTAAGTTGCATCTTATCAGGGTCAGCTTAAACTACTAATTAACGCGTTGGTTAGCTGCAGAAACATCTCGTCAGTTTTCTATGCATAAGCAGCAGAGATGATCGGGTCGCAAATCTGAAAACATGTATGCAATTGCATGTTATATGTTGAGTAGAAGTACATTATATTGGCGATGCAATTAGGTTGTCGTCGGTTCAGAGACTCCAGGCACTTGTTAATTGCAAGGTATAGAAGTTAACTAATAAGCTTAGTAATGTGGACTGGTAATTCAGTGTCATGTTACACATGCAGTTCGAGACCTCCATTTGTCAACTACGTCAACTCTTTAACACACAATTAATTCAGAGAAAAATAGGAAAATTAATAAACTATTATTAGTACACGATTTGATCAGTTGGCCAAGTGGTTGTTGACGAATGGGATGTCGCAGCTGCATGCTGGGCAATAGGGAAATTAATTCGATTCAGAGAGATCGAATCTTTGTGTACGTAATCTCAGAAAATCTGACCCGATTAGTTAACCAATTAATTAATCATGCGTGTTGAACATATTGTTTGTAACGTGAATAATGCGAATATTCGGAGGAAAAAACAAAATAGGTGTGCGATTTTGGGGGAATTTTTATTTTGCTGGTCAGCGCTAACACATGCTAACCGTCAAATTAATCATATTGCCGCGTTGCTGACAATTTTAATGAGCCGCATATGCAGAAATGATTACACGGTAGAAGTTAATAAAGAAACCCCGGAAAAATGCAGGCGTATTCGAACTGAAACTTTAACTACTTTCAATTGACGAGCTGTTCGAAGCTGAATTTTGGACGCGCTGTAAATGCAAATGATGAGCATTTAGGTGATATGTACCTCTTCAATTCAAAGTTTTTCGTTGAAAAAAACATAAAAAGAGTTCATGTCCTCTTCTTGCTCCTACAAAATTAATAGTTGTGAAATAAATAACAAAAAGTGGTGGTCACTAGCATGGCAAGAAAAAAAGAGACAGATAACAAAAAGAGATGCATCTTTTTTGCAAATTCTGACGAGAAATCAGAAGCACCACGAACGAACGAACAGACAGATCAAACGCGTGCCTGCAACCAAGGGAGAAACTGGACTCCACATCCACACACAGAAAAAAGGTGAAAGACACCGACCACACAAACACACACACAGCTTCATCACAAAAAAGGAGCTCTGAAAAACACAAAAGAAAAATAGAAAGATACAAAAGAAGGAAACAAAAAGGAAAAGAAAGAAAACCAGTAGAAAGAGAGTGTACTGAGAAGAAATTCTTGGACTAAGACTGTGTTTAGATCTAGAGGTAAAAAGTTTTGGCGTGTCACATCGAATTTACAGACATACATTTGAAATATTAAACGTAGTCTAATAACAAAACAAATTATAGAATTCGCCTGTAAACCGTGAGATGAATTTATTAAGCCTAATTAATCCGTCATTAGCAAATATTTACTATAGTATCACATTGTCCAATCATTGAGCAATTAGGCTTAAAAGATTTGTTTCGCAATTTACACGCAATCTGTGCAATTAGTTATTTTTTTTATATTTAATACTTTACATATGTATCCAAACATTCAATATGACAGGATGAAAAATTTTACTAGGGGATCTAAACAGGTCCTAAAGGCATCCAAATCCAAATGATCATTGCCACACTTCACTCAAAAAAAAGAAAAATGGGCCCATTCCCCCCAAATCATGAGCCCAAATGAAAACAAATTTCGAAAAGATTTATCCCAAATCAAATCTCTCTCATTCAGTACACCACACCACAGCTCAAAAGAGTACCCAACCCAAAGCTGCAGTACAAACCTTATTGCAAAAATGCCCACTCACTGCCACTGGGTCCCACAATGTAGCTTCAGTGGTGGGACCCACCTGTCATTGGGGGTGAGGTTGGGAGTGTGTGGGTGTGATAGGGGAGGGAGCTTGGAGGCAAGCAGTGCAATGCCAGTGGCACAGTGACCCAGCACAGGGTAGGAAGCAAATAAATCCACCCTCCCCCATAATAACGCCCAGAGCTAAGCCAGAGCTCGCGGCCATCACCACCAATCCGTCCACGCCGAGCTCAACCGCCGCCGCTGCCGACGACGTCGCCGGCGAGGTCCGTGTCCTGGGCGTGTGTGCGTTCGCCGTCGTGCCAATGGCGACGGCGTGGGTGCGGTCGCTGAGCTGCAGGTCGTACGGCGTGGCCGACGCCGTCGTGGCGCCGTCGCCGAGCAAGAAGCTGCAGTCGCCGCCGGTGTCGTGCGCGGCGGCGAAGGATGACGTGAGGGACTCGGTGGCGTTCGTGCGGCACAGCGCCAAGAAGCCTCGCCGGGAGGAGGAGCGGCCGCGCGGGCGCAGGCCGAGGCCGAAGAAGAAGAAGCCGAAGCAGGTGTTGGCGGCGTCGGTGGCGTTCATGCCGTCGTCGCCCGCCGCATCCTCCGCGGCGCACGCCGGTCAGCTCGGCGTTCCTGACGATGGCGGAGCTCCCCGAGGGGCACTCGTCGCGGCGGGTGGTGGAGCTCATCTTCTCGTCGGGGTGGGGCGCCGCCGCCGCCGCCGCCGCCCCGCCGGGGCCGACGGTGGAGGCGATGTTCCGCGTCCACAGCGCGGCGCGGGCGGTGGCGCGGTTCGAGGAGGCCAGGGCGGCGGCGCGCGCTCACGGCGCCGCCGCGCGGTGCGGCGCCGACGGCAACGAGATGATGCGGTTCCAGTGCCGCGCGGCGGCGGGGCCCGGCGGGGTGTTCGGCGCGGGCGTCGCCACCTGCCGCCTCGGCGCCGCCGACGCCGCGGTGCGCACGTTCGCCGGGAGCGGCGCCGCGCACGCCAGCGCCGGCGCCGGCCCGGGCCGCAGGGCGATGCTGGTGTGCCGCGTCATCGCCGGCCGCGTCCGTTCCGCGCAGCACCAGCACGGCCATTCCCGCCACGCCTCGGATTACGACTCCGTCGACATGGGCAACGGCGAGCTCGTCGTCCTCGACAGCCGCGCCGTCCTCCCATGCTTCCTCATCATCTACAAGGTCTAGCCAAATCCATCCATCCATGGCCGCCATTGCCATCAAACACCCATCAGTATTTAACCACTCGTTAATCTACTAGCACTAATCCCTTAGCTTCTTCCTCTTAATCTCTTTTCCCCTCCTTTCACTTTCTTGGCGAGAGAGTTGCATCGCCATTGCCATTGCCATGGCAATGATGCAAGATTGCAAGTACGTAGTAACAGAGCTGTGTGTAAAACAGTAAAAGATTGCTCATTTCTTCTTTTTTTTTTTGTTCTGAATGTTGAAATGGTATATAGAAACGGTTTTTTGCAATGCTTTTATTTTTCAAACATTTCTCTTTTTATCCTTCTCTTGTCCTGCATGCATGTCTGTAATCTGGATGCCTTCTTTGCTTCTGCTCTGCAATTTCATCTTTGTGTGTCAGTGCAGCAAAATATATGTTGTTTCTTTCTCTTTTTTCCTCTCTTTTTCCTTTTTTTTCCCCTCACAGGCAGAGACAGACAGAGAGGCAGAGAGATTTGTCGCCGTAGGTTTGAAGTGTTCTTGTTACAGCATGTGTGTTCTCTTCTCCTCTCAACCAATGGAAACATGTACTGGTATGAATGTATGATTGCCAATGCCATGGGAGGGCTTGCTTGTTTGCATCTGCATGCAATTGCAGAGAAATTTTTTTTTTGGCAGGTAGGGTATAAAAGGATGTTGGCAACATCTTGAGAAGCCAGCCGCAGCAAAAGTTTCCGGTCTCGTGGCTGCTCTCTCTGGTTTTTTGGAGAGGGGGGAGATAAGAGGAAAATGTACTTCTTGGATGCTAGCTTCTTGGACCCTTGCTATTGTATTTGTTGTCTTCCTCTTCCAACCCCTGTTTTGGCTTTGCTTGCTATGCTACCTTATGCTCATGCATTGCTGTACAAGATGCTGACTTTAGTATATACTATATAATAGTGATATATTGTGCATAATGTTCAGGCATTGTATTTGTTTTTTTTTTGATAATGGAAAATCTTATATTTCCGGCCTCTGCGGGCGCACACAGCCAATGATTATAATGTTTATGGAACAGGAAATTCCACTCTGCAGGGTATTTTTTAGGAATCAATTCAATTTTCGTAGGAATTGGAAAAAGTGTCGCGTCAAGAAAAGGCCTTGCTCAACTATTTTGATGCAACCTTTCCCTAGATTATTGACACGGATTGTTCAATGATTAACACAATTAATTATTTTTTTAAAAAAAGTTTGCAAATAGCTTAGAATAGATAGCAATATGGTAGAAGAAAGTTTTTTTTTTTTGAAAAATTGTATTTTTAGAAACGTGGAGCAAATAATCTGTAGAAAAATCTGGAAGGATAAATATTGAAAGAACATGGCCAAGTTAAAGAAAAAAAATCATTGATTGTGATAAGAGGGTTCTTCTGATAAGGATGGAGTACATCTGCTGTGTTAACTACCAACAGATTGGTTATAGATGTTAATACGGATTGAATGTGCGAGGTAGAAGCAACAGAAAGGAGTACTCTTGCTTGACAATGCAGCTGAAAACTACTGTAGGAAACAACAAAAAAAATCCCCATCAGTAACATTACTTGCTTGCATGAGAAACCTTCATTGTTCGGAAGAGCTAAAAGGAAACTCTGCAAGATCTTGTGCACGCATGGTATAAGATGCTAATTAACACCAAAGCTTAAAAAGATCTGACACGACCATCAGAAGTTGACAGCCTTAATTGTGCAGGAACAGGAGACCATCCCCTAATGCTATAACGATTTCTATTAATTGATTGATGCTTTTTTCATGACAAGCCAGTACTGTAATATCCATGTCCTGAGTTGTTAGCCCATAGTTGTCATTATTCTTCTGATCATGACTTGTGAGCAGTTATTTAGAGGACATGATTTTTCCTCTCATGGTTGCGTCCCATAGCTGACAGGTGGGACCCGCCCCAGCATACTGCCACAACATTTTCACACTTTGTCTCTTTAATTTGGATCTTGTTGCATGTAGTAGGGCTGCAGGGTAGGGGTGGCTGTGGATTATATTGGCATGTTACAATGTCTCTTGTGATCAAAGCACCTAACAAGAGTGAGAGAGTACTCAGGACATGGCCATTAGCCAGCTCACTGTAGCCAACACTACTGGACCATCGTTCTCTTTCTCTCCCTCCAAATGGATGATTGATTGGATGGTTACAGGTACTACCTCCGTCTAACTTTTTGGTATATATCCTAGTCCATCCAAAAATATAGTGATTTTTTCTATGTTAACAAAAAAATGCTATTATCTTCGCCCAAAAGTGTTAGCTAAGGTATAGTTTGTTTTTCAAATAAAATAATCATATTTATTCCAAAACTTAAATGAAGAGATTGTGTTTTCGTTTTATAGTTCTAGATTAAATTATTCATCAGAACCCAAGCATGCATCTTAATACTCGTTGCATGCAGGCATACAATTCATTTTTCATTTTAAGTTTATGTATCGAATTATTACTTGTATACACGTTGGATGAGTTAATTTCTCCTTAGTCTTAATTACATAAGAAATAATTCCTCCATCCTAAAAAAGGTATTTTGGTTGTATGTGACACATCCCTATCTAGATTTGTAGTACTGGGATAATTTACATCCAACTAAAATTTCATATATTTTGGGATGAAGGGAGTACACATGAGTTTTTTGAATGGAGAGAGAGGGTATTTTCGGAGTAAGACAGAAGTGTATTTTGCACTGTTGTTCTTGCGTCAATTTTCGGGAATGGTGAATAGGACGAGTTCTGAATTTTCTTCTTGTTTTCTCAAGGAGTGTTTTTTATGTGTGTTCTGAATATTGCAGCATTTTTTGCGAGGGAGAACTCACCTTTGGAAACAGTGAATGCTGCAATGCCATGAATACTAGACCTAACTGACACTCAGAAACTCCAGGCCTGAAAAGAATGGTCCAGTAGCCCCGTGGCACTGCATGCAGTAAAGCAGTAAGCCGGTACTAAGATGATAGAAATACAGTAATAAGATTACTACATTTCCAGTATATTCAGTCATAACTCATAACAAATGAACTAAATCCTATAAATTATTGTAATTCCAGTATATTCCAGTCTGAGCTGACGAACTAAATCTTACGAAAATCCTGTAAAATTCATGCGTCCAAAAGAGGGAAGAAGGTCATTTTGTGTATTGCCGGTTGGGAACATGGCAACATGCCATTAAGGTCGCCATGCATGCATGTTGCTAGCATTTCAGCAAGCAACACTGTAATTGCTGCAGCTGATGTCTGTATAAATTGTTGCCTAATTGTTGCCAGTACAGGTAAGACTGTAGCTTTGACCTGCCATTAAAAAGGATTCAGATACTAGGGCTCCTGAATGGCTGGTTAACTGCCTGCCTCAACTGAACATCTCCATGTGGTCAAACAGATGCAGTAATAAACATTGGGCTTGCTTTTGTTTCAATCCAAGCCTACCGGTGTCTCTGTATTGATCTCTGGAGCCCACACCAGTTATTCCTCCTCTGCAATCATCATGCCACATTGCTACTGTTGCTGGTACAATTTGCAGCAAACAGCCGTATATACACTATCTATCTGCACATTTTATAGGTATTCTAGATGTATGGCTCCTTGATCATTTGACTGCCTTAACAGTGAATGTCCTTGCTGAAATACTAGTACTACTATACTACCTTTTATTCAAAGAAAACCTGAGATAGTGCTACCTCTATACACAAATATAACGATTTGTGTAGAAATCCTTATATTTATGAACAAATTCCTTGTATTTAAGGACGGAGGGCAATCGACGTGCATGACCAAAAAAATATTGTACTTGTGAACGAAATCCTTATATTTGTGGATGGAGGGAGTACTATGCTTTGGCTGTTTGACTAGCTTGGCCATATCAGGTCTCCCTGAAGATTGGGCTAGCTCTGAATCCGATCTGATCATCTGATGTGATGATGATCATGGGGAGTGAGAGGGGATGCATGTCCATCTGACAACAGGAGTAAATCTAACAATGATGCAGGATGTGCAAGCACTTGCCTTTGCCCACCGACCATGGCCAAACCTTTATTACTAGACCGACTAGATGGCCAATGCAAAGGTCATAAAGGCTTTAGTATACTTCTACTTCTACAAGTAGCTCAGGCCATCATGGTGAGATCTTAGGTCTTCTCCAACAGTAGCAAATCATTTCTTCTTCCTTGTGCACACCAGTGGCACTAATGTATGTCACACTTTCTGAAGTTTTCTTGCACTGATCAGTTTACTGAACATGAAGCTTAAGCCTTGTGTACGGATATACTTCCTCCATCCCAAAACATAGTTATTTTAGGATACGAGACGGAGGGAGATATATACTTGTGAAGCTTTTTTTTTTTGGATAATGGGATCAATTCATCCTCTAAATCGAGATAAGAAGGCTCTCATCGGTTGCCCATTTGGCCCAAAATGGCTTATTTGGCTTATTAGAAAATTAAAATTAATTTATAAGTAAAACTTTTGTAGATTTGTTCGTAGCGACTTAAAAGCCAACATTAACAAAAATTATGTTAAAAGCATTTCAAAATTAACTTCAAAATCAAGTTTAAAAATTTAAATTTTGGCTTATTCTTTGGCTGTTTAGGCCAAACGATAGGGTTAGAAGATTCTGGGTGATCTACCCAAATTTTAGAACAATCAGCAAAGCTTCTGTTTGTTGCAGGCTGGATTATGTACCACCATAGCTGCTGCAACCTGGATTCTTGGGGATTTGGGGTGAATTGTAAAGGCAGTAGGTGTATGAGGTCACTCAGATTCTAGCTGAACACTGGTGAGCATGGTGTTAAATATAACTGGATGCATCATAAATTTTACTCAATTGCTGCTGGTCTCATAGAACTGACCTTCGATCTGATGTCCCGTGACACCGGGCATTATGATCTCTGCACTTGCTCATCAATGGGGTCAAAGATCAAATGAACCACAGGAGAAACAAATGCTTTGCTTTCTTCTGGAGTGTGAAATTTGCATGCAAAAACTGATTAGTAATGTCTTGCACAGGAAATTTGGGACCATCAGCACAGCCCGAGCCCAGGTCTCATCATTGCAAGCTGTAACAGACAGCATTAGAATTGATCCACAGGGCAGTGATGCATATTACCTGAGAAACAATACTCTCACTGACTCAGTAACTCCACATATGTTTCAAGAGAAAAAAAAAGGCATATTATGATCAAAAAAACAAACAGTGCCTCCGTTCATTTTTATAAGGTGTATTTTAATTGTAGAAAGTCTTGAAAACTAAACTTTGCCCAATGATTTCTCATAAAATGTAATTCTTAATATCTACAAAACCAATATTGTGTGAATGCGTTTTGAAATATGAATCTATTGGTACAATTTTTATTTTTATATACAGCAAATATACCTGTATATTAACTACTGTTTATTTAAGCATACAAAGTTTGACTTTTAAAATTAAAATCCTCATCGGAATCAGATCACGAGTACTTAAGATTCTTAAGAAAGGGTTAATACTTAAAAGATCAAAATTCTGAGATTTTATAATGGTATGACTATGCCTTCATTGCCAATGCTGAACTCAAATTTGAAGCTAACGGCCCACAGCACTCCCAAGAGGTAAAAGGAATAAAGAAAATATCCTCAATTTAGTGACTAGTAACAAACCGAGTTTGAAGATGCGCACAACACACATGAATATTCACAAGGTTAAAATTATATTTCATCTTCTGAATTGCTCGTCTCGTGGCATCCTAGTATGAACTTGAAATGCTGTTGATCATTTCCTGGCAGTGGGACGATGTTTGGGCGGCCTTCCTCTAGTTGAAGATGAACCTTGAGCCCCAAAAGTTTTCCTAGATCGAGTTTTCCGGGGCTCGTAACCTATAGCATGCAAATCATCGCATATCTCATGCCGTGAAAGAGAAACAAGTCTAGGCATTATCTCCCTCAGAAAATTTCTCAGTCCTCTTCCTCTTCTTAGCTTGATCCCACAAGACGGTCCATCCTTATCAGGTGGAATCACAGGGATGGATTCCCCGTCATCTCTGATCTCTTCTACATTCAATACAATTTCCTCATAGGAATCCAAAGAGTGCTGCGGTTCATCGTTTACATCCTCAGCTGCTGTCTGACTGTCAGTTCCTGGGCAATCTGTAGTACATGCAGAACTTGAGAAAATGGAAACGAGTGTCTCAGCTGCAATACAAACCATTTTGTCACAATTGCCTATCAAGGTCTCTTGAGGACTTGATGCTCCATCAGGAGATGCTCGCAGTTCTGGACACACAATATTGTCAACATGAGGAGTTTCTGCAATCAAATGTTTGCTGCTAACACTTATAAGGTCTGAAGACTGCGCCTTATCAATTTCATTATTTATTGATTCTTGGAAAAATGTGGTGTTTCCATCCTTGCTGACTGATATATGATGTTCTCCAACAGTTCGTTCTTCTATAGAAGTTTCAGCATGCACACCGTTTCTCTTGGAGAAAGAATGATCGGTTACTGTTTCTTCACTTCCATCATTTTTCACTAGCTTATCTCTAAAACTATTACTGGTTATTGTTGATTCCATGTCAATGCTTTCAGCTGGCACATTAAGGTCAAAAAGGACCTTCTCTTCACCACTGGATATTACAATAGAAGTGTCATGTTGGAGCTCAGTATGCACAGCCAGAGGTGGTTGTCCTGATTGGCAGGCAACATGGTTGTCACCTGATTTTTGTAAGGCCAAAGATGAGTCATTTCTGCCACAGGAACTGACAGAAAATCTTTGCTGTGGCAAGAAATATTGACTGCTTGATCCACATAACTTATCCACTGCATGTTCATGCTGGCTGTTTTCTCTTGCATGTATATTACCATGCAAATTCTTAGGATCATGAAATTGGTATGCAGCCACAACTTCCCTCGAACTATCAGGAGCAGAGCTGGGTGCAACCACCGTAATGGAAGATCCTTTTGATGATCCAACACCAGAACCACATTCCTTTTTGTAAACATTGCTGGAGCCATTCCAAAATTCTCCAGGGTGTGATGACGAAGAATTAACTAAAGTTGGACAAGTTATTTGAGATGGAGCATAGAAAACATGTAGACTTTCTTCTTGAGGTACATTCAGGTCGATCAGCAAATGCCTGGATTCTGAATTATCAGGCTTGATAGGTGACTGGCAGTCCAGAGTATCACTCGAACCAACTGAACCTGAAAACCATCAGGGTTGAACAGTTATATGAATGCTCGATGACCAGGTAAAGTTGTAGGATTACTAGAGATTTCAGTGAAGAAACCCATACAGCAGACGTCCATCAGAAGAATAAAACAAGTAAATTGTTTCCAACAACCACATGTTGTTTATGGCCATGTCAAATTTGCAACAATTAGTGGCACTAAAGGTCCAAATCATCAATGATGCTGAAGAGAGCATCCTCTCCCACATGAATAAGTTGTGGAAATTTAGTTAGGGCACAGATGTATTCAGAAGTACTAGAGCAGAGAAATGCCTCGCCGTAAACCATCTTGACAACATCACAGTCTGCCTTCTTTTTTGAAACCTTAAAACCACATTTTGGTTTCTTGCAAGTTACCTCTCTTTTGTTAAGTTTAATAGAGAGTCTCCTGCATGATTGCTTAAAAGATATGTCATCCCTATTCTTGGTTTATCATAAACCAAATTTCAAATTATTATAGGTCCAGTGGAGCTGACATGCAACACAACTTTATTACAAAAGAAATGAGCTTAAGCTATTAGGAGCTAAAAAAGGCATGACTTGCATATCTGTGATTTTTTTTTAAAAAAAAAACTGCAACCTTACAAACTCAAGTTTATATGCACCCATTATGTGAGCATAATTGTCAAAGTTTCTACAAGTAGATAACACTTGATGAACACCTATTATTATGTTGTCAGTATTATTAAAAAAATGATGCCCAGTATGTTTGAACATGTGCACCTGTAAATAATCATAAGAGAGAAAAAGATCCTATGTGCTCTGCAAAAACAAAGAAAGTTATATCACAAAAGATGCATCTACAACTTGTCCTTTTTGTGCGATGCACATATATTTGATCACAGAACCTTTTTCACATATGCCTATTTTAGATTCTTTTGGTGAATTGGTGTACAAATCACAGGTTGGTTGTAAGTGCATATATTGTAGCAGTGTTGAATACTAGACAAGATGACTGATCAAGATGGAATTTCATTCTGCAAGAGATCAGGGGCGGAGCTGCAGTACTATCATTGGGGTCATTAGACCCCGATGGCATTCGATCTATCAAGTGAATTGTTCATTATTTTCTAGCTAATGACCCCAGTAGCAAAAGCTTAATGACCCCGGCCAGCCGGATAAACTGCTGGAGCTCAGGAAAGCTGAAACAATTGTACAGTTTCTTTCTTTGGAATCATAATTTGTTAGCTGTGTTATGCTACTGTCAATCCGCTACTAATGCTGCAATTAGACATATTTGATCTATTAACCAACTACTTATTTTAGCTATGTGCTATGTATATCAATGCATTAGGCCTGAAGTTTTGCTAATCAACTACTAGATGTGTTTTTTTAAGCTACTCACTCTGTCTCAAAATATGTTACTTCTAAGATTCAAGAGTAAATTGCACCCACGATACAACAACTTAGCAGGTGGGTGCAATATAGTGCAAGAACTTTAGAATTAAACGTCCGAGTGCAACAACTTGACAAGTGGGTGCGTTCTAGTACAAGAACTTAATAATTTAGTATTTTATTGAATCAATTTAGCTAAGCATATGCTAGATGAGATTTTTCACGATGTCAGTATGCCAATACACACTGATCATACGGATATTACCTTATATATGAATTTAATCTTTAAGAATTATGTTGCATATACAATTTACATCCAATTACCTTTAAGAATTTTTTGTTTTCTTCACCTTCTCAATTATCAACTGAAATATAATAATTTCTTAATCCAGTTTAATTGACTTTCAGTTATTAGTTATTAGGATAAAAATATAAATATATTTATATAAATCCATGCTAGTATATTGTCAAAATAAGTACTTAAAAATTTGAATTTATATAAAAAATGCTCTAAATAATTAAGTTGTCACATAACTTCTTAATTTATTGTAGCAAAATCCTACCTACCTTACAAGTTGTTGCATTTATACGATCACTTATAAAGTTCTTATACTAAATTGCACATTCCTACCAAGTTGTTGCACTAGAACGGTCATTTTTCAAGTTATTGCACCAAATTACACCCACCTGCCAAGTTGTTGCACCGTAAGTGCAATTTACTCAATATTCAAATTTGCTTTAAAATATAGCTATTTTCTATGAACCATCCCATCTCCAATCACAATATTCCCCGATATAATTTTTTTCACCTACTTTTTTTCCAACCAATCACAATTATTTCACACCCTAACATTGATCTCTTAAAGAGACGTAGGTAGTTGTATTTTGAGACAGATGGAATAATAAACAACTTTCAGAACATATTTGTATGTCTGAAAAAGCACATGGTTGTTATGCCCGATTGTATATGGTCATAACTTTTAAATTTTTAGACCTTAAAAACCTCAGAAATTCTTATAGAATAGACTTTAAACATTTATTTTTAGCAAAATGGAACAATCCCAACTTACTCATAGCTCTAGCTCCAAAAGAATTTTGAGCTAAAAATATCTAGCTTCGAGAATAAATATAGTTTCAAACACGACATAAATAAAAGTAAAAGCCATGACCCCAGTGACTCAAAATGCTGGCTCCGCCCCTGCAAGAGATGATGGTGTTGATGGAACAAGGTAGCTCATGAAATTGATCAGACTGTTAACATAGTCCATTGCTTTGTTTGGCATAATCAGGCTGTGGTATTTGTTAACCATACACTTGAGCATTGCATTCCTAATACTGTTATGTAGTTTATAAAGCTCTGTTCGAGGGAAAAGGAGAAGCCATAACACCAAGTAGAGATCACTGATTCTACCAATATCTAGCAAATGCATCATCAATTTGTAGCAATTTACACTACACCATGTATCTCCGCGTCAATAATGAACACCAATACAATAGTAGCACCCGCTTTGTCAAGCAAGCATTAATCTAAATGCTATGATCTTTGAGTATATTTTCCATCAAAGCACAAGTGAGAAGCGCATACATTTAATACCAGTGGACAGTCATATACAGTAAATAGGCTGTACTAGAATAAGAAGATCAGATATGTGTAACTAACAAGCGCATTTGTGAAATACCCAAGCAGTATATTTCCACTACGAATTATCCAAACAATTAAACATAAACACTCAGAAGCTGCACAAGACACTACATTTACTAACTATATAATAAACAAGAGGAGGAGGAGGAGGAGCAAATTCAGAACTCACCAGGGCTTACACGCGAAGCATTCCGCTCCACACAGAGCTGACTGGATACCGCGGTCGAGCAATTCTCCGCCGAAGCATAGCAGCGGTCCTGAGACCGGTTGCCAAACCCGGCATAAGAAACAAACTCCACATCATCGTCGGACGTCGCCGGCTTCTCCAAATCGATCACGTAGCGATGCCCGCCACCCCCGCCGCATTTCTCCCGCGCTCTGACGCTGACGTCGGGCTTTATCCGGATCGAATTCCTACCATCCATATTCCGCTCCGCGAAGCAGGAGCCCCTCTTCCGCTTACTAGAATTGCTGGAAGCATCTGGGCTTCCCAGCCCGGACCTAACGTGATGCATGGGGGTTGTTCAGCTGAACCCCCGCAAAAAAACAAAAAAAAAATCCTCCTTTTTTTTTTCCTAGCCTCCTCCTAAACAGAAGCTGCTGCTGCTATTAGTACCAGGTGAGGGCATGGGGATTCAGTTCAACCCCAAACTTTTGGATGAACAAACAACAAACTGTTACTCGTATTAAGGTTTTAAGGCTCTGAAATTAAGAGAAGGAGCTTCTTCCAGATCTAGAAGAGAAGAAACTAGGGTTAATTCGAGACAAAAGGCACTCCCGATGGGAGTGAGAGATGAATCGGAAAGAGGATGCGGATGGATGCTCACCAGGATCCCCTGCTCTGCTCTGCTCGCCCGATGGAGATCGGCGGCGAGATGGCGCAAGGAGCGGAGGAGACGAGAGACCGGGAGATTTTCTTTTACGCCGAGGGAAAGGGGGGAGATACGCGAGGGCGGCGGCGGTTAGCCTTCGTTATTTATTACAACTATATAATTTTGTCCCAGTTACTATACAGTTTTATATCCTAATGGCCGAAATACCCTTGGGATGAAAACTTCTCAATAGTGGTAAAAAAATTGAAATATCAGAATGTAAAACTTTTATTAAGTTTAAGACGAGCGACTTATGTGGTAGTTTACAATGATATTTCGGAATGTTCAGTCTGATTTTGAAAATTTTCAACTCAAACCGACCTATAGTGGGACCAAACTACCGGAAATCATCGTAGAGGCTCACCTATCAGTCCCTGGTGAAAAGGCGGTGAAGAGAGGTGGTGTCGAGGGGTGAAGAGAGGTGGTGTCGAGGGTTCAGCCGAACCGCCTTCGGCACCCCTCATCTCCACCCTCCGCGTGGCAACTCTTGGTTGGCTCCGAATGACGATCATGGGAGTTACCGACCTCCCTAGCCATTATAAGCTACCTACTTAAAGTAGTTGAGCTTCTTACTTCACAATACACACATCAAGGAGCAATTCTTTCTCTCTATCTCATAATGCATTCTCTATAGTTTAGTAGAAATAAAACTTAGGAGCTTTAGTCCTATTGTTTTCTCGGAGTTTTGGATATGTCTTTAGTAGTTTACTCTTCTTGTAAACTGTAGTTGAATTAATAGAATTATATTCTTTATTTATTTATGCTCATAACCTATGTCTTTCTTTATTGAATGCATGTTCTATGGGAAGTATATGCTTCTTATCTGCTTCATCCTAGGCTAGTTGATCCATGCTACGGTAACGGTCCAATGACCTTTATAGGTTGCTCTAACTCAAATGTGACCATTCGAAGGGTGGGAGTCCCAAGGGAGTTACTGATATTATTTACTAGCACAAGCATGGTGCTTAGATTAGATAAATGTTTGTTGGATGTGGGTGTGCCCCACGAAAAGTGAGGTAGGAGGCATGTAGTGATAGTTCTATTTGTTCTTTGTATTCCTCCATGTTCAGGTATGACGTAAAAGTGCGTAAATGCCATAACCTATGCTGGTATACCAACAGGAAGTGGTCTCTCGATAGTATCAGAGTGCCCGGAGCTAGGTCCTTTGTTGTAAGTATGTACTGCATAGGTTAAGTGTATACTAGACATGAATAGAATTGAAGTAAAATTACATCGTGGTTATCTAATGCTCTTTTCTACTAAACATTATTATAGAGGTAAATCTTCTAGGTATCCACTACCTTAATTATATTATCCTAACCCCTATTAAACTATGGTGAATTAATTATAGATTATTTTATGATGAACAAACTATATCATATACGGCCATCTTCACTATGAAATATAAATGCGATACCCAGGAGAAGAGAGACAACACTAGTAACAGATGAGGAGGAAGGGGAGCGAGGGGTATATTAGTCATTCATTGTCATTGAAGGAGTAGCTTTTTATTGTCTGGTGTTAGTGACATTGGTCTGTCTCCCTGGCTGCAATATGTGGCTCGCAACTGCGATTGATTAAAAAGGCTTTGGGTGCAAACCATACCCTGGTTGAAAAAAAATCTTTATCTATTGGCTACTCCTTCCGTCTGACCGGATGTGACATATTCTACGTATGTCCAAATTCATCATACTAGAATGTGTCACATCCGGTACTAGATTAGTTTTTTATGGGATGGGGTAGTATTTGTCAAGTTAATATTTATCATCTGAATATATGAGAAATAAACACCCAAAATTGTTGGAAACATTATTCGGTTCAGACCAAAGTCACCATAAACAATTCTATGACGGTTCTTTACGAGCGATTAGCCGATTAATAATTGAGAACTATTTTAGGTGTGTAAAAGTAATCTTACAATAGTTCTCCATGGGTGATAGATAATTGAGAATCTTTTTCTGATTAGGTGTGTAAAAGTAAATAGTATAACGTTCTTCGCTTGATATTTTCTTTTCCTTGATAGGGTATGCAAAAATGTTCACATGGGAGTAATAAATTAGGGTTTGGTTAATTAAGGTTTGGTTATAGTCACATGAATCATGCATCAGAACACACCACAAAGTCAGTCTCCTAATTATTTGTTGTTCCAATATACTCCAGTACTAATGGAGAATTGACATCAGCATGTACGAAATAAAACTGACAACTGAGAATTCTTTGGATACTAGGTCGGTGTAAAAATATATAAAATGTTCATACATTACTAGTAGTACTAATAATTAGGGTTTGATTAATTAAGGTTTGGTTCTAGATCACATCATGCATGTATGGAAAAAAAACCCACAAAAAAGTCTCATGTTTGGCTATTAATTCCAGGATGGTACTACTACTAATGGGGAATAATTGACATCGGTATGTACGAAAATGAGATGGAGAGCTGCATTTTTTAGATGAGATTTAGCTGCAGATAGTACTGCACTGCCTTAACACAGGACCATTTCACATGTGTGGTTGAACAGGACAGCATATATGGCGTACTAATAATGGAGGCTAACACATGGCCCGCTTGTCTATCACAAAACAGGTGTGTGTGCACATCAACAAAGTTATGTGGGCACGTGCAAGCCTGGCCGATTTCACTCTCATGCCGACCTCAAAACTGGCCCGGATTGAAAAATGTTTATGCAATTATACATATTAAAGTTTTCTTTTAATATAAACCTCAGAAAAAAAGGCTAAAGTTTTTCCATATATAGAATCATTGAAACAAAACGTTTTTGTAGTTGCAAATAGTCGTGGCCAGGAAGCACCCCTGATGACCACGAAGAATTTCGACGTTGCTATAGAGACTTTATTTTCCCCTTTATTTGTCTGGACTATATCACACGATATGTTAAAGGTCTGGATTAATTATAACCGGTTGTTCTACTCTCTTTGTCAACCAACTTTTTCTTTAAAAGGTAAAATAACTTTTATACACGATTTTGAATATAACATGTGTGTTAGATTTGTGTGTATAAATGTTGATTTATTTTGAAACGATGTAAGTATCCTCGGAGTGTTTACATAGTGTTTATCTGAAAGACGCTAAGGTCATTTCCAACCCAATGACTAGGATAGTGTCCATAGCATTAAATAAGCTGACACCTAGGATTAAAAATGATGTGGCAAGTGAATAAATGAGGAAAGAAAAGAAAACCATATCTTACATGAGATATGGTTTCTACACAACATCTAAGACATATATGAGATAAATAGCATTAAACTTAAGTATAAAATAGTGGTACTTGTATTGAAAAAGTAATATCTAGCACTAGTTTCTTGATGATTTGGAGTTTATGAAAACTACGTCTAATTTCTTAAGTTGGAAATGGCCTAAAAGAAGAATCTTTCAAAAGGAAGAGATGAGGAATGAAAAAGAGTCAAAGCTCATGAAGGGACTCAAGCCAACGCAAGGAGGCCAAGTGACAGCAGCCGGTAGCTGTCCCCATCTCTACAATATCCAGCACCCAGCAAAATCACACACGATTCTCAGCTTCTTCCCCTTCCTTCCCAACTCATCTCCATCTTTTTATTTACACGCACACTTCTCAAACTCGCAAAACGATACGGCTGAAAAAAAATTCCCTTTATAAAAATTATTTAAAAGAACATATTAATCTATTTTTTAAAAAATAAGATAATACTTAATCATGTACTAATAAGTTACTTTGTTATACGTACCTGAGGATTACTCCCTCTATCTCAAAATAACCAATCTCGTATAGGATATGACACAATCTAGTACTACAAATCTGAATATCATATACTACGAATCCAAACATAGGTATGTTTATATCTGTAATACTAGAACATGTCACATCATATAATGAGATACTCTATTCGTCCGTAAAAAACCAACATAGTATCGGATGTGACACATCCTAATACTATAAATTTGGACATACATATGTCTAGATTTATCGTACTAAAATATATCACATCCAGTTTTAGATTCGTTTTTCATGGGATGAAGGGAGCAGGTTTATTTTGAAACGAAGAGAGTACACCACATGCCTACGCAGCCTCATGTCCAGTCGAGTGTAACCACAAGCCCACGGGAATTTGCTGTCCAATGAAGACCCCACAAAACGACAAACTCCAATACCACACACCTCCGCTTCCCTCCAAATCGCAACAGAAATCCGAAGCGAAATCGCGCACGCACCGTCTCGCGATGCCGTCCCCGTCGCTCCGCCTCGCCGTCGTCGGCGCGGGCGCCGCCGGCCTGGTGGCGGCGCGGGAGCTCCGCCGGGAGGGCCACTCCCCCGTGGTGTTCGAGCGCGCCGCCTCCGTGGGCGGCACGTGGCTCTACGACGCCGCCCCCGCCACCTCCGACCCGCTCGCCGCCGGCGCCGCCCACTCCAGCCTCTACGCCTCGCTCCGCACCAACCTGCCGCGGGAGGTGATGGGCTTCCTCGACTTTCCCTTCGCCTCCTCCGCCGCGGAGGCCGGCGGCGGCGGCGACACGCGCAGGTTCCCCGGCCACGACGAGGTGCTCCGGTATCTGGAGGAGTTCGCGCGGCGGTTCGACCTGTACGGCCTCGTCCGCTTCGGGACGGAGGTGGTTAGGGTTCGGAGGGATGGCGGCGGCGGCGGCGGGAGGTGGGCGGTGACGTCGAGGAAGATCGGGGAGAAGGGGAGGCGTGAGGAGGAGGAGGAGGTGTATGATGCCATCGTGGTTTGCAATGGCCATTACACGGAGCCTCGCGTCGCCCACATACCTGGTAATCTCCTCGTCACTAGCAAAGTTGCAATCTAATCAATTTTGCTTGAACTACTCCTAATCATGGACAGATTCAAGGAATTAAATAATTTGGTACTTCGTACTGTTGCCAATGTATGGTTGCAATGTTGTGATCGTCGAATCCAGGAAGGTTAATTTAACTCCAAATTGAACTCAACCGTTTGAAGTTTTGAAAATAGATTGGGATTGATTTCAAATCTGTATTTTTTTAACACTGTTATGATGATCATCAAATCCAGGAAGGTTAAGTAAACTCAAAATTAAACTCAACTGTTAGGTTGGGATTGACTTCAAATATGTATTCTTTAAACACTGACAGGGGTGGAGGCTTGGCCTGGAAAGCAGATGCATAGCCACAATTACCGCGTTCCAGAGCCTTTCCACGATCAAGTAACTGTCTTTCTTTACCTGTGCAATCTTTCCTATCATGCATTTGTGCTTAAATGTTATCTTGGTTGATGCGTTGCACTTGTAGGTAGTGATCATAATCGGGGCATCAGCAAGTGCAGTAGACATCTCAAGGGACCTTGCAGGTGTTGCAGAAGAGGTTCATGTTGCTGATAGATCAGCACCTGCCTGCACTTGCAAAAGGCAGCCTGGATATGATAATATGTGGCTCCATTCCATGGTAAACGCCCTTTTCTCGTGGTGAGTGATAGCATATGGTAGCTTTATCCGCTGAAAGGGCTGCCACATTTAGCACAACTAGAAAACTAATTTTCAAGCTGCAGATTGATCATGCACAAGAAGATGGCTGCGTGGTGTTTCAGGATGGCAGCTCAATCAAAGCCGATGTCATCATGCACTGTACTGGGTATGTAAACCTGCACTACCCTGCAACCCATTTCTCGGCTTCTTGTGCGAAATTGCATTTTTGTTACTACCTCCGTTTCAGGTTATGCCTAGATTCATTAATATCAATATGAATATGAGCAATGCTAGAAAGTCTTATAACCTAAAACGGAGGAAGTACTTCAGTTGAAACTAACAATGTGTTCCTTTCATCTGCCTGTCGACTAGCTACTTGTATGATTTTCCATTCCTTGAGGATGATAGCGCCATCACCGTTGATGACAACTGTGTCGATCCACTATACAAGCACGTTTTCCCACCAGAAGTAGCACCTCACCTGTCCTTCATCGGATTGCCATGGAAGGTCATTATGTGTGCAAAAAGTGATGCCATTCACTTTAGATGCACTTGTAATTAAGTTGTCTTGATCTTGTGATGATCATAGGATGTAAAGCATTCCCCTGCCTTGCTTCTTGCAGGTCATTCCTTTTCCATTGTTTGAACTCCAAAGCAAATGGGTTGCCGGCGTGCTATCAGGACGAGTCAAGCTTCCTTCGAGCGAAGAAATGATGGAAGATGTGAAAGCCTTCCACTCGAAAATGGAAGCGCGTGGATGGCCTAAGAGATACGCCCACAACTTTTCAGACTGTCAGGTAGCCTGGAGATGCTTTGAGTGTCAGTTACCAAAGTTCTAATGTTTTGAAACGAAATTAATAAATATGATTGTCATCTACCTGCAATTTTTCAGTAGTTTCGTTTATGCTCCCTTGATAAGCTTGTTTTCATTTCCAGTTTGAATATGATGATTGGCTTGCGGAGCAATGTGGCCATCCACCAATTGAACAATGGAGGAAGCTGATGTATGCTGCTAATTCAGAGAACAAGGCTGCTCGTCCGGAGAGTTACCGCGATGAGTGGGACGATGATCATCTTGTGGCAGAAGCAGCAGAAGATTTCAAGAAATACTTGTAAAATCTCAAGAAGATTTCATTCAATGTACATGATTGCAAATTTGCAATGCAGAAAACATCAGAGAATAATTCTGTACACCCAAAATCTCAATTCATGTCTGGAATGGGCACAAATGCTCGTCATCAGATAGTTGGTTTACTTGTGTATTATTTGATCATTTGATGCCTGTAGATTGTAATAATAACCTGAAGCAAAAACAAGAGAATAATTCTGTGCATGAGAAAGGAGAAACCTTGAGTCTGGAACGGATATGCTGGTCTTTTTTATAGTCTCTTGGGAAATGAAATTATCATTTGAGCTTTGTAGGCTGTGTAAGATGGCAAAAAAATGGTAAAGGAATTTCGCTACCTTAGGACCGTTATAGTTACGGCCGCCGTTCACCGGGGCTTCGGTCGCCGGCTTCCCTGTCATCAGTTCACCAACTTCCTTGACCTTCCGGCACTGGGCAGGCGTCAGCCCCCATACATGGTCTTACGACTTTGCGGAGACCTGTGTTTTTGGTAAACAGTCACCCGGGCCTGGTCATTGCGACCCTCTTTTGCGAGGGGGCACCCCTTCTCCCGAACCCGGGTCTGTACCGTGGCAGGGTACTATTCTACCACTAGACCACAGGTGCTTGTTGTGTTAGTTAGACAATTTCTCAATTAAATAGTCTATATTTTCCCTGCAAAGCGCAAACAAATGGTTACTCCCTTCAATGTCTCAAGGGACCAAGGCTGTTCTGCTGCATGATTTCATTTAATCATCTCATCAACGCATACAATTATTAGGCAAATATCAATATTACCTTTCATTATAGCAGCAATTCGCCTTGAACCATCAAAAAAACAACAAGAGGAGCAATAGAAAAGAAAATGAAAATCTAACAAAACCAATGTACTCCACATCCATCCGCCCAAGTGTGAAGGATGATTGGATGAAACATAAAACTAACTACTCATTCACTACAGGTGCTCAAATCCAAACTTGAGCATATGTCATCAAAACCATTTCTTGAGTTCTAGGGTCCAAAAAAGATCGCTGCGAAGTGAAAACTGATGCTTGCCTCCCTCCATCATGCTCAAGATTGTCAACTGTTTCATGATTTCATTTAATCACCTCATCAATTTATGCAAGTATAAGGCCAATATGAAGGTCGCTCAATTTATCTTTTTATCATAGCAGCAATTTGCTTTGAAACATCACAAAAAACAAGAAGAGGAGCAGCAGAGATGAAAATGAAGATCTAATGTACATCCGCCCAAGTATGAATGATGATTGGAAGAAAGTAAAAAACTACTGCTTCCTCCGTTTCATCATGTAAGATATTCTAGCATTGTGCACATTCATATAGATGTTAATAAATCTAAATATGCATATATGTTTTTATTTATTAACATCTATATGAATATAAGCGATACTAAAAAGTCTTACATTAGGAAACGGAGAAGTACTAATCAAAATCCAAACTGGAGCAATATGTCATCAAAAACCATTTCTTGATCCTAGGACTCGACGGCGTCGTCCTCCAGCGAGTATATCCTCTCCGGCTCGCCGTCGTCCAGCGCGCGGACCCGCCTCCGTATCCTGCGGAGCGCGCCGTCGACGGCGAGGTCGACGGCGTCCTTGGCCGTCTCGCTCAGCTCCGCCGTGCTCCCGTGCCGCCGGTACAGCACCCTCGGCGCCATCTCCAGCGCGCGCTCCCGCATCCTCCTCACCTCGCCCTCGCCCACCGCCGCCAGCGTCTCGGCGATCTTGACGCCGCCGAACACCACCGACTCCTTTGGTATGTACACCGAGAACTCGTCGTACCTCTCCGGGGGCAGGTGCCACCCGTACTGCCGCCTCGCCGCCGCGTCCTCGAAGAACACCGGGACGCAGCCGGCGAGGATGGCGTCGAACGTGGAGCGCCGCGTCGGCGTGTCCCCCGGCGGCTGGAGGCAGAACCTGGAGTGCAGCATCGGCCGCATGTACCGGATGGGGTCGTGCGAGCACCTGCCGCCGGAGCAGTCCACGACGACGCACGCGTCGGTGCGGTTGGCGCACTCGGCGAGGATGGAGCCGCGGATGTTGGGCCTGGAGGGGCGCGACACGCCGCCGGAGAAGAGCATCAGCGCGGGGCGGCGGGCGCGGCGCGCGCGCGCCAGCCACGCGCGCAGCCGCGGCAGCGACGCCGGGTGGAACGACGTCGGGTGCGGGATCGCGTGCTCCTGCCACGGCCACGCGCGGGACTCCAGCGTCAGGAACGTGAGGTTGCCGAGCGCCGGGAGCCGGAGCAGCGACGTGGTGCCCCACAGCCTCGCCTCGGCGGCGGCGGCGGCGGCGGCGCGCACCGGCTGCGAGTAGTCCCACGCGGACCCGGCGAGCACCAGGAAATGGTCGTGGCCATGGCGGCGCGCCAGGATCTGCGGCCTGTCCCGCGCCAGGAACTCGGCCAGCTCCGCGCCGTGCTGCGCGGAGGAGTCGAGGAGCGCCGGGTCGAGCACGTAGGGGAGCGAGTCGAGGCCCGCGTAGTAGGGGAGGTAGACGGCGTCGGCGAGGGCGGGGTCGGCGACGAGGCAGCCGCGCTCGGCGACGCGGCGGTGGAAGAAGACCTCGAGGAGGCGCGTGTCGGTGCGGTACCAGGAGCGGCTGCTGGAGTGGGTGCGCGGGCCGAGGCCGTGGTTGACGAGCGACTCGCAGGGCGGGGACGAGGTGGCCGGCGTCGACGGGTCGGCGAGCGGGAACCCGGCGTCGCAGTGGCGGAGGAGGTGCGCGTTGAATCGAGGCGGGAGGCGACGGATGTGGATCCGTCGGCCGGCGCACGGGTCCTTCCGCGTGGCGCCGCCTTCGCCGGCGCCGGCGGTGGCGGCGGCGGCGGCGGCAAGGAGGAGGAGGAAGAAGAGAGGATTGGGCATTTTGGGAGGAGAGAGAATGTGTGGGTGGTCGTGTAACTGAAACTGCACGGTTATTTCAGCGGATGTGTGGCTCAGATTTCACACTTTAATATTTTTCTCCTGTGCAGTTATTTTCAGCGGTTAAATTGCACCGGTTAAAACTAACTGCCATCATGTCGTGGATTAAGCTTTAGTGCATGTTTTGGGGGTAGTTTTTGGCGAGTTGCAACTTTTCTTAGAATTTTTAGGTGTTAGAATCTCTCTCAAACAGTTCAGATTTTTATCTAAATTTTAAAAATTTGTATGAAATAGAACTTAGAAGTTAGGAAACTTAGTTTTTTCCAGATTCTCACCGGTAACATTTTAAAACCTTAACCTCCCCAAACAAGATCTTAGTCTGGCCTACATACAGTTTTCTCTTCTGTGGTCAAATTGAGTTTGATATTTTTTTCAAGGAAAAGCTTGTTCGCCTAATCTCTACGAGAAAGGAATTGTTGAGGAGGATTAGAGATGATTAATTTCACATCATCCCTCTAATTCCTCTTCAATTTTCTCTTGAGGGAGGGATTAACTGAACAAGACAATAAATTATTCTTTTTCTTTCTGGGTGTAAAGCACTGAAAGAATACCGAACGAGAAGCAGTTTTGCACTTGTTCAGAAGTTCAGACGCTGGACGAACATCCGGTCAAAAATATTCCAAACTCACACGCTGCTACTCTATATATATAATATATTGGATGATCTGGGCCTAGCAACTTCTTATTGGGCCATACACAGCATGTTGTTAGCTGGGCCTATTTTTTCCTTGGAATAAGTTCATATGAGGTCCCTTAACTTTACACCGAGTTCGATTTTCGTCCCTGAATCGCAATACCAGATACAACGGATCCCTCAACTGTCAAAATCGGTGTAGATGAGGTCCCTCGGCGGTTTAGATTGCGGTTTTAACTGATGTGTCGCTGACGTGGTTAGTTTGACTTACTCCTTATCGTATGAAGCGGCGATGTGGCACTTGGAAGCAAAATAAAAGGCGGGACCCACGTGTCAGTCATTAAAAATAGTGGGACCCACCCTGCTCTCTTGTCCCTTCTCCCTCCCGGCCATTCTTCATCCTTCCTCGAGCTCCCTAGCTGGCAGGTGAGCGTGCGCGGAGAGGGAGAAGGGCGCCAACCATCGGGTGGGGAGGCCGGCGAGCGTGCGTGGAGAAGGAGCAGGCGGGTAGGCCGACGAGCGGGACGGGTAGGTCGGTGAGCGCGCGGCGGCAGGCGAGAGAGCAGCGGCCGGAGCTGCACGACCCCCCCCCCACCCCCGGCACCGCCGCATCGATCTGCACGAGTTGCGGCGACGGCGAGCTCACAGCCGCGGGACACGGACAGCGTGGTGTTGACGGGGCCCGGGACTCGAGCTCGTAGCCGCCGCTGCCCACTTCCCCAACCCCCTCCACCTGCGTCAAAGTTTTTGATATTCATGGCATTCTGCTCTTGTTCTGGTGGATTGATTGATTGGTGTGCTTGTGCGGATGATTTGTGCGAAGGCGACGCCAAGAACGCCCACCTGATGTCTCTGGACGGCGTCGCGGAGAGGCTGCGGCTGTTCAAGGCCGACCTGCTCGACTACGGTAGCGTGGCGGTGGCCATCGCCGGCTGCAACAACGTCTTCCATGTGGCCTACCCCGTGCTCCTCTCCGCCCCTAACCCAGGGGCACACCTCTCTCTTTTTTCAGCAAAATAATTCCTTTTCTTCTCCATTGACTTGTTCAAACTGTAGACTGCAGTTACTGAAAATCGACAAAATCAACAGTTTCTACTAAAAATGATTTGTCGAAACTGTTGATTTCTCAACAAGCAGTAGTAGCTGAAGTCTGCAGAGTTGTAATTAAATCGTCATGTTCTTGTAGCTAAATGAATTGATGTTGTTGTAGGTTCATACACATGCTGCTGCTGTAACGGGCACGACGAATGTGCGGAAGGCTTGTTCAGAAGCAAGGTTGGGACTTGGGAGGGTTGTGGTGGTGTCATATGTATCTGCTGCGATGGTGAATCCTAACTGGCCTGAAGGCAAGGCCGTAGATGAAGATTGCAACTCGTGCAGATCGATGCGGCGGCGCAGCAGGAGTCTTCGTCGGCGGCGGGGCCGAGGTCGTGCAGCTCCGGCCGCCGCTCCCTCCTCTCCCGTCGCGCGCATGCCGGCCTACCCTCCCCGCCCAATGGCTGGCGCCCTCCGCACTTCTCCCCGCCGGCGCCCTTCTCCCTCTCCGCGCTTTCTCCGGCCGGCGAGGGAGCTCGAGGAAGGATGAAGAATGGCCAGGAGGGAGAAGGGATTAGGACGACGGCGCGATGAAGATAGAGAGCAGGGTGGGTCCTACTATTTTTTAAGACTGACACATGGGTCTCACCTTTTATTTTGCTTCCAAGTGCCACCTCACCGCCACATAGGACCAGGACTAAGTTAAACTAGCCACGTCAGCGCCACATCAGTTAAAACCGCCATCTAAACCGCTGAGGGACCTCATCTACACCGGTTGTGATTCAGGGACGAAAATCGAACTTAGCGTAAAGTTAAGGGAACTTATATGAACTTATTCCTTTTTCCTTCGCTGATAAGCTGCTGGGCCAGATTGCCACAGGCCATAGAAGAGAAGCCCATTTAAATCCAGCACTTGCGAGCCGCCACGGCGGCTGGCTCTCTACTCTAGTCCCATCCAACGTGCTGTACTAGCAGTTTCATCCAAAAATATACTACCCCTATGTTTCCGTCCGTCCCAAAGAAATCCAATTCTAAAATTGAATCTGGACATAGTGTATGCCGTATGCCCAGATTCAAAATCTAGGATTGAGTGTTTTTTAAGAATGGAGGAAATAGTATAGAAAATTAACACCAGATGAGACACATCATATATTGTCCTAAATTAAACTCTACGGAAAAGACATTCAGGTAGCACTCCGAAATCAGAAAGGAGAAAAACAAAAGGAGGCGGCGATCTTGTTGAACACGTGCGTGCAACGCAATTGGTTAAGAGTACATTCACTAGTAGTGACAAGTGAGTGAGTTGATTCGTGAACAAACGATATGATGATGTACAGGTCGGATACACGTGTGTATCGTACGCACGTCGATGCGACGTTGCACACGTTAATTAGGAGTATTCTGTCTTGTGCGTACGTAGCTGCTGGCTGCTGCTGCTGCTGCTGCTGCGTCAGCACATCGTTGGATCGATCGAGACGCGCTGGGTTTAATTTCGTCGCGTTGGTCTCACACGAACGCCGGCATAATCTATCGCTAGATATTACTCCTCCGTATTAACGTTTGGCAACCTTAGCATTTTATTTTTGGCAAAAGAAAGTGTTGCGCCACAGGTTACCATCAAATCGTGTGACAAATTAATGTTGCGGTGAAGTTAGCTACTCTCTCCATTTAACAGTGTAAGACTTTCTAACATTACCCATATTCATACATATATGAATGAATCTAGACGCATATATGTGTCTAGATTCATTAACATCAATATAAATATTGACGATGCTAGAAAATCTTACATCGTGAAAGTAGCTAGCAGCAATCGGTTTTAAATTTTACGACCTCTCGTTTCGAAGCTAGTTTACCAGTGTGCTGGTCGCTTTCAATACTATCGTTAACTTTTGGAAAAAATATATAAAAGTACCAAAAGTCTTACCTCAAATTGGTTTTGTTCACATACCCTTGGTTAATAAACCGTAGCTAAAAACAACACGCAATGCATTATGAGTTTATTTTTCATCCATACTACACATACCAATACAAAAGAAAAAAAAACTAGAATTCTCATATACTTTATTAAATCTCAATAAAACTATTATCCACCTTATCTAATTCTAATACAATTATTTCTTGTTTTAAAAAAACTTAGATGCAATAATTACTCTAAAAATAAATTTATTTTTGAACAAATGGAAGGAGCTTAAAACGAACGTATTACTAGGACGGAGGGAGTATGAGTATGTCTTACAAGTCAAATCATGAACAGTGAAAACAAGAGTTCCAGTAAAAGAAAACACAAGTGGACGCCAAGACTGTTAGATCACACTCTATTGTGTCATGTGGCACGGCGAAAACGTCAAGACTGTTGTTATGTACACATGATCACACTCTATTATGTCACCAGCATTGTCATGTACACATCAACACATGTATGATCTCGCTTGTCACTAGCACATATATAGACATAGACATGTACACTACTAGATGCAAATAGATTTGGGAATAATTTTGTATTGCCATATAAGAACTTTGAAGTCGCTGGCATGACACAGTGGGAGAAAATATATATTAATATTGGTAATCGTTAGGGTTAGAATTGTTTGACCGCCCAATCAGCAGTAGCTAATAAGCAATATCTTGATCCAACACCATCGGGGTACCATGTGCAACCATTGCCCCAATTGGTTAAACGGTTGCCTAATTAAACCTGTGGGATCGTGACCAGACTAGTATTGTTATTGTACCGCTGGGAGGAACATCTCGATCAAGTGAGGTGTACCATTTTCTGTTAAAAAAATGCAAGGAGCTAATATATATAGTTGCTATAGTAGTATAGTTTAGGAGACAAGTTGTTGGAACGATGCAGAGACATCATCCAAGAAATACCTTTGTGACCCTTGTCTCGAAGCTTGATTAATCTGGCCTCGATCGTGAAGATGTACTATTGTATTCATCATATTTCCCTTGTTGTGTAGTTAGCATCGTTTCGTGGTTATATTATCTTAATTGGAATGCATTGATCTTTTTTAGGTAAGCCCTACTTTTTTTAGAAAACGGGATTACATGCCAAATTACATAAAACTTCCTTTTTTTGGCTTCAGCACTGTTTTCAATAAGAAAAATAACGAACTTCCTGTCTCTGCACTCACTTATAGATACAAGCAACCATCCAAACTTTTTACCTTAATTTACGCATGCATTATTCATAGTTGTATAGGCAAAATCAATATCATTAATGAGAAGTACTCTACTCCATGATATCTCCAATAAGGCCAGTCACAATGGCTAGTGTCATTGCACGGCTACCCAAAATATTATACCATCTTCTCTCAAATGAAATCTTTTATGAAACATCCCCACAGTGGAGGGGTTTCACTTTGACGTTTCCAAGACTAAGCAAAGCATTTAATTGATACAAGTTGCTGGGATCATTTGTACCCAAAATCCGGCGCGGCGCGGGAGAATGCGGAGGTCGCACGGCGGAGGCGGACGCAAGAGATCCGGTGAATGAAACGAATCGGCCTCAACGGGGGTTTCACTCTGTTACCGAGGACTTGGAAACGACGCTGACGAGTTTCACCAGGATGAAACTCTTTCCTTCTCTCTCATCCCCATTTCATGCAAATAATCATTTTTTATTCAGTCTTACCCCTATTAAATGTGCATGACACACCAGTGAAACCCCCATTGTGACTGGCCTAATATCATCCACATGGCAAGTACAATTGTACTACTAGTGATTGGCAAATTTCATAAGCCTGTCCGAAGGAAGTACTAAAGAATTAATCTGCACCATCTCTAGGGACAGACAAAAAAACATTATTGAGTACTCACAAACAAGAAAAATATGAAAAATATGTAGTGAAAATCATATATGTACTAGAAACTTGAAAACCACACTGAAAAATGGAGGGCATATGCAATAGGTACTGGTACTAGCTAGCTATCAGCGTGTAGGTGTGTTTGAACTGTATTAACAGTTTGAGTACGCAGATTAATGCAAAACCATACATACTAATACGGTGGGCATATATGCTTAGTTTCATTGATGCTAGCTACTGCTCCTAATTAATCCTAGTTCAACTCACAAATCAAGGAAGAAACATCATTTGATTAATTGAAACAGAGCAGGTACTTGTACTCCCTGCTAGTACAATTCATTCTTGGAGGACAAGACATGCAAGCTTTGCTAGCTTCCTTCGTTTTGTCAAAGGACACAGCGTCTCTAGAAATTAAACGTGTCACCTGTAGAAGTTAAATCTCCACGCAATAATCAACCTGTCCAGTTAGTCCCTGTCCGGCAAAAGATTCAGAAAATTTTTAATTAGCCCCTGTCAATGTCTGAATCGATCAGCGTACACACACAGTATGAGTCATGGCGATGTGGACGTACATACTTCACGACATCCCTCCGAAGTTTCCGTACAATTTCATGAGCTTGACACTCCCCGTTAATCTCTTGTTTAATGACTATACTTGTAGTTGTACCACGCGATTCCATGACCTTGACTCTTTCGTTAATTAACCTCTTGTTTAATGACTACACTGTACAACGTATTACTGGTAGGTAGCTTGTGTCGAGAAGGAATTTTTCGTTGGTCCATCTGTTCATGATCTGCCTGCTTCTGCTTGACCTAGTTAAGGCCCCGTTTAGTTTCCCAAAAATTTTTTTAAAAAAACATCACATCGAATATTTGGAAGTATGCGTGGAGTATTAAATATAGATTAAAAGAAAAATTAATTGCACAGTTAAGAGGAAATCGTGAGACAAATCTTTTGAGTCTAATTAGTTTATGATTAGCCATAAGTACTACAGTAACCTACAGGTGCTAATGACGGATTAATTAGGCTCAAAAGATTCGTCTCGCGATTTTCATGCGAGTTATGAAATTAGTTTTTTCATTCATGTCCGAAAATCCCTTCCTACATCCGGTCAAATATACGATATGACACGCAAGTTGCTGCTGAAATTGCCAAGCAATGCATGACTCGGACATATGTGCGCACCGACCATGAATTTTTCTCTGAATTTTCCTTGCGATTCTCTGAAGATTCGACAGGTATCTCGCACACAAATACATTCGTATGCGTCGTCGTCGTCAGCGCCTCGTCTGCAGAGAGAGAGAGAGAGAGAGAGAGAGAGATTACGTTTCGCCGCCGCCGCTGCATAGCTGCAGCTAAATTGCACCGACAAAATCAAAACGTCTCGATCATGATCTGACGCGTGATCGATGTGGCTGCCGTCTCGATCGCTCTACACACGCAATCGATCTGGACTCTAAATTAACCAACTCGATCGATCGTTCGCGATTAATTTAGCCGCCAAATTGGGCATAATTAAACAAGAGCGTTATTAATTAGCACACAGGGGTTTTGGGGGTCGTCGTAATCGAAGAATCTGCAGGGTATCTTCTTCTTCGTCGTCGTCTTCCATGCCCTCACGCAAATTAAGCGAGGTAGCTAAAATTTTCGATTACTAATTAGTAAAAGAGTCTTAGAATCTGTTTGGGAGAACTTAAAATTATAAGATGTAGCTAGATGGTAGTCAACTTTTGAGAAGAAAAAGCTTAAATTTCAAGAAACAGTTGGGTGGTAACTAGCTTCTAACAATTTGGAGAGGGGCTGGCCTAGTTCCCCAGCTTCAGAATTCTTGTTCATTTTCCTGGATTCTATAATACATTTTTTTCAAAATCTGAGAGCCTGTTCACTTTTGATGCCATTTTTTCAACCATACCATTTTTTAGTAAAGTTGTCAAAAAATGTCTATGTTTAGTTTATTGTCAAATTTAGTCAATACACAAGAAATCCTGTTAAAATTTTGATAATATTACCATCTTGCTAAAATTTGGGCATTGCCAAAATTTAGTAAGGTTTATTTTGGCTACGATCTGAACAGGCACTGAACGAAAACTGAACTATTTAGGGAGTTTTTGATTACGAGAGAAAGTAGTATTTAGAAGCTCTCCAAATAAACCATTAGTTCTTGACCAAAAGATTAATTAGTTACACGCGGGTGATAGCTAGCTAGGTGATCGAGATGGTGGTGGTATAGCTAGTAGTAGCAGGCATGTTCCTGTCCCGACAATTTTGCCGCTGTTTCCTCCCCATCGGTTTGATTTTGCCTTGGGAAACCAAGCTAGTTTGCAACGCGTGGAGCCATTTGTATAATCGCGTGCTTAATAGTTTAATTATCGTGAGGAACGAACTAACTAACTATAGTACTAGCTGATCCCTGTCTCTACATATAATAATCTTAGCACCAGCTATTCCAGATTTTACCAGCTCCATCGTGCAGATCGATCTCACGTTAATTTTTGCTGACCTTCGAAATTGCTGAAACTTGTTCGGTACATTATATTAATTGACTTGGCTAGATGTATAACTTAAAAAAAACAAGAGATTTGTTTTGTTCCAGTAAAAAATATCTTGGGGTACGAGTACAGAGTATCTCACGATACTGAATTGTACTATCATGAGGTACCAGTACCCTCAGGTATTTTTTTCTGGACCGGAGCGAATCGTAAAGTATTTTTAGAACGGAGGTAACAATACAATGTTTATCTACAGCTAGCGGTAAGTATATATATAATGCGTTAGGTAATTAATTGGTTGTATACATTGCTATGGCCTTGCACGCAAAACACATTGCCGATTGCATGACGTGCAATTTCAGGCTTTCAGCTGGGCTGATGAAACGACGGGCTACTAACTGGAAAGCTCTGATATAAGTTAGGACATGCAGCTGTCTCGCATGGCCGACGCTAGCTTAGCTGTTAGCGTCACATGAATACTGTGATCGACTGACCCCTGCATTACTAGTAGAAATTAAACTAGCTTAGCTAGCCAATGCGAGCGAAGTAACGCACATGTCTGAAAATCCGGACGTCTCAACTGTGAGATTGATCATATATGCAGCTAGCTGAATTAGCAGCCGGTATAGCTTTGAGAGAAAAGTCCTATAAATACAATAATTGACCTCACCTTGCATCTACTAGCATTTGTTATTGAAGTCAGTCAATTGGCTTTTGCTGCTAAGATAGAACATGTTAAAGGGGTGTTTAATTTGGTTTATGGTCACATTTTGTTACACCATATTTTTTGCTGACACAATTTATTAGATATGAGTTTGGTTCGTGGCTCGTCACACTTTTTCAATAGCATGTCCTATATATTATAGACTCAATTTTTTTGTCAACTTTATCATAATTGTGACTATTAATTCGTTCATTATACTTTTGTGACTGTCACAACTTAGCTAATCTTAGTTATGGTAAAATGTGATCGGTAACCAAACACATTCCAATTTTACCATTGTTGGTTTGGGCACACCTACCATGCGTAAAGTATAGGTTGAATTAAACAAAGTGAGAAAAGCATCATGGGGATGAGTGCCCCGTGCGGGCATCCAATCAACGGATGCAGCAGTTGGTCCGACAAGATCCGAGCAACACTGCAAATTGACCACAAATGGCAAGAATTAATCTCCCCTTGTTTTCTTTCCCCTTCTCCAATCTATACCTGGTCTTCTCGTGCCACTGTACGGCCGCGAAAAATTTTAAGAAAAAGAAAATCCATGACGACTTAAGCCGGCCCCTTGTTGTCTGCTTTAGTAGCTTCTCAGCCACAGCTAAAAATTTAAACTTAAATATTTAAGACCTTTTCATTATATTGTATCGCTAGCTAATTATATAGGTATAGAAATTTACTTAAAAATATTTTTTATTTGTTTTTCATGGCTTATTATCTTAACATTTCTAAGCAGAGATGCTGACTATCGTCATGTTTAAGAGACCTTGAGATTCCGAGAAATGAGAATATGCAAAAACATTGGTCGGGTGCCCTAGCTTCTACTTTCTTAATATATTTTTCGAATTTTACAGCTACAAACCCCTCACAATTCAGATAATCTTTTTTTTAATATTTAAGCAACTACAGATTCTTTCATTTTCAAACAATACCTGTAGCGCTCGGCTTTGATGAAGCTGTTTCCCCATGTTTGGCGGATCCACGTCATTGCCAGCTCATCATCTATACACTGCTCGTGCTAGCTAGCTTGCCCCGGCGGTTGCGGCTCCTCCTCCCAAAGGGCAACGCCGGCCGTACCACCTACCCCCACCAGAAAAGGCGAAGAAAATTAGTACAGTAAAAGTTTTTTAGTAGTGTTTGAGTTTGTCACCGTCAAGCATAATATAAAATAAAACACCACATTTTAAAAAGGACGCTTCACATTGCTCCCACAAACACGCAGAAGAATTTAACCACCGCCTCCTCATCATTCACACGATTGATTTTAGTTTGGTGTAGTTGTTGACATTTTTTTCAAATATACCCAAAAAAATGTATTTCAAATTTGACTCTACCGCTAAGCGTTCAAAATCTGATGGCCACAAATATTAGACGCATGTAGCTATATAGATAGACTTTCAACAGGATTTTAGCGAGATCACGGATATGTCGCTCGCATGGTGCACATTTAAAGTGTGGTGTTGTATATACAGTGATGTGTGCACATGCTTATAGTAATAAAAAAATATGTTTGGAAGCAAAATTAACCAAAGAGATGAAGGGCAAAAGCGTCACGCGCGACGCACGAGGGCGGTCGACTTGTCCCGGGCCGAATCATGGGTGGGGTTGGGCGGAAGCTGGTCACGTGGCGCCACTCGTGGCCACGGTCCGCCCACGTGGAGATCCCGTGGAGCCCACGCAGGCCCACGCGTCGACGCGTCGGCCCATGGTCGAGCCGAGAAAGTGGCCTCGGCCACGGTCAAGGAATCGAGGCCCGCACGGATCCCGGGCCCACCACGCCCCTCCCCCCACACCCCCCCCCCACGAACCACCATCGCCGTCGCTTCCGTCGACGTGGCGCCCCCAGATCATCCCACGTCAGCGGACCACACCCCGTGGGCCCCATCGCCTCGCTTTATTAAAAAAAAATCAACTAATCCCGTGATGCAGAAAACGAAACGGAAACGCACCGAAACAACCGCTAACTACTTTTCCCTCTCCTCCTCTTCTCTCTCTAGAGAGAGAAAAAAAGAAAAAAAAAAGAAAAGAAAAAGAAAGAGAAGCTCTAGAGAGAGAAACAAGAGAGAGAGTCGCCGCCTATTAATACACGCGCTCCGCCATCTTCTCTCCTCTCCCCTCTCACTCCTCCCAAATCCCCTCCATTGCCTTCCTCGCTTCGCATCGCCGCTCCCGCCGCCGCCGTCGGGCTGCTCGCCGGCATTGGGGTAAGGCCGGCCTCTCTCTCCGGGATCAGCTTCTGCTCTTCCCGTTGTTTGATTGATTGATTGATTGATTTTTTTTTTGGTTTTTTGGGTGGGGTTTCTGACGCGCGTGGTGATGCGGTGGTGTGGGAGGTCTAGATTAGATCTCGGGTGGGGAGGATTGCTCGTCGTGATCGGGTTGTGTGTGTGTGCCATTTTTTGGCGTGTTCGATGGTTGGATGCTCGGTCCACGTCTGCGACGGCGGCCACGAGTTTGAGCTGTCCAAACCCGGGACGAAACCGAAAAAAAATATATGCAAATTTGTTTTTGGTTCAATTGGTGGGAAGGCGGAGGACGAGGACGAAGACGAACAGTAGCAGTAGCTTCTCTTGCCGTTTTCCTCAATTTTTGTTTGGATGCATTAGCAAGGAGAGGACAAAAGGATCCTCTTGTTTTTTTCCTTTCAAGAATTTCTTTTTTTTATTTGATTGATGATTTTCGCAGTACATATGGGCTTGTCGTCGCATATAATGCGCGCTGAAAGTTCTGGTTGGTTGGGGGGTTTCCTTTCACTGCCGCCGTTTCGGGGAGGCATGTTGCATCTGCCTGGCCACATGACGCGAGAGCAGATTGATTGATTGATGCACTGCTGATCCAATCGATGTGTTAGCGTCGTCGGAATAGATAATCACCCATCAATGCAACGAATGAATGATGGAAGTTTCGACTTTTTTTTCTTTTTAGGTGCTCCTGTTGAGTGCTCAACATAAGCCATGTGCCCTTGTCCTAAATTTAGCTCATTTGCATGTGTTTATTAGCTGTTAATTGATGAGATTTACAAAGGGATTTCCTTGTCTAAGTTTCTTTGGATTGATAATGATGGATGATGGATGAAAAGTCGTTTTCCGACTAGTTTTTTTTGGTGCTACCTAAAGTGAATCAGGCATCACCGGTTGAGGGCGTGCCCCATTTTTCATTGTCGCTCGGGAATCTTCAGACCAAAAGTTGTACTAATTAATTTCCTTTTTTAACTTGCAAAGACAAAAACAGTAACCGTACTGTAGGGCAATCAGATCGGTGTTGTCAGCTCTTCCTGCATTAGGTTATCTGGTGTTCTGTTACATAATAAAGGTTTGTCGTCTTTGTTCTATTGCAGTGTTGGTTGTGACCGTATACAATTATTGTTTTTGGAGCTGAGCGATCAGATGCATGAGCCTTCCTTTTAAATGATCTGTGTCCACCATGGCGATGAACCAGTAGGAACCTGAGCAGTATGTTATCATTTTTCAGTTATTGTCTTTTTTTTTGGTAGTTGAAATTATTTTCATTATTGCAGAATGCAGGAACTTCCCGCTTAATGGGCTGGATGCGTTGTATGCACGTTTGCAGTGACAAGAAGACATTGAAACGTTGGTTTTTTATTGACAAGAGGGTTGGTTGAGTGTCTAACTCTTAAGGAATCCTATAGTCTACTTGCTTGCTCTTGTGTTGTTAGTAACTGTTCTTACAACAACTCTGCGGAGAGTTCTGTTGATGGATTTGAAGACAAGCAACTCTCCTGTTATTGCTGATCCTCTCCCTAAATTAGCCTTGCCATCTGCTGTGATGACGTACACTACACCTACGAGTTTCCCCTCTACCGGGCTGTACTTGAACACTCCGAAAAAGAAGCCTCTGCCTGGAAAGATCGAAGAAGTCCGCGCCGCTGGATGGCTTGATCTCATGCTGGCCTCCTCGCCACCTCGCAAGAGGCAGACTAAGGACTTTGCCAATGATGTTCAAGCTGACGAGCTTGATTTGCTATACCGTAATTGGGTGGTATGTTTTTGAATCTATAGTTATTGCTGAAGTACATCAAACATGGCAAACAATAAAATTTTCCACTGTTTTTCTTTTGTAGGTGAACCATCCATCTGCTTTAACATCATTTGAGGATATTGTTAATCTTGCCAGAGGTAAAAGATTGGCACTGTTCCTTGATTATGATGGAACTCTTTCACCGATTGTGGACAATCCTGAAAATGCAGTAATGTCTGACGAGGTATTCTTTTTCTCCTCTTATGTTCTTTAGTCCTCATTATTATCAGTGAAAATTTATCTGGCAGTTTTGTAAATATTCTATTCGACAGATGCGCTCTGCTGTGAAGCATGTGGCATCACTTTTTCCCACTGCGATCATTAGTGGAAGATCTCGTGATAAGGTAAGGAATTTATGTTCACATGTAAAATACTCCCCCTGCTAACCTTTTGCATTTTTCACTCTTTGTTGACTCTCTCTTATGTGTGTTTTGTTCTTTAGGTTTTTGACTTTGTGAAACTAACTGAACTGTATTACGCTGGAAGTCATGGAATGGATATCATGGGGCCTGTTAGGAAGTCTGATTCGAGTGGTCAGCATGTGGAATGTATCAGGTCCACTGATTCAGAGGTGCAACAGCTTTGTTGATTTTTTCCACAGACAAATTTCTCTCTTGTGACAAAATTCTAATTAGTTATTGCTTTTTGGCTCATAGGGTAAAGAGGTCAACCTCTTCCAACCTGCAAGTGAGTTTTTACCTATGATTAGCGAGGTATGTATTTCCATCTCGAACTTGGTAATTATTAGGATACCATTTTGTGTTGCACGGTTGAAAATTATTCATTTTTATACCTGTAGGTGTACAAAAAGCTCAGTGAAAGTATTAAGGACATTGATGGTGCAAGGATGGAAGATAACAAATTCTGTGTGTCCGTTCATTACCGCAATGTAGCACCACATGTAAGCCTGCATTGAAGATTTTAATTTCACACAGGAAATATGTGGTGTAAAATGTTTGCTGAATATTATTCTCATTGTTACATCTTAGGACTACGGAGAAGTTCATCAACGTGTGACTGCCGTCCTGAAGAATTACCCTTGTCTAAGGCTTACCCATGGGAGAAAGGTAAGGAATATACACAACCGCACAGCTGTTTCGAAGCACTGGTTAAGTACCATTGTTGTATTTGTTTTTAATTCAACTGCGCTCTTGAATTCAGGTTCTTGAGGTTCGACCTGTGATAGACTGGAACAAGGGGAAAGCTGTGGAATTTTTGCTGGAGTCACTTGGACTATGTGGGAAAGAAGATGTTCTTCCTATCTATGTTGGAGATGACAAGACTGATGAGGATGCATTCAAGGTAAGCCATAAACTGGTCTGCTTGCTCTTACCTGCAAAATATCAATTACTACTTCCATGTCTTGATGTATAATATTGCTCACTTGGCTCAAATAGGTTCTGAAGGCAAACAGCATTGGCTTTGGAATTTTGGTGTCATCTGTGCCCAAGGATACTGATGCTTTCTATTCCGTACGGGACCCAGCTGAGGTAATTCGTCTTCTATCTGCATTAAGTAATCTGTCGACAATAGATTCTGAACAATCTGATTTGGTTACAATCATTGAATCAACTGAGTATGAAAACATTCTTTGTGTATTTAGGTGATGGAATTCCTGAAGAAACTGGCATCTTGGAAGGAGGAATCCACTTAAGCAGAAGGGAGGAACATAACAGAATCGTTTTTTGAGGATATGGAGAAGTACCAACTATAAATACGAGCAAAATATACACTGCTAACAAATAAGTCTGGCCAAAATGTTTTTGATTTGGCATCCTATTATATAAGAGGCTCCCTAAACCACCCTTTTTTGGTCTCACTTTCATCTTATGTTTCTGGGATTCTGAGACATTTCATTCTTTTATTAGTTCTGTTCCTTTAGTATATATAAAATATATACACATGTATGCTGAAAAATTTTGGTTCCTGTCCCTGTCGTCTTAGGCAATTATTTATTCTACCGGCAAGTTGTAAACAACTGGTTGTTCATTTGTTCTTTAGTGTGCTGCAACGTTTTGTAGCTGTTATTCCAGTGTGCCCTTCTAAAAGTCAACTTGTGTGCATTGGCCCTGCAAACTACTGTAATTAGAACGATAATTGATGCAACCAATTGTATATTTGCCTGAGGCTGTGGAATCTTCTGCTTGTTTAACTTGAAATTAACTGGCTAATTGCTTGTAAACGCACTCATCAACGAGAGTGACTTGCTTGTTCAAAGCAAAGGAAACCCACTTGCGCTGAAGCATTCAAGTCAAAATCTTATTCGAAAAAAATAAATCTGCTCCGGACTTGACGACAGCTAAACTGCATACGACTTCAACACGGTAAAACTGTCAATTTCTTATGAGTCTGTCGAAATTTGATGGAAAGAAACTAATTTTAGACCAAATCCTGGCGTATGCGTAAATTGGCCCAATAATAATTCATCGTTTGAATTCCGGCCCATATGGGCCATAAATATGAACGGAATAAGTTCACTTTAGCTCCCTTAAAAGTGACCCGAATCTAATCCATAACCCTAAACCGCAAAACGGGATATCTCGACCCCCGAACTATCGAAACCGGTGCAATTTGACTCCCTTGGCGGTTTTGGAGGGTGGTTTCGGTGACGTGGCGCTGATGTGGCGGTGTTGACCTAGTCTGTGGGGTTGACGTGGCGCTTAGGTGTCATTTGAATTAAAAATGGATATGTGGGACCCGTTTGTCATTCATACATTAAAAAATGTGGGGCCCACTGACATGTGGGACCCATTCTTCTTCCTCCCTTCTCTCTTTGTTTCTCTCTCTCCCCTTTGGCCGGCTGGGCCGCCGGGGGAGCACGGGCTAGAGCGGTGGCGGGTGGGGGCCAGAGCGGCGGAAGCTGAAGCGGCGGCGGCGGTGGGAGCGGCGGCAGATGGCGCTTGCCCTGCAGGCCGACTGCTTCACCAGCGACCTGAGCTAGCTCATCGCCGACATGATGTCCGGGTCGGTGCCGCTTGACGCAACACGCAAGCACAAGTATCCCCGAGAGGGTGGCCATCTTGGGCGTGTTCAAGCGAGACAAAATTAATTGCTCCCCTCTGCCTACTCATCCTATTCTTTAGTGGATGGTGAACGACCTGCTAACAATCAATTTTATCTCTGGTTAGTTGCTAAATGAATCAATTTTATTTTTGGATTTTTGTGATGCTTGTGGCCTTAGCAGCACTAGTTCAAGGAGACGCAACGGGGGATGAGATGGTGGCGATGATGGGGCTGGCGCGGGAGTTGACGGCCACGCAGCGAGCTCGAGCAATGACTTGACGACGTCGTCGTTGCAATGCTGAATGGCGTAGCTCGATGGCAGCCCTCGCCCCTAACCAGCTTGACAGGCTCGATGTCGGCCGTGTCGTCAGCTTGTCGCATATGCCAGATGCCCGGATCTTGTTGTTGCAATCGGCGGAGAGGCCAGAGTGCCGGATCTTGTTATCACGGACGGCGGGAGGTGGCAGAGGGAGCAGGGAGCTTGTTCCCCGGTGAGGGTGCCGTGCTGGTGGAGGTGAGGACTGGGGTTAGGGCGCTTAGGTGCCGTGCCGTCGACCACCGTCCCCCCGCTCGATGTCATCGGCGTCGGCGTCGGCGCTGCTGTCCTCTCCCGCCTCCTTGCCGGTCATCGAGCTGCCCGTTGCCGCTCTGGAACCCGCCGTCGCTGCTTCAGCTTCCGCCGACCGCCACCACTCTAGCCCTGCCGCTCCAGCCGTGCTCTAGTCCCCGCGGCTGGCCAAAGGAGAGAGAAAGAGAAAGAAAGAGAGAAGGGAAGAAGAGGGGAGGAAGAATAAAGAGAGAGAGATGATGACATGTGGTCCCACATATGTGTTTTTAATTCAAATGCCACCTAAGCGCCACGTCAACCCTATAGACCAGGTCAACATCACCACGTCACCAAAACCGTCCTCCAAAACCATCAAGGGAGTCAAATTGCACCGGTTTCAATAGTTCGGGGGTCGACATACCCAGTTTTACGGTTTAGGGTCATGGATTAGATTCGGGTCACTTTTAATGAAGTCAAAGTGGACTTATTCCAATATGAACCGACTATGGCTCAACGGGCCGGAAAATGTGCTTCCTTCCCAAACGAGGCCTAAGATGACTATATATGGGCCTTGTTGGGCCGTTTCGACGAATCGAAATGAGGCCAAGCCCACATTGGCCCATTTTGATTCATCTCGGAGTTTTTCACATGGGCCACTCAGCTGGTCACTTCCTTCTCTCCCACTTTTGCTTACTCTCTCCGCCCTCCTAAACCCTACGACCATGCCGACCCTCGCCGCCGCCGCCGCCGCCGCCCGCCGCGCCGGCGGGGCACTGCGATACGCCGTGCTGGGCGGGGTTCGGTCGCTCTCATCCCTCCAGCCGTCATCCTCCTCCTCCGCCGCAGCCGCCGCCAGCGAGGAGGTAACGCAGCGGTTCTGGTTTCGCCGCCGCTTGGCCGCCTCCGACTCCGATCGGAGGTGTGAGGTTCTCTGGCTGACGTCGCGTGTCTCGGCAGGTGCTGGTGGAAGGCAAGGCCAGCGCGCGCGCCGCCGTGCTCAACCGCCCCGGCCATCTCAACGCGCTCACGACCACCATGGTTCGTACGCCTTTTCCTGTTCGATAAAATGCGTGCGTGGTATCAGGTGATATGTTCCTGTGACGTTTGTTCACATTCGTGCTCTCCACACTCCTATAAAGGGCCTGCACGTTCTAGTGAGAATGTGCTCTTGCTACCGATGCATGAAACACACCTGATTGTAAGGGCACAATATTTTTGTGGCTTTCCTATGTGATCATTTATTCTTTAATGGTATACTGCGGTTTTCAGTAAATTGACTTTTATTTTGAGTATAATGCTTGATGAAACATAGACATTTGTACATGTCTTGGTGGCTCATTGATCTGATTTCCTGTGACTGACTGTCTTGACAGGGAGCTAGGCTCAATAAGTTTTATATGTCATGGGAGGACAACCCTGATATTGGCTTTGTCATGATGAAGGTATGCTGCTTCAGCATTTGCATGGTATCGATGCCACTATATAGGTCTAAATTGATTTTTATATTATATGAAGGGCAGCGGCCGAGCATTCTGTGCTGGTGGGGATGTTGTTAGGTTGCACCAGCTTATAAGTGAAGGTGAGTGGCTAGGCCCTGCATGGTTTATAATTATCGTTTCCTTGTTTAGAACACCAGCCTCTGGATCAGAGCCTCAGAGGTTGCCATGCTTGTATTATTGTTGAAATATAAATTTTTTTTGTGACACAGCTTAGAATGATAGTGGTATCCAGTTCTTTTGTGACATCCTTCACTTGTATAAAGGTTGTTTACAACACTGCAAAAGAAGAGATTTGGTTCCAAATGGACAGTTCCACTGGAACCATATACATGGCCAACTGATTTATTCTTTCTTTTGCATGTCCAAAGGTTTCCTTTAGTGATAACCCTGTCTCTTTTTTTTTTAATTTTTTTTTAAAAAATAAAACCAGGAAAGTTGGACGAGTGTAAGGATTTCTTCAAGACTTTGTACAGTTTTATTTATGTTCTGGGCACATACTTGAAGCCACATGTAAGTGCATGGACTTCAACTTATAATCACTAATTTTGTTTTTATTTTTCGCTCGAAAATTTATATTACCTTTTGTGATGTAGGTTGCCATTCTTGATGGTGTTACCATGGGTGGAGGTGGAGGTGTTTCCATTCCCGGAACATTTCGCATTGTCACTGATAGAACGGTATGCAATTTTTTTTTGTTGATTTGTATTTTTGTGCTTGGGGACTAATAGTTATTGTGCAGTAGCATTTCTGCCTGGGTGTGCCCTTATGTTATGCATTTATGAGCATGCGGAGTTCAACTTAAACAAATATTTATTTACTTACCATGACTGTTTCCAGGTATTTGCAACTCCAGAAGTACATATTGGCTTCCATCCTGATGCTGCTGCCTCCTTTTATTTGTCCCATCTGACTGGTCATGTTGGTTAGTGTTCAGTTTTCCCTTTCAATTGAATTCTTTAATATCTGATATCCCCGTTCATCTCTTCTTTGTAACCCCCAGCCCTTTTAAGTAACCTGTGCATTTCACCGTTGGTCCTCTTTAGGTGAATATTTGGCCTTGACTGGTGAAAAACTCAATGGAGTGGATATGATCGCACTTGGCCTTGCTACACACTATTCCATGAGTGATGTAAGATCCTTTTAATTGAACTATACATTTTGGATTTCTTGTGTTCTATCTCGGTATTAGTTTTGCTAGTTGATTAACTTTATAATTCCCATTTCCTTTTACAGCGGTTGAATCTGGTTGATGAACGCCTTGCAACATTGTTAACTGATGATCCATCAGTTATTGATACTTCCCTTACACATTATGGAGATCTTGTGTATCCAGATAAGAGTAGCATTGTTCATAGGTAAGCCGTACAAAAAGTAAATATAATTCTGAACTGACAATGTCTTATTAAATGCTTTAGCATGTCATACTACAGAAGCTGCTGGAATTCCAGATTATGTTGTCTTCTAGTTGTTTTTTTTAAACATACACCCTCCATCCCAAAATATAGCTAGTAGAATGGGAATTGAAAGATGCTTTGCTTTCCTTGATGTTTTGGACTGCATTTCAGAATTCAGATCATCGTTTGTTTCTTTGTAATGCCATTACTCTGCAGAAAGACATGCAGAAGTATCCTAAAAGTGGTACTTTTATATTTAGAATGTGTGTTTATTCTTAATCCTTGAATCAAGCAGAGTGTGATACTGCTGTGATTTGTGAATCTTTGCATTAGCTGTAGAACTGTGCTTTTATATTTGTTCGGGACCAGGATTCTCTTGGTAATATAATTGGCTGTTAATAATAAATGATACAATGACATGCGTTTTGAATGTGCATGATTTTTCATGTGGATGTCTATAATACAATGTTTATGCTTTATGGAATCAATGTATATCTCATTTGTGCCCTTTGTGTTACTCTAGGCTGGAGGTTATAGATAAATGTTTCAGCCTTGAAACAGTCGAGGAGATTGTGGATGCCATGGTGAGTGATGTGTCAGTTGCTTTTACTACCAAATCTCTGGGAATGGCTTCTTTTCTTATTCATTTGAACATGAATAAGATGCTGTTGATTGATACCACAGCTTGCTGGGCTACCTTCTATTCCCATATCATTATTTACTAAAAAGAATCTCTTCTAGATGTTAACTGTTTGTACAGTAGTTATTGTTGTTGTTTTGGCATTAATTTCATTCCCTTGGTTAGCTTACTAGATAGTTCATTTCAAGGTTTTTGTTTCAACAGCAGAAATTTTGCTTATGCTTCAGAACTTAAGGGCTATGCTCTTGTAACCAGGAAATTGAAGCAGCTAGGTTAAATGAAGATTGGTCTACCTTGGCCCTGAAACGGTTGAAAGAGGCTTCTCCTCTTGCGTTGAAAGTTTCACTGCGATCGGTAAATAAAAAAAAAATCTGAAAAACCTCACTCTTTGTGCCTTTGACTGTCGATGGTTGACAGATTGTGTATGGTTATCCTGTAGATACGTGAAGGTAGATACCAGACACTTGATGAATGCCTTGTGCGTGAATACCGCATGTCTATCAATGGAATCTCAGAGAAATTTTCTCATGAATTTCGTGAGGTATGCTGTACTGCATTTCTTTTTGGTTCTCACAGGTTTATCGAATATTATTTATTGATGACCAAGTAACCACGGTGCTAAGTCTTTGAGGTAATTAGGAATCTGTCTGTGACTTGAAAATTTATTTAATTATGTTATAAATGTTGCTTCAATCATGCCAGGGTGTCAGAGCACGTCTTGTGGAGAAGGACCTAGCTCCAAAGGTAAATTACATAGCTGGTTGCACAATCTATGCTGTTAAATCGCAAAAAATAGAAAATAAAAGTTGTGTTCTGCATTTTTTTCATAAAAAAAATGTGGTTCTTGCAGTGGGATCCACCTGCCCTTGAGTATGTATCAGCGGACATGGTCGATTCTTACTTTGCTCCCCTGGGTGAATTTGAGCCTGAGTTGACACTGCCTACTGAATCGCGAGAGGCATTTGTATGATGACTCTGCATGACAATTCCAAGTAGCGCTTTTGTTTGAAGCCTTATAGATTTTTGAGCCCACACTGTCGACCGTTGGCAGCACATAATAACAGATAGGATTCTCAATCTATTCTTGTACCATATATGCCTTGGTGTATTGAAAGGAACTGATCTCCAAGGTGAACTCCTACCATTCTCACTTTCATAAATTAATGCCTTCGCTTCATTTCATTTATACTATTGCAAAGCGTGTCCAAGTCGCCTTGTGATTATGAGTTTGGGACTCATTTGTATTGTTGTTGTCTTTGAGCTCGTGTGCTGTGCTACCTTGTATTCCTCATGTGAGGTACTGATATTCAGGCCGAGCCAGCTATAGTCGGGGGCGGCTGATACACGATCAGCCGCGCGGGGAGGCGAGCGCGCGATCAGTCGCCCCCTTCCTCTAGTCTCTCTGTATCTAATCTACTACTTCTATACGTGTGTGTGTATATAGTATATACATACATATATATATATATAAATATATATTTTTAATGCATAAAAACACACACACACACGTATACGAAGTTTATATAGGACATATACAAACTTTGTATACGATAAATACAAACTTTATATACATACGTATTAAAAATAAAAAAACTAAAAAATACACAACGTATACAAAATTTATATACGCGTATACAAACTTTGCATCCACGTATATAAACTTTTTATACGTGTATACAAACTTTGTATACGTACAAATACAAACTTAGTATACATACGAATACAAACTTTGCATTCATAAAAATTTAAAAAAACCGAGAAAAAAACAGAAGAGAAACCGGAATAAAAAGTAAACCAACCGAACCGGAAAAAAAATAAAGGTAAACCAACCGTACAGAAACGGAAAAAAACAAAAAAAAAAAAAACGGAAAACTCGCTCTTCCTCACCCGCGCGGCGCGTCGCCACCCAATCTCCGCGCGCGACACGTGCCCAGTCACGCGGGGAGGGGGGCGCGCGACTGACCGCCAACTAGCTTTCTCGGCTATAGTCGTCCTGAGTCTTCACAAGTATTCGGGCTGGGCACTGAATAACTGGTCTCATCTGGACCTGGGCTGGAGCGTGATAGGCCACGTACATTGCAGTGAGTTTCAGCCAGAAGATCGGCCCAATTTCTTGGCAGGTACACTGGTTTTAGGCATTGTAAGTTGTAAGAAATCTGTCATAAGTTTAAACGAATGGATGGTGTATTAGGGCTTCTTCGGAATGCAAAATAGAAAAAACGTAGGAATAGGGAAAACATAGGAATACAGTAAGATTGTATGTGTAAAATAGAGAAATGGAAAACATGGGAATTTTTTGTTCTTCGTGTGCAGGATTCTTACAAAGAGATGAGTGGATTCTTTTTTTTTTTACTATGAAAACATGGGCAGGGAAAGGTGTTCCTCTGAAATTCAAGGTAGCGAACCCTTTGAAACGAATGCATCTACAGTACCCAATTCAAAGAATCATCAATCCTCCATTTTTCCTTCACATTTCCTCTATTCCGAATGAGCCCTTAGTGTCATATCTAGATTCTTAGACTAGAGAAATATGACTGATCCAACCTCTGAATCTTTTGATCCTAGAGTCAGATGGTGGAGATGGTTTTTCATCCCAAGTAATGTCCCCTCGTATATATTTTTTCATCACTCAAATACAATACAAATAACAGTAAAAAAATTCTGAGAGCAGTGAATTGTAATTTGGATAGCTTTTTACTACCAAAGTTTTAGTTTGAACTAATTTTATTACTTTTTTTTAGAAAACAGCCGACATAAGATTTACCTAATATATTAGAGAGAATAAATGGCCTGGCCGAAGGCCTTACAAAAGATTTGCCTATTATTTTTCATTTGGATTGGACAATTGTCATTTCTAATTTGTATCAGCCAACTCTCTTTTCTATACATAGATAAGATATGGCCTACATATAGATAAGAGAGTTGTTATTTGCTCGAGGTTGTTGATGTGTATTGAAAAAGTTTAGGTGGTCCAAACTGCAATATTGATTTCTAAGAGTAAATATCATAAAACTGCAGATATTTGATGAAACTATCGCAAAACTATAGATTTAAAAATGTGTATCACAAAACCACATATATATCGTCAAATTTATCATAATACTACATATTTAAGGCATAGTATCATAAAACCGCATATTTAATGATAAAGTTATCAAATAACTACATATTTTAGAGTTTATATCCATAGAACTTTTATATAAGTCATAGTATCATAAAACCACCCATATTTAAAGATGAAATTTACTCATTTTCTAATATACTCCATATACATGATACCAATATACATCAAATATTTTTACAAATTCCCACAGCTATTCATATGTAGTAGTTTGGGAGAACGAAACATATATATCTCCTCAAGGAATATGAAACCCCCCCTTAGATGGCATATAGATTATCGTACCACAAACACATGGTTAGGCCAGTAATCAGTACTCCGTTATATCATCGACCGTATTCGAGCTATCTCCTATTTGCATTATATTGCATCCCTCACATGCATGTTGAACCATACAGTAAGCTAGCAAACAAACACACAAGAATATTTGTGATCTGGACACAACGTGCAGAGGGGTCACATTCTCAGAGTACAAAGCTCACTGCTCACCACAGCTAAGGGACTGTTTAGTTGGCAAATTTTTTTTTTACCTATACATATCACATATATATCACATAGGATATACGGATACACATTTAAAGTATTAAACATAGTCTAATAACAAAACAAACTACATATTCTGCCAGTAAACGCGAGATGAATTTATTAAGCTTAATTAATCCGTTATTATAAAATATTTATTGTAGCACCACATTCTTGAATCATGGCGTAATTAAGTTTAAAAGATCCGTCTCGCAATTTTCTGGCGAACTGTGTTTTTTTTTGTCTACATTTAATACTGCATGCATGTGTCTAAACTCTAAACATTCGATGTGATAGCGTGAAAAATTTTGTTTGGAAACTAAACAGGCCCTAACTCCACACACTGATCAACACTAATCAGCATGTACATTTGGCCCCAGGCACGTCCAAATCCAAACCGCATTTATCAATTAGCGCTATGATTAATTAATCACCTCGATCCGCCAGCTCGATCCACATGCATTGCCTCCCCTCCCATCTCCGGCGAGCTATATATACCCCCCTCGCCATGCACACTCCCCAACCACAGCAACCAAGCAGCAGCAAGCTCGAGCTACTAGCTAGCTACACTAGCTCGATTAGTTGCAGCAATGGCGGCGAAGGCGGCGCTTGTGCTGGCGGTGAGCCTCCTGGTGGTGGCCATGGCCGTGGCCTGCCCGGACTGCCCTTCGCCGAAGCCACCGGCGCCGAGGCCGAAGCCGCCGACGCCTCACTACGGCGGCGGGTCGTCGTGCCCGCGCGACGCGCTGAAGCTGCACGTGTGCGCCAACGTGCTGGGCCTCGTCAAGGCCAAGGTCGGCGCCGTGTCGCCGTACGAGCCCTGCTGCTCGCTGCTCGACGGCCTCGTCGACCTCGACGCCGCCGTCTGCCTCTGCACCGCCATCAAGGCCAACGTGCTGGGCATCAAGCTCAACCTCCCCATCGACCTCAGCCTCATCCTCAACAACTGCGGCAAGATCTGCCCATCCGACTACCAGTGCGTGCACTAGATCGAGATCTAGAGAGCTAGTGTTGCACTTGATCACTCCATGGCTGGGAGTACCGTATCTTCATGTTGTTTTTACCCCCAATATCTTGATGTGTTGTTAATTTCTTGCTTTTTTTTTCTTTTGATTCTATGGTTCGTGATCCGTTGGTAGCGCTATGATCATTGTATTTTTTTTTGTTTCTCATGATTTGTTATAGTTTCGTCAATAAAATGGAAATGTATTTTTTTGTCGCATATATGCAATGGTCAGAGATTGGAACTCTAAGATTTGGAATATCTGTCGGATGAATTAATTTATGCATGCCCAAACAAGCTCAAGCAGGACGCATGCACCATGCATGTCGAGGAAAAGTTAACTGTATACAGTACTCCCTCCGTACACCGTTAACTTTTTAGCACATGTTTGACCATTCGTCTTATTTAAAAAAATTGTGAAATATGTAAAACTATATGTGTACATGAAAGTATATTTAACAATGAATCAAATGATATGAAAATAATAAATAATTACTTAAATTTTTTAAATAAGACGAACGGTCAAACACGTACTTAAAAAGTCAACGGTGTCAAACATTTTGAAACGGAGGGAGTAAGTACTAAGCATTAAGAAGAATAAAATAAGAACAACCATATTAGGGTCTAGGAAATTACCACGTTAATTAGATATATATATATATATATATATATATATATATATATATATATAATGTGTATTTTCAGATTATAAGAGTGTAGATTGATTAATATGGTTGTGTAAAAAAATACATTTATATTCATAGAACCTTTTGGTGGCTTGGTAGGTGAAGTGATGTATAGCATCTTCACCACTGCACCCACCCGAGAGAAGGGGGATCTCAATAGGACATATGGGGCACAGTTATATCCCTAAATTTATTTTTTTTGACAAAAAATATGCAATTTAATAGGTATAATATGTGTATATACTATTAGTTTAGTCAAAACAAGCACCAAAAGTCATCCTTAGCAAGAGAGATTAAATTTTTCCTTAGCTATTTTAGTAATTTTTCTGTACGAGTTATCTTTAGTTGCATTAGTATCAAAATTATCGACACTTCATTTTCGCTATTAGGAAGCTTTATTTTTTTCCCCATTAGACCATGCTTAAGTACTAACTCTGTTTTCGTATTGCCAAACTCCTGTGCTCACGCTAAGTTGTCCCCCCCCCCCGGCGCCCAAAATTGTGTATAGTTAATTTGTTCAACATGCAAATGGAAGGTTTTGGGCCCTTAATTATGTTTGCCATGATTCTAGCAAAAGAGCCAATGCAAGCTGGTTTATTGCCAATACATCTTTTGTGCCGACGTGCTGTTAAATTTGAGGTGAACAAGTTGTCCACATGAACTATATTTAAAACCTTAGGCCTTTTTTTTCAACTTAGGCTTTTGAATGGTCTTTATTTTTGCTCTTTGGCTTCTAAACATATATATCTAAACTAAGTGGCTTACAACTTCCACAAAAGCGTTAATGATAAAGTTACTTAATTGTTTGTTTGAAGCTCAGGCTTTCAGACAGGGACGAAGCTAGAACGAAATGAAATAGGGTACCACTTGTTTAATTTAGGGTGTGTTCTTTATTTCCCCATCTTTTCCAACTCACCTCTCTCGTTTTCCGTGTGTACGCTTTCCAAACTACTAAATGGTGTGTGTTTTGCAAAAAATTTCTATATGAAAGTTGTTTAAAAAATCATATTAATTCTTTTTTTAAAAAATAATTAATATTTAATTAATCGTGTGCTAATGAGTCGTTTCGTTTTCCATGCGAAGGAAATGAGTTCCCAACACAGGGAAACAAACGCAGTCTTACTCTACTTTAGATCAAGTTTAAATTGACGTGGATGTCTAAGTTTGTATTCAGAGGGTGCACACAGGTGAAAATAACTGAAGTATAGCTAAACAATTTTCTTGACCGGGTTCCTGGACACCCCCTTGCCCTTGCTTTCAGACTTATAAACTGGTATAAGCCCAAACACAATGAGAATGAGAGACTAAGCAGAGTGCCTAGATGATCTGGAAGCATAATTATACACATATATGTATGTTTCTTTTAGAAAATGGATAATCAGGCCACTACATCCAACTGAAACGATGTACACAGCCTATTTTACACATATATGTATACCTGAGGAAAACCCTCTGAACATCTGGAATTAAGAATATATGTCAACTGGGACAGAAAACGCTGGAGAATATAAATCACAAGCACACAACACAGCCAATCAATTTCATGCACATCCAAATCTGAAGAAAATATAAAAAACCGGGAATAATTGATCCTTATTCGCCAGATTGGACCACATGCACGATCGTCGATCTGGCCCCCACACGACATATGCATCCATACATTCTCCTTCATCTCATCTCTTCTTCTCCATGGCCACTAATCCCTCGAGGGAATATCCCCTCGTATACCTTTTTCTTTCAAATTCGATGTAAATAGTTATGAAAAAATCTGAAAAAAATTGACAATGTAGAGTATAATGATACCTACCAGTGCACCAAAATTCAAGTTCAAATTCGATCTACACATCGAGAAACAAAAAAACAAATTTAGATATAAACAGTACGCTACTATTCATATGCTGAATTTGTCTTTTTTATATCTCGACGTGTGAGTTGAGTTTGGACTTAAGATTTTGTGGAGTTGTATATATGTGTTGTATGAATGTTGTCAAATTTTTTCAGAATTTTTCATAACCGTTTAAATGGTTTTTAAATAAACGAGGGAACATCCTCTCAAGAAATTAGAATAGTTTCCCTATAAATTCACCTCGCCATGCACACTCCCAGCCACACAGCAAGCAGCAGCAGCAAGCTCGAGCTAACCAGCTACAAGCTACAAGAAGCAGCCTAGCAAATTAAGCTCGATCGATAGCAATGGCGGCGAAGGCGGCGCTTGTTCTGGCGGTGAGCCTCCTCGCCGTGGCCGTGGCGGCGAGCGCCTGCGGCACCGACTGCCCGCCGGCACCGAGGCCGAGGCCGAGCACCGGGTCGTGCCCGCGCGACGCGTTGAAGCTGCGGGTGTGCGCCAACGTGCTGGGGCTCGTCAAGGCCAAGGTCGGCGCGGTGGCGCCGTACGAGCCCTGCTGCTCGCTGCTCGACGGCCTCGTCGACCTCGACGCCGCCGTCTGCCTCTGCACCGCCGTCAAGGCCAACGTGCTCGGCATCAAGCTCGACCTCCCCGTCGACCTCAGCCTCATCCTCAACAACTGCGGCAAGATCTGCCCATCCGACTTCAAGTGCGTGCACTAGAGCTGGTTGTTGCACTTGTTTCTCCATGACCATGGCTGCGAGCTTGAGAGTACTACTGTATCTTGATGTTGTTTGGAGTACTTTAGTTCTTGATCTATCTCTTGGTTCCATGTGTTGTTTGATTCCCATGAATGATTCGCCAATAAAATGAAGCTCTACTTTTCATCGATCGTATGCTTTGAGATCAGCTGAAAGCTAGCTCGCACATTGCTGTGATAACTGATAGTGAACAATCAGGATGAAATGTTAATTTTTTTAAAAAAAAAATCGGCAAGAATAATTAGCAAATAGCTATATTTAGTGGTACTAAATAATTAAGCTAGATTATATATTTATAGCAATTAATAGGGAACAATAATTGCACACAATAAATTGACACGCTTGAGGGGAGATATCTAACGTCTCTTGTTGTGTCATCATGAATGTTAAGCTTTTGGTTTGCAATTATATAAAAAGATAATTTACGAGAGAGGGCGAAATGGAGTCACCATATTCATTCTAAAAGCTATTATACTCTCATTCCGGCCAATAGCTATTATTATGCAAATGTTTGGTCACGGTAGATTGGTAGACTTAGATTATGAGTGATTCTACCGTACTTGAGCAGGTACCTTCGGTACTAGGTGAAATTTTGCACTAAAGTTATTGTACCTAAATATCTCTTAAGTTATAAGAGTATACTTTGACTGGTACAGTTGTATATAAAATATACCTGTACTCATGAAAAGAGATGCAAGAATTGTATATACATTCAATTTTGCTTTCAAAATCTAGTTTTTTTAATACTTAATTAATTATGCACTAATTCATCGCTATGTTTCAAGGGTTAGTATATTCAGTACCTCAAAGAAAAATACATGCATGGGATTCCAAGGTTAGCATGTTCAACACATAAGGCATGCATGGGATTCCCTTGCTGGCAAGTAGCTATGGTGGATGGCACAGCTTGCAACAAGGGAAGGTCCACCCCCAAGGGAGAGTATGACTAGGATGACTCACATGCCGCACGGGTAGTATAAGTTTTAAGGGAACGTATCCTGTACACATAACCTTTCCATGTACACACCATGCATACTAATTAACAAAATTTAAAAAATCTAGAGAAAGAAATTGTACATATACTTCCAATAGCATTATATTACACATATGTGTAAAGTCTTAATCTCAAATTCATTATGCTCTAGCCGTAACAAAAAAAACTATAATTTCTGGTAGTTTCAAGGGAATAAATCGGTCATAATTTTGTCTTATTTGGTGCTTCATATATATAGTGAATTTGAAGATGAGACTTTACATATAAATATGATACTACTGAAAGCACATGTACAATTTTTTTTAAAAAAAATTGATGAAGTTTTGTTAGTTGATATGCATGATGTATATAAAAGAAAGCTGGCTTGTGTGCATATGATACGTTTCCAAGTTTCAAAGTCTGTAATTTGAAACGACTCTAAGTGATGAGCACAATGCATGACACCTTTCGAGAATGCAGAAATGAGGGAAATACACACCCATGCACAGTCCCACACCATGTCTCACACTCATATTAATAGATAGGCCCAAACTAACATCATGCATGAATAATCTTATAAAATATTGAATTGCATTCAATATATGCACCCTTTGGTGGCTTGGCATGCAGGTGAAGTCATGTACAACACCACAAACCACACACACCCAAGAGGTAGTTCCCCACCTAACGTACCTAGCTTGTTCAGCATGCAAGTGGAATGGTTTGGGCCCTCATATATATCTGCCTTATTCCAGCAAAAGAGCCAAACTTCTTGCCTACCTTTTGTGCTGATATATAATTAAGCTGTTAGATTGAGATGTGAATTGAACCAGTTGTCCATGCTCCATATATATATAGAAACATAGCTAAAACTTTAGGTCTCTTTTTTTTTGGCCTTGGCTTTTATGGTAGCTCTTTGGCTAGAGCATGCGGTTTTCAAGTAGCAAGTTTAAAAGTCGAGACGTAAATCCAAATCAATAAAAAGTTTTTTTTTTAAAAAAAGCTACTCAAATCTAGTTTTCAACTTCTTAGAGAGCTACGGTTACTTACAACAAGTTTAATAGAAGGTTAATTTAAAATCTGCTTTTTTGTTTAAGTTTAGGCATTCTAACTTATATACTTTAGCTATGAGACCTACCTTTTGTGTGGGTGGTCTTCAATAACCACAGTCTTTCGACTGCCAATGAACCAAGCCAGCATACATGTGGCAGTGAGACCCTCTGGCACCTTCAATTCCTGGTGTTTAAGTCTGCATGTGAAGTGGATGATGTCGATTTAGGGTTCTAGCATTAGTTTGATTTGAAATTTGATTGGGTGTTTTTGCAGGTGGCAAACGTCAAAGCTTCTCAGTTTATCTCTTTGCCGCTGTGTGTGCGCATGGTAGGAAGGTTATGACGTGTTTGTATTCTCTTCTCTGTGTCCCCGGCCGTGTATTTTTTCCTATTATCCTCTAGGGCTCCTGCGCTTGCATAGGCGAAACCCACCTTGTGTAAGATCGTTGGAAGTAATATATTCAGGTGGGTATTTCGCCCTCCGGTGACCAGTCTAAAAAAAACTTATATACTGATCAATATATAAACCCAAACAGAAGTTACGGACCTTAGCTAGATGATCTGAAACCATAATTGTACGAGCTCTAATTGTACAGTACCCATGTATTACACTAGTATTAATTGATCCGGGAAAATCTAGCAATATATTGTGATGAAAAGAATATATTGCAACTAGGACACACGGAGAATATAAATCACAATCCCAATACAGTTCATCCAATCAATCATCCATACTCACGGTCGATCGATTCTTGATTCGCCGATTGGGTACCACACGCATGATCATCTAGGCCCCCATTCACGTACTCATCCATCTACACATCTTCTTCTCATCATCTCCTCCTCCTCCATGGCCACTATAAATACCACTCGCCATGCACACTCCAAGCACACACAAAGCAAGAACCTCGAGCTGATCTACTAGCTACCTAGTACTCTCATCTTCTTCACTAGCTTTTGCTTGATCAATTGCAGCAATGGCGGCGAAGGCAGCGCTCGTTCTAGCGGTGAGCCTCCTGGTGGTGGCCGTGGCGAGCGCCTGCACCTACTGCCCGGAGCCGCCGACGCCGAAGCCGAAGCCGCCGGCGCCGAGGCCGCCGACGCCCGGCGGCGGCGCCGGGTCGTGCCCGCGCGACGCGCTGAAGCTGCACGTGTGCGCCAACGTGCTCGGCCTCGTGAAGGCCAAGATCGGCGCGGTGGCGCCGTACGAGCCCTGCTGCTCGCTGCTCGACGGCCTCGTCGACCTCGACGCCGCCGTCTGCCTCTGCACCGCCATCAAGGCCAACGTGCTCGGCCTCAACCTCAACATCCCCATCGACCTCAGCCTCATCCTCAACAACTGCGGCAAGATCTGCCCATCCGACTACCAGTGTGCTTAATCACATTGGGACACTGCAGCCGATCGATCGATCGATCGATTGACAGTGTGCTACACGTCGTCTACATGTTTTTGTTGGTTGGTTTACTGTGAGCAGTCTGAACTCTCTGAACTTTGGAAACTGTCTGTTTTGTCTTTGTTTATGCTTGCAAAGTTTAATTAGTTCTGGGAAAAAACCATTGGCCAGTATGTATTATTACATGTGTAAGTGTTGGTTGTGACCCCGGGTGATCAGTTTACTGGTCAATATATATGTATTTTTTGTGCTTATGATCTGTTATGGTTCAGATGTCAATCGAAGTTGCAATTAGTATTTTCTTTTGTAAATTTGGAGCTCTGGAATTTGGATATGAACTCTACATAGGTACCAGGTGATTGCTACTCAAAGTCCAAACTCAAGCTCTGAGGACCAGAATTATACATTAACTAGGTGAAACCCCGTGCGTTACTGTGGGAATTCAGTATGATAATAATAAGTAAAAAATAATATATAAAATAGCTAGACAACATAAAGTTAACGTGGTTTATGATAATTTAAATTTAAATAGTATATGGAATAATGATTCAAATGCAAAAGTAAGGTTATATGACTTTATGAGAGAAGAAAAAAAAAGGAGAAAGTTCAAACCATAGATTAATCATCTAAAGACTAAAAATAACTGAGGTGATATGACTTAATGAAGAAGAAAAGGTGGAGATAATTTGGACCATAGATTAATCATTTACACACTAAAAACAATTGATGTGTTGTGTCTTAATGAGAGAGAGAAGAGAGAAATAACATTAACTAATTGAGGTTAAACTATATAAGTACATAGGATATTATAAAAAAATAATGAAGATATATATTGAAATATTATGTGAATTATGTAGGATGATGATTTAACATGCTTGCATTTTCAAAGCTCTAAAATTTAATAAATTATAAAATTATAGATAATATAACATATTTGCATGATGTTTAAATGTAGTGATTGTTAGTGGATGATGATGTGGCATCTTTGCATGTTAAGCTTTAGGAGTCATTGGGTTATAACTTTAAGTAAGAAAGGATGTGGTGTCACACCCCAATCTGGCACCGCCGTACAACGGCACCTGACAGGAGCGTGTCGTAGGGAAAACGGCGTGAACCGCTTCCTACGAAACCACGATCTCGGTACCAGTCCCAGGACATAGTGCTGGTACCCACAGTGACAAATATGAATCATAGCAATCCTTAAAATAAATAGAGGACTTATTTACCTTAACTTAGGTTGCAACTCAGAACAACCCGAGAATGCAACCGACGACACGGACGAGGAAACACCAACAACAGCAGCAGCAGCGGAACCAACGAACTAACACCCAACACCACAGGCGGCGGCTAGGAACCAGGACGAAACCCTAATCTTCACTTCACTTTATCTTCTCTTCAGGGCGGAGGAACTATATATATATATATATTTATATAGAGCAAGGGTGAGTACTTTCGTACTCAGCAAGTCACGGGAATTTAGGTGTTTAATGCAAGCTTGGAAGAGAGGCAAGGTTGTTTTGCAAATCTTTTATTTGAAGACCTTTTTTTGAAATCACTAAGTGATTTATTTCTTTTTAAGTTTGGGCGAAAAGAGACTTGCGTCTCGATTCGACTTTAAGAGATGCTTTTCAACAGCTCATTTAGTAATGTACCGACCTCCCAGGTCAGATCATTACTTCTCGGCTCCCAGAGCCATTCCACTTGATTAATCGGCTCCCAGAGCCTTTTTCATTTTCTCGGACTCCCAGAGTCCAGCTGCCCAGCAGCACAACAATCCGCTTCCACTCGGAAAGCCTAGTCTATGATGCCCGCAGACATCCCGAATCACACAGATTCGTTTCTGACCACTCAGGTCATCCATCTGCCACATAGGCTGATTCTGGTTACAATTCCCACACCACAACAACTTTTCACAAAGCACAGGCAAACAAATCTATGCAACGGGAACCACCTCACATCCGCCCATGACCGTGGGCACGGCTGTTCGAACAGTTAGTTAACCTCTGCAGAGGGGTACACTTTACCCACAAGACACAAACTTACTCCAGACACTGGCCGGTGTCAGAGGTTCGCGACAAAGCCTTTCCCAAGCCGACCCAGGGATACCTCATGCCACATAGAAGGATCAAATCCTCACATAAACATAGGCCATTTTAGGCGTTCACAAATCAAACTCCAACCACCTCGATCGGTAATTCAGCAAGCTTCTCGTTCTTGCATTACCAGGAACCCGGTTTGGCTCCAACCGACCCCGCCCCGGCGTTCCCAACTATTGGCATGCGAGGTTTCCCTGAACCGACTAGCTACTTAGCCAGGGTGTCCCATTCCACCTTGTGGTTGTACTTTGATTATGTTCGATGAGTTTCCCACAGGAATCGGTCCTTATATGCGAATACGGGACAGTGCCACATAGGCACAACCCCCCGCATCGCGAGTTTTCACAATTCATTTTATTTTCAAACACACCGACACCACATGTCGGGTTTTGAAGGCTTCACAAACCCATTTCCCAAGTTTTCGACAAACAACGGTGTATGTGGGATATTTGGTATACGTGCTCAGAGAGCACGAATACCGAGGTACCACAAGGGTGGAGCGACAAGGATTCAGGGTAGTACGACCTACGAAAATTAGTACGACTACTGGGTAGGTCCGTCGGTTTGGCACGCAAACCGAGGCCAAGCAAGTTAAGTGTGTGATTCTAATAATGCAAGTTGCAAACAAAATAATAATGACTTTTCAATTATAGGGGCAATTGATCAAAGGGTGACTTGCCTTGCTCAAGGTCTTCACGAAGCTTCACGAATCTTCGAGAAAACCCGCGATCGACGAAAATCCGATAACCGCAACTATACGCAAACAACTGAAAACCTAAGCAAAAGACCAAAAGAAAGATCCTATTTAGACTAATTAGTAGTGCCACTAAATAGATCTCAATTTTACGGAATTACTGGAAGTGGAACGGAGTTAATCGGAGTTACGGAGTGGGTGATATGAATTTTGGAAGTTTAATTGGAATTTCTGGAATAAGAGGAATGGTTTATGGAATTTATAGAAATAATATTCTCAAGAATATTATTGACAGTCACTGTCATGTGGGACCAAAGAAAATGGTTTATGGAATTTTGTAACAAGGAATTGATTTATGGGACAAAGGAAAAAGGATTTATTAAATCCCTGAAAAAGAAAAGGATGGAGGGATGTATATTAGACTTTTTCGGGCGGCAAGGGCGCGGCCCAAGGGTCGAAGGAGGCTCGGCCAAGCCATTTGGGCCGGCGCGGGCGCGGGAAAGGCGGCCCATTAGGGCGCGCGGAAGGGGGAGGGAGCGGTCCGGTGGACCGGGTGCACCTCGCGGGGTCCTGGGTGGGGCCCACATGTCGGCGGCAAGGCTCACGGTGGGGAGAGCGCACGCGGGTGCGGTGCTAGGGTTTGGTGGGTGCGGTGTGCGGGCGGTGCGCCGGGTGGATCGGATGGCAGCGGGCCCACATGCAGCCGGTTGGCGCACCGTGGACCGCGCGCACGGGAGGGGGGGGAGGAAGGAGGCGGCACCGGCTCGGCTCGGTCAAAGCCGAGGTGGCGCCGACGTGGCGCCTACGTGGCAGCCACGCGGGCCGGCGGGAGGAGGAAGAAGGGGCGGCCGAGATGGACGGCGGACGACGGCCGAGTTCACCGGAGCTCGTCGCGACGATTCGAGAGAGAGGGAGTACACCGGAACGATGGGACGGACGATAGGAAGTGAGCCACCGGATCGGATTCGCCGGAGGGAGGCCGGCGTTGACGAATCGCGGCGGCGCACGCCGGCGGCGAGAAAAGGGGGGGGACTTCACCGGAGCAACGGGGGTTCGATTAAAAGGGGTGGGAGCATATCCGGGATTCAAGGAATCCGTTTCCGGCGCCGGATGGGACGGAGGAGCACCGAGGGCAGCCGGCGACGAGAGGCGGCCTCCGGGGGTGGGCGGCAATGGCGGCGGGGCCATGCCGGGTGGCGGCGGTCCTTGGGGCGGCATCTACGCGTGTTCGGCAGGGCTACCGAGCTACCACACAAGCTAGAGGGGACAAGGGTGAGCGGGGAAGGGGAACGGGAGGGAGGCACTACCGAGCCGGGACGGCGTGGTGACGAGCAGCCAACGGCGCGGAAGCGAGTTCCCCGTCGTCGGGCCGGGGAAGGGGAAGAAGAAGGGTGGCCGGAGCCCTCTTCGGCTCCGCGCGCACGCCGGCTTCCCGGCACACGCGAGGGCGGAGGAAGGCGAGGACGGCGGCAGCAAGGCGGCGATGGCACTGCAGCGGTGGGGACTGAAGTGGGAGGGATTTGAGAGGAGGGACTCGGCTTTATAGTGGAGGCGAGGTCAGTTCGCGCGGGAGGTCGGTTCAAACCGACCTTAGGGCGATCAAGGCGGCAGCTGGCGGTCGTGCTCGGAGCTAGCGGCCAAGTGGCGGCAGAGGCGGTCACGGGCGTGACGCCGATCGGGGAAAAAGCAAAAAGGGGAGGGAGAAAGGAGCTCGGCTCCTTGCCGATTTTGGACGAGCTGAGGGAGGAGAGAGCGCATGGGAGAGAGAGGCGCTGCCTCCGCGTCTTGGACACGCGCGCGCTGCGGCGCAGAGGTGGGGGCAGCGGCAGAGTGGGCGCGGGCGGCTGCGCGGCGCAGGCGGGAATGGTGCCGGTCGGGGAAAAAGCAAAAGGGGAGGGAGGAAAAGGGGGCTCTGCCCACGTCATTCAGGGAGAAAGGAGGAGGGAGAGAGGGCTCTGCCTCCGGGAGTTGGACGCACGCGGCTTGGAGTGGCCGGGCACGCGCGCGGGGCCGTGCAGCTGTAGCGCGGCAGGGCAGCGGGGCCGGGAGGCGTAGGCGCGGCAGGGCCGACGCGGCGGCGACCGGGCGGTCGGCCACGCACGAGCGCGCGCGCGGATGCGAGGGCGCGGCCGGATTTCGAACGGCGGCGGCGGGAAATCGGCGCCGGTGGGGGAGCCTTTACGGGAGAGAGAAACGGAGAGAGAGAGAAACGGAGAGAGAGAGAGAGCGAGGATGGGAAGAGAGTGGGCGCTCTCTCTCTCGAGCGCGGCGCACGCGCAACGCACGTGCGAGGGGGAGGAGGAGGAGCGGCTGAGAGGAGATGGGCCGAGGAGAAAACGGCCCACAAAAATCCGAGGAAGGCAAAATAGACTTTTTCGGAGGAGATTGATTCGAAGAGAATTTGAACTTGGAATTTGACTTAGATTTTGGAATTGGGATCTCGATGAGAGGAAGGAGTAGACGGAGGATTCAAGACGGGGTTTTGGATATTTTGGATCTGGGGAAGTATTTGGCGATGATTCAAAGAGAGGGATAGAATTTCAGAGTTTGATTTGGAGACTTGAGTCGGAAGAGGAATTTCGATGGGGCAATTTCTGATGGTGACGAGAGGGATCAAGGACGGATTTGAATTGAGATCTTGGCACAACTTAGACTCACACACAAGGAACGAAAATTTTCGCAATTAGGATTTTGCCGAATTAGTTTTTAACGCCTCACGAAAAGCGGAGCGTTACATGTGGACACAAATACATATTTACCGAACTGAGTGATATTATACGTCTGATCCTTGAGAGGTATTAAGAGATATCCCTTTATTCATTATAAAATTCGGTAATTCATACAACTTTTTTATATAATGGAATTAAACCAATCTTTACTTCAAAGGAGCTACAACCACTTATTACATAATCCTCTCAAAGAGAGCAAACATTTAAGTAACCCATAAAGAACAACTAACAAACACCAACACTTAAGAATAAAACAATTAGTAATAAGTCAATTTGTAAATCTCTAGCCCAAATTGAGATACAAGAGGTATCAAATCGATCTTATGCTAAAATACCTTACGTCTTAGTACCTTTGGCTGTTTATATCTTACAAAATTCATTCCATTGAGTGGTGTAAACAAAAGAATGTGCAAGTTTTATTTAACATTTAACATGTTTTGAGAACTAGGTAAGGAAACATGTCATTGTCTCATGGATAGATATGCAACTAAGGCGATGTCGGCTCGGCAAATAGCCAATACACTGAAGCTGGCATAGCGTGGCCACAGTGGCCCATGTATGACAAGTATAAGGAAGAGAAGGAGTAGTGAAGTAAGAGAGATTATACGGTTCCTAAGAAAATACCTGGAGATACTACAATTTACACTAAAAATTTTGGTACCTCGAGGTACCTAGTACCTAGAGATACCACATTTTACACTAGAAAATATAGTACCTTGCTTCCGGTAGCTTTTCAAGGATGGTAAAAATTTACCCGTGAAGTAATGATTGTAGAACTCTATAATACAGGTATGAATATAAGACTGATAACATGCAACCTCTGTACCAAAATGTAAGAATTCGTCACGGCCGAAAGATCGATGCGCCGATTTGGCTCCTAGAGACATAGTTGCACCACTAGTTGTCGTCAACAATCTCGTCTAACCACTGTGAAGTGTGATGTCTTTTTGTGCTATGGTCTAGCCAACTGTTAGTTTCTTCCATGTTAAATTGCTGGTATGCATCCCATTGGGGAGGCGGCATTCCAAGTGTGCGCAATCGCAACCACAGCCGATCTAATAGATATTTTAAAAAATAATAAAAAAGGCAATATATTTACATATAACATATATTGTTTTCTCTTGAGAAATACTCCTATATAGATTCTTGTGGGGGCAATGATGATAAGGAAATGCGAGAACAATGTAAGTTGAAACCAAAATATATTGTACATATATAATGAAATATCCACTGCATATTTGGTATGTAGCTACATGTGTATACCTAGTATCTGATTAGTGAAGTACACTATATAGCAATGATTTTAATCAGAAACTATAGAGAAATGATTTCTGAGAAAGAAAGACATTGGGTGTAATTAAGAAATCATATTATTGATTGGGACCTTGTGGGGAGCCAAGGCACAGCTGCTAGTTCCCCTCCATCTGCCACTGTCTGCAAGCTGATCTAGTATATATGTGCAACAAACCATTGGTCAAAAAAAAAAGAAAAAAAAGCGAAAGCGATTAATTAAAGTTGAAACCTAAATCGTCGTATAACGAATGGTTGATATGATGTGTAGTACATTTGATAAATCTAGTACAACTATATGTATATCAATTTATGTGATAGTAACTAGCTAGCTAGTACTGTAACTGTAATTAACAAGAGTGACACGAAAAGATCTATATATCTCAGATCGTACAGTTAGCTAGATCAATGACGTCAATTAACTATATATATAACTAGCTGGGTTGTAACTATAGATAGTAGAAGAACTTTCAGCTATATATCCAGACAGTACGGCCACTGCATAATGAGTAGTGATAAAATGCCATAATCTTCTCCAGCAGGTGACAAAAAACGCATGGCTGGCACCGATCGAGAGATCATGTCAAGGCTAAAAAGCTTTAGCTCAACTTGGTTCATGGAATATTCAGGTTCAGACAAGGCGAGTCATTGTCGCGTATCAAAAACCGGAGCCCTACACGATCAAAACCAGCATCACGGTGGTCACCACCACGAAGAATATGCATCAGAACACAACAGTACAGTACAGAAGAAGGGAGATAGCTAGCTAGGTTGGAATGGTCGAATTAGCTAGCAAAGCAAATTAACAAGCAAATGGCCTGATTAATCAAGCTCGTATCCGATCTCTTTTGCCACCCGTGAACCCAGATAATCCGCGGCTGATTTGTCGCATGTTATAGCTCGCTTCCTCGAACTCGCTTGATCCGTGTGGATTACTCGGCTCGATCTGATCAGCTGTAGTAGTAGCTTAATTTGTTGACTCCATGCTCCATCCATGCATGTTCAGACTTGAGAAATTCTTTTCTTTTTTTCAGTAAAGTTGTTCAGAAGCAACAAAATGTGTGAGACCGTCCGTGTGGCTGTCAGGCTGTGCTAGCTGCTAGCTGATGGTAGGCAGATCACGGTATTTCTGAAATCAAATGGTAATTAAACATTTAAACATATACGTGCACATTGATTGATTGATTGAACGTAGATTAATTACTAAGCAGGTTCACATGCGTGCATGCTTGGCCGGCATGGGTACCCACGACGAACTTAAAATTATATTATACAAACAATATGCACCGATCGATCGATGTCACCTCCTGTAATGCACATCATATCATCCCGTTGATCTCACATGCATGCTCCTTGATTTTTTTTTTTTGAGGACAGATCAAATTGCATTGCATTGATCCGGCTTTTGGGAGAAAGCCAAAATGCTCCTTGAGATCATTTCAGCGATGCAATTGAGTGAGTACTTGAAAGTCTTTAAGTCTGAAATCAAGTGGCTAATGCAAGTTGACGATGAACACGGCATGGCAAGCCATGGCAGTACTCGAATTCGTCGTCGTCGCTTTGCTCTGTGATATGATATGTCGATATGATCGACCAAACGATGCTCGTGGTAGTGTTGCCAGCCGAGCCCTGCTGCTGACCAGCAATGCATGCAGTTCTTGACAGCGAAAAAGGAGACTTCTTCTTTTGAGTTTTGACGCCTTGCGCCGACGGGTGAGCCGCCGCCGCCGCCGCCGCCGGAGAAGACAAGGCGTCCAGCCTCGGGGCCCACGAGGGATAGTACACGGGAATCGGATTAAACGGGCCGAATCCGCCAGTTTGGGCCAGAGTAAAGTGCGCCACCGCGACTCCGCGAGCGCGAGGCCTCGTTTGGACAATGGCCCAAATGCTGGCGCGTTTGCTTGTGTGGGCTGGGAAATTTCGAGCAAAATCTGGCCCATATACTATGATGGGCTGGGGCTTAGACTTTTACCTATCCCGACGAGACCAGAGTTAGGCCGGGCGGAATATATGGGCCGTGTTGCGTGGGCCGTTGCCAGATTTCACGGGCCGTGCAGCCATCCGGTATGCTTTGAACCTGGCTGAACTTTTTCCAATTTATAGACCCATAGTTTCGCTTATGCTTAGACTTGTAAGCTAAAATTTAAATTTTAGAGTTGAAATTTTTAGTTTTCCCATCTTAGTTTGTTTTACAGCATTTTAAAAAAAATCGCTAAGAATGTTTATATAAAACTTTTGCACGCAAATTATTTTTTATCGGTAATAAGCGGTATACATAAGCATAAACATAAGCAAAACAAGTACTCCAGTAAAATTGAAGGTGAAGGAGCGCAGCACAAAGGATTAGACAAAATCAAAGCATTTTCTTTCTGCATTCTGTGAGTTGTGCAGTTTCCGAACTGGCTATACTGTCATAGTGATAGCTAAGAAATTTACAGGAAATAATGGCACATATATATATATATATATGCCACCAATACAGTTCGTAATTAAAGGTTACATCAGGAAAATGAATACTGATTCCTCCTTGCATGATCTTGGATGACAGAACGGAGAGAAAGGTTTGGAATTAGCTGCTGGTGCACAATCGGCTGTCCTGTAATGGGAGATACCCTCCGTCCTCCATCAAGCCAGGATCTGATCGCATCGGTTTCGTAGGTGAATCCGTCTGATGCAATGCAAGGCTCCCTCATAACCTCCTGCCATTACAATGCAAATGATCAAATTTCTATTTCAATTCATCACAAGTGACAAGTATTTGTGTTAATCTACACAAGGAGCAGTGCTAAGTTATGTGCAGAACTTTTCATTGAATACCTGAAGGATTGGGCAGATGAAGTATGAAGGGATGCAGCAGTCTTCATCGAAAGGCGACTGCATCACTGATGATGGAGAAAATGATGCAGCTAGCTTCCTTTGTATGAGCAACGTCTCCGGTTCTCTGACACAGTTCTCATCATGATCAAGATACTCTTGCAGCGGCTTAATTATTTGCCCGGAGGCCTCTAAGATCAAATTGTCTGAAATCACTTCTTTCTGTTCCTCCATGGTTGTGTTCTGATCATTCTTGGGTAGATCTCTTTCTTGTTTTAACTGTGCAATTTCTTCGCTTGCTCTCAGAAGTGCTTCTTCCAGTTCTTTCCTCTTTTTAACCTCCTCCAAGTACAGCTCCTCGTATTCTTTGGCCTGTAAGGTTCAGAGTTCTGATCAAAATTCTGAAGAATATATTCATATGAAATCTGGATGTTTTTTTTTCTAAGTGGTCTCGTTTCTGAATAAAATAGTCAAAGGACAACGAATTACTTTCTGAAGAGATGAAACTACTTCTTCGTCTGCTTTCTGCCGTCTGTAAGATTCTCTTAAAGCTCTCATCATTAAGTTGTCAGCTGCTTTGCATGCTTCTTTGATCTCATCGTAAAAACCCAGTTCCGATTCATTGTTGTCATCCTAAATAATTGGAAAAGGAAATCACCATATTATGTCATCACTCTTACAAGACAAAATATTCGAAACCATAAGATGGCATTGCAAGATCAGAAGAACCTGTTCCTGGTGAAGTGTCAACTGCAGAGCATCGTGACCAGTATCAGGAATGAAAGGCGTATGTCCAGGTGCAATTTCTACTTCCACGCCACTATCATGGAAAATGAATCAGAGATTTTTGAGCTTCACTATTCAGTAATCATCATAAATCGCAAAATTACTACTAAAAGGTTTTTACCTTGTACAGATTAACCGTTCTTTGCAGACAAACCAAATCTTGCATGATGGGTCAGCTCTCTGCATAATTTCTGTTGCTGTCCTGGATGCAGGTTTGTCCATTTTTCTGAAACAGAAAACAACAATTATTGGTCAGCTCTCTGCATAATTTATTTTGTCTTCAATTACAAAATAAAGCTTTGCATTTCAAGTGTTATATTTTCTTAGAAGAAATATTTACCTTGAGTAATTCCTGTCTGGGGCAGCTGAAATTACTAGCTTGGTCACTCCATGCAAGTTGATTAGTTCAACAAGACCGTCTACAACATTTTCGTTCTCAATGACTAGCTTCTCACATTTCATCTGAAATATACAGACAATGAAAAAAAAACTGTCAATAAGCTGTAGTTCTAAATAAAAAACGGCTGTCAATAACAAGCCAAAGCCATCTTGAGATAATGAATTCACAGGAATTAACAGAACCCGTCACACCTTCATCCTCAGGCATTGATTGACGTAGTGATCTAATTGCTTGTCCACCTTGTCACGCTCAGCCATTCTGAACAAGCTCACTTGCTCCGGATTCAGTTTACTGGCATGGAACTTGACTCCCACTGCGACCAAAACAGAATCAATACAACACTAGACAGATTATAGCCAAATTTCTCAGTCTTCTGAATTGAAAGGGCTAAGAGGAGTCACAAACCCATGAACTAATCCATGGTTTCCATGAATTTTTGGCCGGACAACCATACATATAACCATGAAATCTTTCAGAAAAAAAAGAAGAAGAGAAGAAAAACAATCGGATGATGCAGTTACGTACTGACGGGGATCATCTGCGGCGGCACATGAACATGCGTGACGACGATGGCCGTGGCCCGGAAATGGCCGAGAGCCCACGACAGCGTCGACCTGCCGGACTTCGCCTCCGCCGGCAGCGCCACGAACACCTTCTCCGGCGCCGCCATCGACCGACCTTCTCGTCAAGCTTAGCTCCAGTTAATTTAATGTTCAGTTAGCATAAGTACAAAGCTAGCAAGAACACGCGGCTTTGGGCGTACAGACCGGAGACTTTGGATGGTGACAGGCACCATATGCGACCGGGAGGAAGAAGAAGAAGGCAAAATTAACAGTGACACATTAATTTGGACGACACGGAACCGCATGGAGATTTCCAATTTTCCACCAAAATTAAGTGATGATTAATTAACTAGCGCCAATATCAGCGTCATCGATAGCCTTGTCATTGAAAAGAAAACTTGCACATCTCACAGTCGCATCGTTATATAATTTGTCTTGTGCCTTGACCGTCTCCACTGATCGGTTACATATACTACTAACTCCATATTTTAATGTATGACGCCGTTGACTTTTTATCTAACGTTTAACTATTCGTCTTATTCAAAAAATTTATGTAATTATTATTTATTTTATTGTGATTTGATTCATCATCAAATGTTCTTTAAGTATGACATAAATATTTTTATATTTGCACGAAATTTTTGAATAAAACAAATGGTCAAACGTTGATCGAAAAGTCAATGACGTCATACATTAAAATGCGGAGGGTGTACAAAATTAATCTGCTGCTTCGGTTTCAACTAACTGTTTGAACTCGGAAGGGCCGAAGCACACGGCAAGGAAAGGAAAGGGATTTGGCGGGTGGCACCGTGCACATCCTGAACCCCCACAGTTCGTTCAGGTGTCTTTTCCCGGCAAATTAATTATTAGGATTATTACTCATCTGAATAAGTCCCATTGAATAAACTCCTAATACTTTGGTAATGACGTTTTGAAACTTTAATGAAATGATATCCTCCGGCATCGTGAACATCGTGATAACTTCGCTGATTTTTTTTTTCTTTCTTTCTTTTCGCTTTTTTTTTTTAAAAAAAAAGATTATTTGCACATGTGATGTGAGAAAAGATCAGCGGCCCAGATGGCAAGATGTGCTAGGCCCATAGGAAACAAAGTGGCCCATATAGAACGTGTCACGTAGCCCAACATTTTCACGGCCCAAATTTATATGGGCCTAATTAGGCCGTCAGGTTTGTGCACTATCCGGCCGAAATTGAGTGGGCCAATACCACAGTTCCGTCATGGTTCGCCGGATGCTCCAGCGTCCAATCGCCGCCGCCTTCTTCCAGGTCACTATTGCATATGGAGATACGAATTTTAATACGAGTAGTTCAGAAATAAACATCTAAACATCACTGACTTAAATTTGTACATTTTATACTGTAATCGAGCTGAAATACGGATAGAACGTACGTAATGCATGGTGCGAATAAACTGTGGAATGATGACGATTCGACAGGCTAGCATTAATAATTAACTTAATCCATATATGGTTAAAGAAATCAGCATGCTTATCACATTAAATCATGGAGCCTAAATCATGAATGTAAGCATGTTACGTCGCTACCTTAACTTATCTGGTGCGGACTTTGCAGTTTGCAGTACTCTCTTCCAGCCATTTTGTTCACACAACGATCGATCTGTGTGTGTTCATCATCTCTAATCGTATTCACATAAATGGTAGTCTGATCTGATTAATATTCTGATGGTGTGATTAATTAATATAATCCTGTAACGTGATCCTGGGGATCAGATCTCAGCTCCCGATGCAAGCAGCTAGCTCAATTAAGCCCATAATTTCTTGTCTTCTTGTTTCTAGCTAGAGGCAGTACGTGGTATCGATCATCAAGAACGTACTCACAGCTGGTGTACTTTCTTCGGAATCAGAACTCAGTTTTTGTTCGTTAGCGACCTACTTATATAGAGCCAAAAGGAAAATCGGTTGCCACATGCATGTAAGTGTGCAATCCAGCTAGGCTACAATTCATAGATGTCAGACCATCTAAGAACTAGTTTTAACAGCAGAGTCAACTATTAAGTATAAGCTAATATTACAGATAACGTTTATAATAGATGAATAATAAGGTTATCTCTATTTTTTCTCCTCTCTTTCTCTCACCTATGTATTTAATTTAGTTATCTTAAATTATGAATAGTTAACTATTACATTAGAGCTAACACAACTTATTTTTCCACTATCCTCCCCTCCCTGTAAGTTTTATAGTTGACTTATAGCCTACTATTAAACTATTTAAACTAGATCTTGAGCTTATACTTGCTAGTTTTACAATTCTTGTTATTTAAACAATAACACAATCTTCAAAATATATATTTAACTATATTTTTAATATTATATATAATAAATAAATATATTTGTACTTATTTTAGCGCCCCACATCCAACGTTGGCCCACTGCCCCTCCATCCCCATGGTATCGGCACCGTTTTAATTAGGTGCCTATTTGCTTGTCTAGGTTCACCGTCCACCGTCAAACCGTCATCTCTCACGGCCATCCCTCTAAACCCACCCGATGATCTGCCTCCTCCTCCCACCCCCAACCAATCCTAACTTGGGACCCTAAACCATTACTCCACTGCCATTCGTCGAGGTTATCGGAGATGTAGGAGAAGGGTTGCCAGATCTAGTGAAGGAGTTGTAGTCATTGGAGCACAAATCGTGTAGGAAATATAATCCTGTGGTAAAAAAAATTGAAAGATTTTGATTGAAGCAATTCCAATTAAAATTACAACATCAGGCAAGCAATATAAGAATTTTTTTTACAAATATACTTATTTTTTCAATAATTTACATTTATATATATGCATACAAATTTTTTGTAAAAATATACCCATCCCGCAGAACGAAAATGCGGGATCGCGACGGTCCCGCAGCTTCAAAACACGGGACCGTCGGTCCCGCGGACGGCCGCGCGGCACTGCAACGGTCCCGCAGCTCCATAACACGGGACTGTCGCGGTCCCGCAGCTCCAATACGCGGCACCGTGTTGCCAGCGATTTTTATACTGTGCGCACTGTTGAAACACTGTTTGGGTACTGTTTTGAACCGTGCGTGGAGCGCTTCCGCACATTCAAACTGCGGGATCGCCCATGAATATTGCCAAACAGTACGAAAACAGTACTAAACAGTGCCGCGCAGTATAAATTTTCTGGTATATAGCAGGCGCGTGGTAGAGGATGGGAACGCGCGGTCCCGCTCAACGACTACGCGCGACCGGTGCGGTTCCGTGCATCGGCGACGCGCCGCGCAACGGCGATGCGGGACCGTCTCGGGACCACGCGTTCCCGCGCTGCTTCTCTCCGAGCCACGAGAGCGAGCCGGTGCCGCGCTTCCGCGCCGCGGGAGGGAGACGGTGCCGCACGGCCGTACTGCGCAACCACCGGTCCCATGGAATGGCAAGGCGGCACTGTCTCGGTCCCGCATCCTTGTCATGCGGTGGAGGTATATTTATGCAAATATTTTTTATGTAGATATATAAACGTAAAATATTTTTAAAAGAGGTATATTTTCAGTTTTGTTTCAGCAATATAATGTATCACTTTAGAGACTCAGAAGAAATTTTTATCGGCAGATCAAACATTTCCACATATTTCAACAAATGCAACTGGTCAACTCGCTTCAATTCCCCGTGATGAGTCGGCGATCGATTTCCACGAATATCTGTTCTCTCCTGGCAAAATCTTGTCCTATCTCTCGCGAACACCTGGCCCATGCACCTACAACAACCAAGCAATCATTCATCATGCATGCAACTAGCAACCGCAAATACATCCATTCTAGCCATAATCCGGCTATAAATACCAGACGCCCAAATCAAACGATGCAAAGCAACACAAGCCGACCGAAGCAAACATAGCTATAGCTAGCACACACCACTAGCTAATTAAGCTCGCTCGATCACTTCATCAGTTAGCAATGGCTATCACCAAGGTCGCTCCCCTCCTCGCCCTCAGCCTCCTCCTCTTCGCCGTCGCCGCCGTGCACGGCTGCGAGCCCTACTGCGGCCACGGTGGCCCGGTCATCCCGACGCCGCCGGTGGTGGTGCCGACGCCGCCGTCGTACCACCGCCATGGCCGCTGCCCGATCGACGCCCTGAAGCTGAGGGTGTGCACCAACGTGCTCAACGGGCTCGTCGGCGTCAAGATCGGAGCCGGCCCCGACGACTGCTGCCCGCTGCTCTCCGGGCTCGCCGACCTCGACGCCGCCGTCTGCCTCTGCACCGCCGTCAAGGCCAACGTGCTCGGCATGAAACTCAACCTCGCCGTCGATCTAAGCCTCATCCTCAACAAGTGCGGCAAGATCTGCCCCTCCGACTTCACCTGCTAATTGAGCTCAAACCGTGCGTGCAGCATGTTGGATATCATGATTCATGAGTTTGATCTTTCATCCCGATTCCCGACGCAGCGTTAAACATTAATCTTGAAATAATTCTCTTGTTTACTCGATTCGCCATTTGCAGCTCGTTCTATATTATAATGTAAAATTCTTGAATCACTTGGTTGTTGTATATTGTAACGCCCATTATATATAGTAGTATTTTTTGTTCTCACAAAGATAACTGCCATATAGCTTACACGTTCACCTTAAGTTCTTTCTTTTCTATCCGTGCATAAAAACACTCGCACGATATGTGATAATCATGGGCGATGCGGCAATTCTTGACCTAACTGTTCCTATTTCCTCAAGCCGGTCCACACATGTTCCTAGCCATGTGGGTCCTGCATCATGGTAGTCTCTTTTGGCCCAACATGTCGCGTGCATCTCGTTTTGTTTGGGATGTTGGCGGGCTGCTTCCTGTTTTGGCTGATTAGAAGGGTTACTAAGTTTTGAATCCTAATAAGGGTAAAGAAGAGATTTGTACGTGACATTGATGTGACATGTCATGCTGGCATAGTCATGACTGATAAATAGGACCCACTTAAAATTTTTCATTTTTATTTTTTTCTTTCTCTTTTCTCTTTTTCCTTTTTCTTCTCTTGTTTCTCTTTTTTTCCCTTTCTCCTCCTTCCTCTCAAGACCATCGCCGCATGGGGTGCTTAGGTCACAAAGAAAGGAGAAGAAAAGAAGAAAAAAGAGAAGCAGAAGAAAAAGAGAAGAAAAGAAAAAAAGAAAAGAAAATGTTTTAAGTGGATCCCGTTTGTCAGTCAGATGACTGCCAATCACGTCCATGTGGCATGTCACATGAGTGACATATAGGATTTTAGATGGGTTGTGACGATCTGGGACTTAGATGACACACTTCAATAAGTTTTGAGATTTATATTTATATTTTAAGAGTTTAGGAATCTGAATGACACAAACCATACAAGTTTAAGAACCAGGTGTGGCAAGATGTGCCTACCTAGGTCCACTTCAAATAGAGCAGCTAGCCCATATAACAATGTGTCATAACCCAACCAATATTTCCAAAACATATGAAAAGAGAAAAAAAACATAAAAGTAGAATATAATACTCATTCAATTCCTATGAGATTGAAACACTGGAAAGTTTCAAATTGTTTTTGATGGGCACACAGGAAAAACACAGAAAACATATAGGAAATTGTAACATCCCGGCCTAGGACTTAATAGGATTAATAGAATACTCATATCAACAAGTTGCAACTTCTTTTCCGGAAGCCAATCTCCAAAAAACTCCAGGGTTAAGCGTGCTTGGCCTAAAATTCTTCCCGGGTGCACACGAGTGAGGACAAAGTGTGCAGAAAAGACATGTGTTGGTCTGTGAGGGCAGTCTATGACCTATGAAAGCTATCAGATATAAGCGGGCCTACCTAGGAAAGCTATCAGATGTAAGCGGGCCTGGCCTGGGAGAGGCGGGTCGTTACAGAAATAGAAAGAATGAATTGAGACTTCAGGCTATTTAATTTCCTCCAAAATGTTTCTAGAATAGCACATTTCATATGAATTCTGAAGGAATTATTAGTAGAAATCAATCCGTTGTTTTAAAAGGCTTTATAGGATTTTTATCATAGAATACAAATCCTGTAAAATTCATAAGTTTTTCTCTCTTTTTTTTGAAAGGGCCTTCATGTCTATACCGTGGGAGAGCAAAAAAAAATTTGAGTTAATTGCACTTTGGACTAGGAAAATTTAACAAAGTTTTACTTTGGACAAGGGGTGAAGTTATATTCACTTTGGACTAGATAAATTTACAAAAGTTTTAAATTGGACCACCCTTCTTCTCCATCTCCTTTCTTTCCCTTCTTTTCTCTATTAAGCAGCTGCGCCATGGATCTGAGGGATGATCAAGCAAAGCACCAGGATTCCTTCTCTATGTGCTCTGTTCCCCAGCTTGAAGAACCATCAAAATCAAGACTGGTTTTAGCTGGTTGCTGTACCTGTCTCCCGCAAGCTCGATGCAATGATTTGTTCTAAGCTCAGATGAACTTTTACGGGGAAAAAAGGTTGAAGTCAAGCAGCTAAATCAATGAGTAAATAAATCAAGATCAGATGGAATATTAATTGGTTTGTTGTGTTGCGGGTAAGCCCGCCAATGAAATCAAGAAGTGGCAAACAAAATAGTGGCCCAATGTGCAGTAGAAGGTAAGAAAACCTGAACCAAAGTGAAAATGTTAGATATAACCTAGTCCAAAATAAAACACAGGCAATAATAATCGGCCCAAAGTGCAATTCACTCAAAAAAAAAAATTTATAGCTAGCTTAGCTCGATTTGCAGAGCACTTGACATACTGACTGAGTGACTGATGACGTAATGGCTCGAACAAACTGTACACACGCATGTGGAATGACGACGATGATTCGACCTGATGCTAGTATTAATTATTTAATTAAACCCATACTGTTAAACAAATTAGCATGCTTAGCACATTAATCATGGAGCTAGCCTAATAATGCATGTTGCCACCTTTCTCTGATGCTGGCTAGCCATTTTGTTCACATCGAGTCAGCCTGTTCATGTGATCGAGTATTCATAATCTGATCCATAATAGTACTATTTTGACGGTGTGATTAACTAATATAATCTTGTTCGTGATCCTCGGGATCAGCTCCACAAAGAAATATCAGAGTCTAAACTAACCAGACAAAGTTATAACGACCCTCACTTTGCATGCATGTATGAAAAAAAAATTAGTGGGAATTCCTCGCATGGAATTAAGCTCCTATGATCATATTGTCAGTAGCGAAGGCTAAGACTTAGCTGTTCTCAAGCTAGATCCATCTTTAGGTACATCCAGCTAGCCAATACAATTCACGGAGGCCATCCCGGCTATGCGTGTACAAATGGAGCATATTGACTCTGCCAGCTCAAGTACCTAAAATAATGCAGGAGAGAGGAATGGATGGATGGTTACGTATGACACGATGTATGCAAAATTACAAGTCCATAGCAAGCATTTCAGAAAGCATTATATTCAGAACAAGTATTATTCGGCAGATATATAAAGCACACATCCATATATTAATGTCAACAAATGCAACTGGTCAACTTGCTTCTTCCCCATGAATAATCGAATTAATTAAACGAGAATATATGTTCTCTCTCCTGGCAAAATCTTGTCCTATCTCTCGTAAATACCTGGCCCATGCAGTACACAACCAAGCAAATAAATCATCACGTACATGCACTACACAACCAAACAATTAATCATAACGGATGCAAATATTCTACTCCCTCCTTCAAAAAAAAAAACAAACTCTGGGTTTCCATGTCCAACGTTGACTATCTATTTTATATAAAAAATTTTATAATTAATATTTTTATTGTTGTTAGATGATAAAACATGATTAATATTTTATGCGTGACTTGTCTTTTTAATTTTTTTAACAATTTTTTTAAATAAGACGGACGGTTAAACGTTGAACACGGAATCCTAAGATTTGTTTTTTTTTTGAACGGAGGGAGTAAGCTTCAGCTAGTTCAGTACGTGTATAGTTCCAAACAGCAAGCTCGACTCGATCGGCTATAAATACCTGACGCCCCAAGCAAACGATGCAAAGCAAACACAAGCTGAATTGAAGCAGCCTAGCTAGCTAATTAACACCACTAGCTAATTAAGCTCGCTCGATCACTTCATCACTTAGCAATGGCTTCCACCAAGGTCGTCGCTCCCCTCCTCGCCCTCACCCTCCTGCTCTTCGCCGTCGCGGCGCACGGCTGTGAGCCCAACTGCTCCGGCGGTGGTCCGGTGATCCCGACGCCGACAACGCCGTCGTACGACCGCCATGGCCACTGCCCCATCGACGCCCTGAAGCTGAGGGTGTGCGCCAACGTGCTCAATGGGCTCGTCGGCGTCAAGATCGGAGCCGGCCCCAACGAGTGCTGCTCGCTGCTGCAGGGGATCGCCGACCTCGACGCCGCCGTCTGCCTCTGCACCGCCGTCAAGGCCAACGTGCTGGGCATCAACCTGAATCTCCCCGTCGATCTGAGCCTCATCCTCAACAAGTGCAGCAAGATCTACCCATCCGGCTTCACCTGCTAATTGAGCTCGATCGTGCATAATTAATCTTCATGCGATGACGAGGATTGATCTGAGTTGCATGATAAATTAAAGATTAATCTTGAAATAATTATATTGTTATTCACTTCTACATTTTTGCAGCCCATTCTACATTGTACCTTACTTTATCATTCTTGAATTACTTAATTGTTGTAAGTTGTAACGCATTATAGCAATGTTGTTCTCCACATGATAATTGTTATATAGCTTGTCCTCCTTAATTTCTTTCTTTTTCATGTATGCAAAAAACGTGTTCGTCTCACAGCGTTTATCTATACCATCTGTATAATTGACCCACAAAGTATTAATACTCAACAAAGTAATTATTACTACTCTTAAAACCTAACATGCAAGTATATCATATCAATCCACTAAATAACTAAAGCTCAAGATGCAAGCAAGCATAGCAATTACATCTATAATTTTTTACATTCTAAATCTTAACATTCAAGCATGCTAAATCATCATCCCACATCACTTTCACAATATATCAACATATAAATTTATCTATCATTTATACAATGTTTAACATATATTCCTCTACATATTCCGTAGCAAAACATGGGACGTCATCGTATATTTAGTGATAATGGCGAGTGAAAATGATTGATCTGTATCTAACGATTTCCTCAAACAGGCACACACATGTAAGCCATGGGGCTAGGCATGAATGCAGGCCTTGCACGTACCATGCTCGTTTTCGGCCTAGTACCTGTGTGCCTCGTTTCAACACAAAGCACATTCGACGTATTGGTGAACTTCTGGTTCCGTCCTATTAAAATAGTAACTAAGCTTGGTCTGTCTAAAAAGGGTTAGAAAAGATGAATGACCCAAATGACAAGATGTGTCTAACTAGGTCCACTTCAAATAGAGCAACCCACAGAACAATGTGTCATAACCCAGTCTTTGCACAAAAAAAAAAACAATTTTATGTCTGAAGTTAATTGCTTCTAAGCCAACTACAAGAACTAGATTATAAGCTATTACCGTCCCCAGATTCTAGGGTTAGGGGATCGTGGCTGGGAGAGTGGCCTTACTCTGTGTTCCCAACACAGCTGCTGCGCACGAAAACGTTAACGGAGCGGTACATTAGAACGTGATTAATTAAGTATTAGCTAATTTTTGTTCAAAAATAGATCAATATGATCTTTTTAAGCAACTTTCGTATAAAAACTTTTTACAAAAAACACACCGTTGAGTAGTTTGAAAAATGTGCGCGCGGAAAACAAGAGGAGGGAGTTGGGAACTCATGGAAATGAACGCAGCCCTGATCGGCTTTACAAGCATCTGACCCTAGGAACAAATTGTCTTTAATTTTCTAAATGTTTTTCTTCAATTATATCGAAAATAAAAAAAATAATGGTTACATTGTCGCACAGCTAATTTTCAATTTTTCAGGGTACGCAACATATGTCCTACGGGAAAAATTATAAACTTTAGATGTCATGCCGCAAATCTTGCCTACATGTTTATAGTGGTAATTGAGCAAAATTCCTTTGTATATGTTCGTAGACTGCAGAACACTTGCATATGGGATATGCTGAAATACTGACAGAGAACGTAATGGTTCGAATAAACAGTGTGGAATGATAACACGATCGGAGACCTGCTAGCATTAATTAACTAAACCGATATGGCTAAAGAAACAAGCATGCTTAGCACATTAAATCATGGAGCCCAAATCATGCATGTAAGCATGTTACGTTGCTAGCTACTTAATTTGTCTGGCTCGGACTTACTCTCTTCCAGCGATTTTGTTCGATCACCGATCTGTACGTGTGTTCATCTGTAAACATGGATAAGCATGGTAGACTGATCTGATAAATTAATATAATCCTTTAACGTGGTCATGGAGATCACAGCTCCGATTCCAGTAGCCAAATTAATTAAGCCCATAATTTCTTGTCCACCATGTTTCTGGAGGCATAGAGGTCAAGAATTCACAGCTGGTGTACTTAATTTGTTCAGAATCAGAACTCCGTTTTAATTTGTTCATTAAAGACCTAAGAGCTAATAAACGGAAGTTAAAATCGGTCGCTACGTGCAGGTAAGTGCGCGTGCATGGTCAGCTGGGCTACAAATTTTCATGGAGGTCACTATGCGTGTATATATAGAGTATACATTATAGTGACTCTGCTTAAGCTAGCTCCGATCCGGCCAGTAGTAGATTAATGGTGGAAGAAATTAAGGAGGCTATGACACTACGATATCGATGCACATTTAGGCAAAAATAAAAACTCTCCAAGGCATGCAACTATGTCAGAAATGCTCGATCAGAACAAGTATTAGTCAGCAGATACAAACACTTCCGGCCATATATTTCAACAAATGCAATTCGTCAACTTGCTTGCTTGGCCATGAATCGATCGACGATCGAACTGAAAGAATATCATTTTTCCCTCCAGGCAAAATCTTTTGTCCAACCTCTCGCGAAGTACACCAGCTGGTCCATGCAGTACACAACCAAGCAATCATATATATGTCCATCATGCATGCCTAACAACTTAGACAGAACAAATATGTCTTTTTACTTGAGAGTTAACGGTCAACACACGGTTAAACTGACGGTAGTGGCATGAAAGAGTGCGCAAATTTGGACCAATGGCATATAAGAAAAGAGCCAATTTCCAATGATATATAAGAGATCCGACCAATTTTCAGTGGCATATAAGGATCCGACCTTATTCTAGTCCTCTAGCTACTACTAGTTCAGTACGCATAGTTTCCCAACAGAGCTAGCTCGATCGGCTCGGCTATAAATACCAGATGCCCCAAGCAAACGATACAAAGCAAACACAATCTGAAACAGCCTAGCTAGCTAGCTAACACACCACTAGCTAATTAAGCTCGCTCGATCACTTCATCAGTTAGCATTAGCAATGGCTTCCACCACCAAAGTCGTAGCTCCCCTCCTCGCCTTCACCCTCCTCATCCTCGCCGTCGCGGCGCGCGGCTGTGAGCCCAACTGCTCCGGTGGTCCGGTGATCCCGACGCCGACAACGCCGTCGTACGACCGCCATGGCCACTGCCCCATCGACGCCCTGAAGCTGAGGGTGTGCGCCAACGTGCTCAATGGGCTCGTTGGCGTCAAGATCGGAGCCGGCCCCAACGAGTGCTGCTCGCTGCTGCAGGGGATCGCCGACCTCGACGCCGCCGTCTGCCTCTGCACCGCCGTCAAGGCCAATGTGCTGGGCATCAACCTCAACCTCCCCGTCGATCTGAGCCTCATCCTCAACAAGTGCAACAAGATCTACCCATCCGGCTTCACCTGCTAATTGAGCTCAACCATGCATGCATAATTAGTCCTCATGCAATGACTGGCTCTGAAGGCTTGAGTTGCATGATTAAAGATTAATTAATCTTGAAATAATTATCTTGTTTACTCGCTTCTGCATTTGTGGCTAGCTCGTTCTATATTGTATTGTACCTTACTGTACCATTAATTCTTTAATAATGATTACTTCATTGTTGTGAGCTACCTTAATACTCCCTCTGTTTCTTATAAGGTGTTTTAACTTTGATCAAAGTCAAACTGTTTGACCAAATTTATTAAAAAAAGTAATATTTTTAACCCATGATAAATTTATTATAAAAATATATTTTATTATTTTTTTTATAAAACTAATTTGTTAATGTAAATATTACTATACTTGTCTATAAACTTAGTTAAATTTGAAGTAGTTTAACTTTGACCAAAGTCAAAATATCTTGTAACCTAAAATGGAGGGAGTATTGTTTTTCACGAGATAGCTTTCATATGGCTTGAAAAACGCTCTCACGACCTATATATATTTGATGTTGATTTATTCACACATGTTTAACACATATAAAGCGGATCGGAATTTTTTGTATTTTTTGGAAAATTCACTGGGGGGAGAGCTTTCCCACCTGAATTCATTAAAAGGGAGCAAAGGGCAGTTTTACAAAGTCCAGAGCATTACATATTGAGAGAGCGGAGGGAGGAAGAAAAGAGATCTTTCCAGGTCGAAATTACATGTCTGTCTTCTACTTTGATTTCCCCCCCCCCCCAAGAGGGAGGCGTCCTCGATACATTGCTGCAGCAAACGGCGCAAAGAGGGAGCCTCGTGTCTCAAGACAACCCCGTGGTGGTGATTCCACATGTTCCAAAAGCATACTCCCTCCGTTTCACAATGTAAGTCATTCTAACATTTCCCATATTCATATTGATGTTAATGAATCTAGATAGATATATATGTATGTGGGAAATACTAGAATGACTTACATTGTGAAACGGAGGAAGTAGCAAGTAGAACACCCTAAAGTGCTTCAAGGGAACTTGAGGCGGGGTGGGGAGAGAAGCAATCTCAGCAAGCGTCGCAACATTGACCGGTATATTCATCGCGCCCCAGAAGGCCACAGCGAAGGGGCACTGGAAGCATATATAGGTGGAGGGCTGTTTCATCAGCAAAGTTGCAAAGATCACAGGTTGGAGCCGGCACTATGGTTTTCTTATGCAAGCTGCGTTTTGTTGGGAGACGATCTTTAGTCAAGAGCCAGGCAAAAAAACTGAACTTTCCAGTTGGGGCACTTCTCCATCTCGTCGTATTCTGCAACAAGATAAAGATGCCTTGTTTTTAAGATCCCAGGGGCGCCTTTCTTGGTGCGAACATCTTGCTGATCAGTCACTGAGCACTGCATCAAGAAGCTGCTAAGATGGTTGAAGTGCCCTGGAGCACTGCGGATCGGAAATTTGGAATCGACCTGGAGCATAGCTAGTCGTAATAACAAAAAAGATTTTTTTTCTCGGTCCGTATTATGCTCGGACTAGCTAGCTGTATGCGTTTATCCGCGTAACAAAAAAAATAATAATCTGAGATTTCCACTAGAACACAACGAATAGAGATCACGAAAATAAACATTATATATATATATATATATATATATATATATATATATATATATATATATATTCTTTTTGTCAAATTTATAATAGCATGAATCAAATTAATCTCTCTGTTTTGAACAACCAACTGATAGAGACAATCAGATACACCATTTCATACAAAGTCTGAAATTAATTAATCACAATTCACAGGTACTGTACGGATTCGGGGTCGTCGTAGTCCCAGTCCCCGAAGATGACACGGCTCATGTCGATCTTGGTCCACTCCTCCTCCATCGCCGCCTGGATCGCCGCCGTCTCAGCGAAGTAGCTCTCGCCGACCATGTAGCAGCCGTCGTTCTCGACGGCGCGGCGAACCTCCTCCTGGAACGCCTCGAACTCGTCGCCCAGCTCGGCGTCCTCCACTTCCCCCTCGCGCTCCTCCGGCGAGAGGCTCTCCATGTACTCGGGGCTCCGCCGTGGGTTCCTCTTCAGTGTCAGGATGGAAGCGACGTAGTTGTCAGGCATCCGCACCTTCTTCTTCTTCGCAGCAGCAGCGCATGGCTTCTTCTGCTAGTCGGCGACGACATACTTGGCTGCTCCGGCGATGACCTGAGCAGCAGCAGGAGGAGGCGCCGCCGCCGTCGCTGCCGAGCCGGTGATCGCCTTCTTCTCCTCCTCTTCTGCCATGGTGTGGATGTCGCGCTCTTGATCCAGCTTACTCGCGCGCTCCACCGCCGGCGGTGCTCGTCGTCGTTACCCTCGCCGGCCGCCGCGATGCGCTCGGTGATTGGCGGCGGCGGTGGGCGGCGTCCCGAGCTTTATGGGGACAAATCCCAATTGATGAGAGATCCGACTCGGATTCTGATCTGATCTTGCTCCGGCCTCAAAACTAATTGGGCCGGGCCTGCAGGCCTAACATATTCCCAAACGCAGCATTTTTGGTGGGCTTCCCTTTCCTGCCGGCCCATGCTTGAAATGATTAATCAGATTAGGCCCGTTTAGAAGAAGACAGCCCACCTTGCTGCGTTGCCACCGTACGTAGTTCGACGCCGTCTCCGTCGCCGGACGTCCGCCGCCTGCCAGTGTACGATCCTTTGTCAATGCATGCACGTGGTTTTCATACTTAATTCGATTAGATGGCCTTAATTTCATCTAAAACTGATTCGAGCTACTGAATTATTTTACCGATCGATTAGCTAGCTAAACTGGTAATATAACAAACCTAGAAAATGAGCATATATAGCACAGCTCATTATATCATGGGGATAAAGGTCGTAGCTCTAGCTAGTTATACGTTCGTCGTCTGGTGCAGAGACAGCAGACGACTTCCAGCTATAAGCTAGTTTGTTTTCAGTTCTCACTTCAGACTTCAGAGTTGTACAGAGTTCAGACTTTCAGACCAGTCGGCAATTAGTCCCACGCATCCCTGCATTATTCATCAAATTGTCCAGCCAGTCGTACGTATTTATTTATATATATATATATATATATCTTGCGTGGATATACAATATAATCCTGTAAAGCTGTTATGTAATCTCCTCGGGATACCAGCTTCAATTCCCATCTTTCAATTAATAATGCCTTAGATATGCCCATGCATAATGCTTCTCTGTACATTTCTTCAGAATTAACTCTGTTTTTCTTTTTTCTGTAGAGACCTATACGTACAGGCTACAGCTAAAGAGAAAATCAAATCAACAGGAAATTATGCAAAGTTGCTTAATTGGAAATGAGTAATACTTTGCCAGAATACATCCACTGCCACATGCATGCATGCATGAAAATGAGCGACAAACTGGGGTATTAATCAGAGAGCTGAATATACTATGTGCGTGTGGAGTATAGCGTATACCGTGCGCGCGCATATCCTCCAGTGGGCTAAGCTCCAAACTCATCATCAAGCTGCAGATAATAATCTACTCCCTCCGTTTCAGGTTACAAGACATTTTAACTTTGGTTAATGTCAAACTGTTTTAAATTTAACTAAGTTTATAAATAAATATAATAATATTTATAACACTAAAATAGTTTCATCAAATTAATAATTAAATATATTTTTTCTAGAAACTTGGTTAAATTTAAAGCAGTTTGATTTTGACCAAAGTCAAAACGTCTTATACCCTAAAACTGAGGAAGTATCAGTTAACTATACGCCTATACCTGCTAATGAACCATTATATGTGATATTCTGAATATATGTATATGTACTGATATATGTGTGATTTCAGATATTGTAGTTAGTTATCAGCAAGTTCGGCGCTTGATCTGAGATATTTACTCGTATATATATAAGGTATATAAACAACGTGACAGGCCACTTAGCTGAAATATATAAAACTGTAAGAAAAACAATAGTCGATAGATCGATCGTGAAGTTGTGTGATATATATATATTGCGCAAATATATTAGGCTTAGATACTGGACATGATTGATAAATTGCTGCTCTGCACGTACGCCTATGCATGGCTGAAATAATTAATCAACAACCAATCTAGCTAGCCATTTCCTTCACGGAAAAATCCTTGTCGCATCTGATCTCTAGCAAAACAAGCGGCCCATGCCCATGCATGCAAATCCATCCATGGACACAAACCCAGTGCACATGCATCGTGCATGCAACTAGCTGCAGTGTTCATCTATAAATACCAGACGCCTCAGCCCCAATCCAAAACACAAGCTAATTAAAGCAGCCTTAGCTAGCTAATTAACTCTACTAGCTAAGCTCGATCACTTCATCACACTTGAGCAATGGCTTATTCCAAGATCGCTCCCCTCCTCGCCCTGACCATCCTCCTCTTCGCCGCCGCTGCGCACGGCTGCGCGCCATACTGCCCCGGAGGGGCGCCGCCGGTCATCCCGACGCCGCCGGTGGTGGTGCCGACGCCGCCGGCGCACCACCACCACGGCGGCCACGGCCATGGGCGCTGCCCGATCGACGCCTTGAAGCTGAGGGTGTGTGCCAACGTGCTCAACGGGCTCGTCGGCGTCAAGATCGGAGCTGGCCCCGACGACTGCTGCCCGCTGCTGTCCGGCCTAGCCGACCTCGACGCCGCCGTCTGCCTCTGCACCGCCATCAAGGCCAACGTTCTTGGGATCATCAACCTCAACATCCCCGTCGATCTCAGCCTCATCCTCAACAACTGCGGCAAGATCTGTCCCTCCGATTTCACCTGCTAATTAAGCTCAGCTGCTCAAGCTTGCATACATGGACAAATGCGCAGAAACAATATTCGTAATTAAGCTTATCTATTTCATTCGATGATGGCTAGCTAGCTAGCTGCATGCATGCCGTGGCTATGTCATCCAGAATAAGATGTGTTGTTGTTTTACTCTGTTCCCTTATATCAATTTTGTATTGTGTTGTATTGTATTCGAATTGAATGAGTTAACGAGTTTTGTAAAACCGATTTGTGCTTCATCAATGAAATATCTGTGGTGTAAGATTGTTGTGACAACGATTATTACCAGCAAGATAGTATAGTAGTACTAATCATCATTAACACATTCGCTTTGTGCTTCATGACACCATGAAGCACAAAGGCCCATCCTATACAAAATAAATGCGATTAGGCGGCCCATGGGGCCAAATCCGGCTAACCCAAGCGATCGAAATTTGGATGGGCCTAACTTCTCTCCGCGCACATCCGCGTTAATGGGCCGGGGCGCGACGGGATGGCCCATGGCTGGCTCGATCCATCAGCAGCCACGCGCGCATGGTGATTTCTCGCCGGAACGCCGCCGCCGTCGAGCTTGCGTTCGTCGTCCGTCCACCGCTGCAGCCTCCGTCCGATTCTTGCATGAATCCGTACGACGTCTTCTTGTCCAGCAAAAGATGGAGAATCACTGCGCCATTGCGACCAACATGCTAGCAGCGCGCACGCATATGCATGCAAAGGAGCTTTGAATTAACTAGGAGTAGCATTTTCTTTCCTCCCCACCGCCATGAACATGAATGCTTCTTAGGCACTGTTATTTTCTCTAACAAAAACTGGATAAAAGTGGCGCGCTTTTTAAACTGCTAAACGGTGTGTTTTGTGTGAAAACTTTCTATATTAAAGTTGTTCTAAAATATAAGATTGATTCATTTTTCAAGTTTGTAATAATTAAAAACTCAATTAATCACATGTTATTACCACCTCATTTTGCGTGAAGCACTTAATTTTTATCTTCATCTACATCTTCAGGAGATTCAAACACTGTCTTGGTGTGACTAGATAACGGTATACCATTCAATCAATGGAATATTTTACATGCTGATGTCACCATGATATTAGCATGATACCGTAGGTACCAATACTCACATGTATTAGGTTATGGCACCTAAGTAGCATTTTAATGTTAGCAGATACCTTAGGTACGGGTCCGTCCGGTATCAAGAGTACCCGACGTGATACCCATATACCAGATCTGGTATCTAGGTAACATGATGACATTAGGATGGTGTTTACAAATGTAAACTATATCGGATAGCATTTTATAGTATTTCCGTAGCATAGTACTCTCTCTTTCGGAATGTTAGATATTTTGGTGAAATTTGACTAAATTTATAGAAAAATATAATAACATCCACAATAGCAAATTAATTTTATTAAACCTACTATTAAATATATTTTTATAATATATTTGGTTGGTCTAAACCATGTTAATTACTACTTTTCTTATATAAATTTGACTTCAGATTAAAAGCTAAACATCTTACGTTCTAAAACAGAGGGATTAGATAACACTAAATTATCATGATTATTACAACACTGTGGCTGATTTTATCCGGTCTATATATCCTTTAATTTTCAGCCTGTCGGTGCGTGAGAACCATTTTCGCATGCTTGTATTCGTGTTTGTCTTTTGGCCGGGCCTCATAATGTTGACTATATATGTATCGTGCATATGATACGTGTATATAAATTAAAGAAAAAAAAACCCTGAAAGGCTGCAATGCGTGTAACCGTATCGAAAAGCTTCAGGCCCGGTTGTCATGCCCATGATTTCTGCTTTGTCGTCCTTCTCACGTCGTTGCAGTTTGCAGATTGTAGAGTTAGTATCTACAAGTCATCTACTCACACAAGATGACTCTTTAAAGAACTGTTCATTGTTCAACACTGTCACAATAATAATATATCATGGACAGTGTACTCCTTTTCAGAACTCTCTTTTGTTGTTTAGCAATCACTGGGGCGAAAAAATAGCTGGAATAATAATCAAACTGTGCATATGTATATATATTAATTAGTTTGCTTGCAATGGAGAACAAATGCCTTGTGTCAATGCGTTGTACACAACACATCACGACATGCAGAAAAAGTGTGCTGCAAACCAGCTGGGTACTGGGGCTACACACACCTATCTATTATTCATCCTGCAAGCTCACATATGCTGCATGTACTCGTCGATCGACATAGATGGTCCGGCACAACCAATGGCAGTGGGTGTTTTCAACACCTCTCGATCTGCAGCTGATCTCAACAGTTTATTTTATATGATGGTGTAACCATCTAATATACCATGTTGCTGATAATTTTTAACCAGAGCAATTAATCGGAGCATGGCCCTAGTGTTGAACAATTTGCACTTTCACAGTCAGGTGTAACATTTTGTACATTCAGCATAATGGTATGCTCTTTGCGCTTTTTCAGCCCTTGTGTAACACAGCAGGATTTCAAAAACACAAGGATAAAAAAACGTATAAATAGAATAGCATGCCACAACAAATCATACAGGATTTTTTTAAAGAAATGTTACAGGAAATGAATCCACTGAATTTTTTTTTTTAAAAAAAAGTTTGGTAACACCATAGGAGAAGTAAAGGAATTAGGAGTCACGACTCATGATGAAGAGAAAACATGAGATTTAGGCTCATGTTAATTTTCCTCCAAAATTTGTTGAAATGAGCCATTCCATATGAATTTCAAAGGATTTTATATGAGTCATTCATTTGTTCGTAAGGACAATATAGGAACATTTTTCAATGAATTGTAATCCTCTATAATTTCTACAGTTCTCCTTTATCCCAAAGGAATCTTTACGTACGCACAGGTAAAATTGGGACTCCCATGATCCCATCTTTACCAGAAGGGGCGAGCTAGAGGATTGCCGTGCGTAAATTTGCACGGTGCTAGCTAGCTAGATTTTGAAAGTAGATGAACCGATATATAACACTTTGGGTTTCATACTTTCATTAGTCCACATGAACATCGAACCCTAGCTTAGACACGGCATAAATCGATCGAGGCATGGACGCATGTATCAGTATTTGCATGATTGCTCGATCGAGATTATATTACCCTCTTACACATGCATGCATGGGGGAATAATTCAACAACGTCTGAATGTCTGATTCCTCATGGAAAATTCCTTGTCACATCTCTTTCTCTGAGTACTCTAACGAACAACTGGCCATGTATGCACATGCACCCCAGAGACAACCTAGCTACGTACCCTGCATCTGACACCCCCACATGCACGTACCATTGCATCTGCTTACTTCGGATTGATAATACTTACAGTGAACAACACGGTCTCTTAAAAAATAGCTTTGATTACTATTTCTATTATAATATATATAGAAATATTAACAAATATATAATTTTATTAGATCTTAACAAGCATTTCTCCATATTCATCCCTGAAAGTTGGTTTTTATAGGACGAGAGGAGTACATATTTTTTAAGAAAATTATTTTATAAATTATTTATAATCAAATATTTTAAAATTCGATCTTAATTTTGTCCGAAACAACGAGTATTATAAGAGCTTATTTGGTAGAGCTCCAACTCCTAAATTTAGCTTCAAGAGTTAGATCTGAAGTAGAGTTATATGAAGCTGCTTAAACCCAACTTTGCATGTCTAGTTCATTTTGGAGATAGCTCTACACAGCTCAGCTGAAATTGTTTGGTGAAGCTAGAGCTGTGCCAAACAGGGCCTCCGTCTGGAGAGAAAGTAGCAACGCATCCATGCAAACCACTCTTGCTATAGGCTCGATCGGCTATAAATACAAGACGCCATGACACCCCAAGCAAACCAACCCAAAGCAACACAAGCCATAGCAGCAGAGCCGAGTAGCTGAGCTCACTGTTCGATCGATCACTAGCTCGCTAGCTGCATCCATGGCTGCTTCCAAGGTCGCTCCCGTCCTGGCCCTGAGCCTCCTCCTCCTCGCCGTCGCGGCGCACGGCTGCGAGCCCCACTGCTCCGGCGGCGGCGCGCCGGCGGTCGTCATACCGACGCCGACGGTGGTGGTGCCACTGCCGTCGTTCGGCGGCGCCCATGGCGGCTACGGCGGCTACGGCCATGGCCGCTGCCCGATCGACGCGCTGAAGCTGCGGGTGTGCGCCAACGTGCTCAACGGCGCGCTCGGCGTGAACGTCGGCCATGGCCCCTACGACTGCTGCCCGCTGCTCGCCGGCCTCGCCGACGCCGACGCCGCCGTCTGCCTCTGCACCGCCGTGAAGGCCAACGTGCTCGGCGTCAACCTCAACGTCCCCGTCGAGCTCAAGCTCATCCTCAACAAGTGCGGCAAGACCTGCCCCTCCGACTTCACCTGCTAATTAATTGAGCATGGAAAGTGCTCAAACCATTTGCGCAAAATTAATGCATATTTATATTATATTTAATTGAGTTTGTTTTCATGCAATGGCCATTGGTAAGTTGCATGATGCATGAGTAAGCCGGCCTGAATAAGCTATTATCCCCCCTTGTGTTAGTTTAATTAATTTGTTGCATCCGCATTAATTTGTTGTACCATTGGAATCACTCACTTGTAATTTGTTGTTGTATAACCAATGCATTGTGATCATCATCAATTAATATATTTTCATTTTTAATATGATCGTTCTTTCTGATCTATGAACACGTAAGATCGATCGATCGATCAAGCTAATGAATCTGACGACCATATCATGGCGAAGCATCAATTCTGAATTTCTGTTTGTGACCACAACCGAATCGATCCGGAGCGCAACAACAGAAGCCGCGCGCAGTGCTCAAACTGGGGCTGTGGGCTGTGGCCCACATATGCAGACATCGCGACTAAAGGGCCCGGCCCATTCGTTGCACGGCCCAAACACACATGAATCTGCTGCGGGGTCATCCTCCTTTATCTGAACCACACGATTTCAATCTAACGGTGCAGGACATGACGGCACAGAACGGCCCCATCTCACGTCCTTCCTGGAATCCGCCGCCGTCCGCCGGAGCTCCGCCGCCATCCGTTCACCGGCATTGTTACACAGACCCCTTATCCTACTCCAACTTCTTCTCGATGGCATTCCACCCAGCTTGTGACTCGCGACTTTGTGAGTACATGATAAAAAAAACTTAAAATTCAGATAGATATTCTGACATGAAAATTGAATGATCTCATCTTTTCGCTTATGCTTATACTTGTTAGCTAAAATTTGAATTTTTAACCTTAAATTTGAAGTTGATTTTGAGGTTTTTTTCATCGAAGTTTATTTTTCAATCGACTCCACTGCTCCAGAAGTGTGAAGCACATGAAGGTAAGGTTCAGTCAGTCATGGGTGCATCACAACTCACAAGTTCACACCTCTTACATCTTGAGATGCATCGATCACACGGGGCACAGCAAAAATCAGCTAGCTAGCTCATTGGTTCGGGATTAATTGCATCTCAAGAGTTCAGACTTCAGTCTTCAGAGGCAATGACCGTCCTTCCCTCTTTGGATCAATTTCAGATGAATATTGAGTGTGGTCCACAAATTTTGGACCAAATTAATTAAAACGATCATTTGGGACTTGGGAGCGCCTTTACAAACCACCGCTAGATCAGAAGCGAAGACCACAGATTGAAGATGAATTAATTCATTTATTTGTGTACAATTAGGTTCTACATTGATCGAGCTGCATAGGTGCCCGCACCAATCGGACAAAGCCACACACATATATAGTGATCCCATTAATTTGCCCATCGAATGATGACGCGACGGCGCCGAATCTAATAATGCCCTGACCCTATGGTCTCCGGCACATACATGCCTCGTCATATGAGCTTACTTAATTAAGCACCGCAAACTTGAAGGTGAAGGTGTACTTCACATGAACATTACAGATCGATCGATGCCACTTCATTCGTGCACGGATATACTGTATGCACCAATATTGTCGACCACAAGATCGTTTAAGAGTACAGGTAGAATACCCAGATATATAGCTTAGTTAATTATTAAGTCCGTCCAAAAATATACTCTCTCTGTTTTTCTCTCTGTTTTAGGTTATAAGATTTTTGATTTTAGTCAAAATCAAACTGTTTTAAATTTAATAGATAAATATAGCAATATTTATATTATCAAATTAGTTTTATTATATTAATAATTAAATATATTTTATAATAATTTTATCTTGGATTGAAAATATTATTATTTTTTTCTATAAATTTGGTTAAACTTAAAGCAGTTTGACTTTAACCAAAGTCAAAAACATCTTGTAACCTGAAACGGAGAGAGTAACAACCTAATTTCTATCCAGATTCGTGATACTAAAATGTATCAGTATCTAGTATTATGTTGTTATGTAATTGCCGGAACAACAAATGCCGGGCCGACTCAAGCAAATGCATGCCTAGCTCACTCACTCAGCTCAGCTCAATCCCCTGCTATAAATTCACTAGCTAGCTTGTGCACTGCACACAACACACACACTGAACTCTCACATAAACACTTCAACTCATCCCTTAGCTAGAGCTATAGCTAGTGTGTCAATTAGCAATGGCGGTGGCGCACAAGAACAGTAGTAGAAACAAGCTTGCAGTCGCCGCCATTGTGGCGCTGATGAGCCTCCTCGTGTTCGCCGCGGCGCCGTCGGAGGCATGCGGCGGCCGCTGCAACGGCGGCGCCTGCAGATCGCGGTGCGCCAAACCGACGCCGGCGCCGGCGCGCCGCGCCGCCGGCGCCAAGTGCCCGTTCGACGCGCTGAAGCTGGCGGCGTGCGCCGACGTGCTGGGCGGCGGCGGCGGAGGAGGAGGGCTGCTGAACCTGGGCCATCTGCTGGGGAACTCGTCGCCGTCGTCCTCCGGCGAGCAGTGCTGCGGGCTCCTCGCCGGCCTCGCCGACGTGGACGCCGCCGTGTGCCTCTGCACGGCGCTGCGCGCCAACGTGCTCGGCCTCGTCGGCGTCGAGCCGCACGTCCAGCTCAGCGTCCTCGTCAACCGCTGCAGCAGGAAGCTCCCCAATGGCTTCCAGTGCTCCAGCAACTAGCTAATTAAGCTAGCTAATTTGATTATATCTGAATTAATTAGTGCTTGATGAGCAGCTCATGCAGCTATTGTTATTGTTCGCTTATTTGATTTGTTGTTAATTGCTTTCGGTGTCGTGTGTGATCGTGTAGCGCATGCTTACTACTTTGATGACCGATGTTGAGTTAATTAATTCCTGTGCTTGAGTGAGTGACATTACATCTACATGTACCTCGGAGTTGATTTGTGCTTTTGCGTGCTAAAGTTCGTTATAAAAATCTTGTGTTGAATATATGTTGCTCGAGTAATATACCGTATATGTGATTCTGAATCTGAGCTGAATATGGAATAGTCAGTGTTTAATCTGCATGCATGGAGCAAGATTCCGAGAAACAACCGGTGAGTAAACTAGCGAGAATCTGAAAAGGAATGAGTTTGCCAACTTTTGAAATTCTGCAACTACAAATTATCAGAATGCAAGTCAAAATATGGAATGTTTAGAGCAACCGGGGATTATTCTCAAAGTTAAAGCTGCTATAGGCACCCCCAAAACAGGGCCAAGAGCTGGTTTGGAAACAATGCCAGAATCCATAACTCGTCTCATTTCTACAGCTTAAAGCCAGGTTGCACCTATAGAACATTGCCCAACAGATGAATGGCGCAAACCGTGGTTCAGACTCCAGGGCATTCTGTAAGAAGTTACAGGGCAAATATAGGCACTTGAAAATTCTAACTTTAAATCGTCAAGAGTCAATTCCTTAGCATGTGCAATAGTTGCTCAAAGACACTCATCGCATTATTATAGAACAAAGCCATGCTTGGCAGGATTCAGCAAATCACAAGATTGTAACTTATAAAAATACAGCGACAACAAAGACAACCATCAGGAACATTGGAATTGTCCTGTTTTTTTCTCTGATTAAAGAAGGCAAGAGAATTCAGTCCATCACATCACTTGAGGAAGTGGGGTCTTCTTCTATGGTCTATCACCAAGTTCCTCTCTCAAATTGTCAAATGGGTAGACTTTTGGAGTCTGCATGAAGAAATATAAAAAATCCTCAGTCAAGTTGTTCATAAAAGCAAATCAAAAGCAGACAGGCATCATTTGTCGTGATTAGGATGAACCATTATCTTAACTTGATCCGGTCTATGCTCAGAAATAGTATGCATATTTCTTTGCCCATTGGCGACAAAATATGCAACAGGCTTGCTACTGTAACAAGTGTTACTTTAATGACTGATCGCACAATCTAATAGCATTCTGGCAAATATAAGGAGATAAATTGAAAATACAGTATTGCCCCCTCTCTTTTGTGAACCTTCATTCTTCAATTAAGTTACAGACCTGGAACACTGAAGAGGCAAGTTGCTTAACATGTATAGTAACTCTGCTATCTGCTGACACTTTTAAGGAGCAAATCAACTCTTGGGGGGATTTCATCTATGGCAGAGAAGCAACTTAGAGAAAGTAAGAGACTGTGTAGCCTGTACGGAGTATCGAACACGGATAATATGTACAAATAAAATCCTACATGCTTCAAAGTTCGCAACAGTTTAGCCTACCACACCATGTCACCATGATATCTCTATGAACTATGAAGCTAGACCAAACACCTCCCTTTTTCCCCTAAAAAAAACTCCCTTTTCAGAATCGAAATTGGATAGGTGCTGAGAAAGGAGACTAATAGGTCAGAAAATTGAAGGGTTAAAGAGTTCTACAAAGACCACACAAAGTTATTATCACAGCCCCACTCCATGATTCAACTCAAACTAGTGCCTAGTATGATCACATTGAGGTAATATTTAGTGTTACATATAGACCAACAGAACATGATAATCAATACTACTACCTCCATTTCACAATGTAAGACTTTCTAACATTGTCCATATTCATATAGATGTTAATGAATTTAGACGCATATTTGTGTTTATATTCATTAACATCTATATGAATATGGGTAATGCTAGAAAGTCTTACATTGTGAAACGGAGGGAGTACAATTCAAGTAATATAAATCAAGGCTTTTACATATGAGGAAACACAATGAAGTTATATTTACAGAAGATGCTAAAATATAGAGTGCATGGCCTGATCAAGAAGTAAATTTAGGCATAGTGAGTAAAATGTTCCCTAAGAATATCACAGATTCTATAAAATAACACCTCATACAATATCCTCTCATCCAAAAACATTTGAAGGCAGCTAATAAGGGTGACTAAATTCAGCTTGCTAACAGAGAGTGGCAATACGCCATATATATTTGTAACTGTTTGATACAAGAGGATAAGAGCACATGACTGATTGCATTTAGGATTTAAAATATACATCCTTCAAAAATGCCATCTATTCATCATATTTTCTTACAGTACAACTAGGTCTATGATTGTTTAGTCTAGTGATGATTTCTTTTTATGAAAATGGACAACAATGATCTCAATTCCATTAAATCATTTTCAAACTCTTTTTTTTCCCTCTTTTGCTGATTCTATAAATTGGAGGGTAGGAACAATATAAAATTACTCTTTGCTATATGACTATATAGCTAGGAGCAATATAGAATTACTTGTCAGTATATACTATATAGTAGCAAGGAACAGATCGAACCCAAGGAGCTATTGTTCAACAGAAAACTTCAATGTGCATTGTTAATTCAATAATATAATTAATGCAGATGATCAGCATACTCCCTTAGTGGCCTAATCCTCATAGAAGTTATCTGGAGGCAAAATCTTCTAACTTGAGAATGACTAGATATAACATTTAGACATATTAACTGTGCCACCTAGAGAATCATGTGAGCAAAATGGAAGGAAAGGAATTTGCAGAAACAACGGCAGGTCCTAATGGGCGAAATAAAGGTTTAACTATGACACAGGGATTGAATCACAGTGGCCATTTCCCATCTTAATGTTTTCCCCATCCCTGCAATGTTTTCTTGGCTATTTGGTCTAACCTTACAGTATTACTTTGTTCACTCCTACTGTTGTTGAAATGCTAGCAATTCTACTGTTTGTCCATCCAACAGAAAGTAAAATATCACAATGAAGTATTTGGCACTCACATAGGGGATCTTGGAGGCCTTGTCGTTCAAGGTGGCAGCCAAGCCAAGAGTAGCGAAGAATCCGAGCCCACCGCAAAGCCAGGCCAGCGCCTCGTACTGACCAAATAGCATCACATCAAATCAAACCAGATGAGACCCCCACGAATCCATGTGATTCAGTGCATGAGGGTTGGGAATCAGACCTTGCCGATGTGCGGCGCGAGGCGGTCGATGCAGGGCTCCGGGAAGGGCGTGCCGTTGTCCCACACCAGCTCGTCGTTCGTCGGCAGCTGCAAATTCCCCAAATCCCCCCGCAAATCGAATCGATTAGATGGAGAAATCGCATCGGCGGAGAGAGAAATCGGAGGAGCACAAGGTCGATGAGAGGGGGGGGGAGAGGTGTGGCGAGAGACGGCTTACGGGCTTGTCGGGGACGATGTGCCTGCCGACGGGGAGGCCCATGCCGGCGCGGTGGCGGAGCGCGGACACCGCGGCGCGGGCAGCGGCGCCCTGGCCGCCCAGGACGCGGGATCCCGCCGCGGTCAGCCTCCCTGCCATTCCCACCTCGCTCTCGCTCTCGCCTCTCGGATCTGCGCGTGCGGTTGTGGGTGACGTCGTCTCGTGTGCGGTTGTGCTCGTCGGCGGCGGCGGCGGAGAGGAGGAAGACGCAGGAGTGTAGGTGGGCTTCAGTTCAGCCTTCGCATTGTGGGCCCGTGGGCCGAGTGGAGAAGGCAAGTATTGGGTCAACCAAACGGCCTAGTCGCTGCATGGCCCAAACGCCTCTTTTGGGGGTTCGGAGAATAAAACCACAGCAATCATCACACGCGCATCAGCGATATATATTTTTTATTTTTTTTGTTTTTTGTTGCCGTTTTGGTTTGATCGGTTGATCCGAAAACTGGATATGAGAAATTGTCGGACGAAATTTGCACTTTCTGGCTAGGTGACTGCTGATGGAGTCACACGTACATATTCAGTTCAGTTGTTAAGGCTGTGTTTAGTTCCTAAAATTGAGAAGAAGTTTAAGAAAAGTTAATAGTTTTAAAAAAAAGTTGAGAGTTTATGTGAGTAGAAAAATTTTGTATTTAATGCGATGTGATGGAAAGTTGGAAGTTTAGGAAAAGTTTAATGTGAATTAAACAGGGTCTAAGGTGATGAGCTGCTAGCTACTACTCCTACCTTGCAAATGTTGCCAAAATGAACTAGCTAGGGCATGAATTATGGGATCAGCGATCAGTATAGGTTTCAGAAAGCGCACAAACATTTCCACTCAACAGTACAGTACGCGCGGTTGGACGAGCCATAATTAATTCAGATATACAGTATGCTGCTCCGTTTGGTTAATTCCAGGTCGCCATTATTAAAGTAGGTCATGAGATAACAGTCCCTCCATCTCTGTCACTAAGAGCACCCACAATCTATCTAATAAAACATGTACATCTCAGCAATAGACTAGATTAATAGTAAACCACCTCAATAGTATGTCTACATGGGTATCTATAGCTCTCTAATCCATTGTCTCGTTTTTCTCTATAGACTATCTCTAGGTTAGTAGATAATTTTGCTCTCTCTCTTTATTTAATCTCTTTCAAGTAGGAAAATATGCTGACATGGATCTCTTATAGATAGCCTATAAATAACCATTGTGGGTGCCCTAACAGCTACTCCCTCCGTCCCAAAAAAAAGGCAAACTCTGGGTTTCCGTGCCAACGTTTGACTGTCCGTCTTATATGAAATTTTTTTATAATTATTATTTTTATTGTTGTTAGATGATAAAACATGATTAATACTTTATACGTGACTTATCTTTTTAATTTTTTTTATAATTTTTTTAAATAAGGCGAATGATCAAATGTTAGACACGGAAACTAGGGTTTATCTTTTTTTTGGACGGATGGAGTAGGAGTATTCAGGTCATGACTCATGAGTGCTATCTGTCTCTACGGTATTTCTGAAGAAAACCACACGGCAAATGGCACAAGTCAATCCTACGTGCTCCACTGTAGAATCTAGTCCTATAGTCCCATATACTCTTGACAAGTACTGTTGCTTATTGTGATATCATAATGCAATTAGTACTTTATTACTTATTAGTGAGTACTCCTACGTTCAGAAGCAACTTATTAGTTAACTGACTAACTGCATATTTAATTAAGCGGCTAAGTTGCGCGCGGTTCTTTACCCATCAAATTGCATAATCTGTAATGCGGTTCCAAGAACAGCTTGAGTAAAATGAGACAGAGATCCAGTCTCACTCGCTCACCGAAAACATGAAAATTCAGAACGTACAGTCTGCAAGAAATCTCCTCGCACTCGCCGACGTCCGTGCTATCCGTACGTCTCCGGCGGCGACCCCTCCTAGGATTGACACACAGTGAGAGGGGCCGCGTGGACCCAGTCTCTTTTTAGCCCAAATGTCTCCTTGGGGATTCCACCTCCGACGAACCACTGGGCACTTGCATTTGTTCGGGGTTTAGCCTTCATCCGAAATCTGAAAACGAGTAATTCGGAGATCTCCTCTGACATCCGAGAATTGATGCAGATCATGCATCACCGTGTGTGTTTAGTTCACGTCAAAATTAAAAATTTGGTTAAAATTTGAACGATGTGATGAAAAAGTTAGAAGTTTATGTGTGTAGAAAAGTTTGGATGTGATGAAAAAGTTAAAAGTTTGAAGAAAAATGTCAGGATAAGCAAGGAAGCTGACGTTACCAATAGGAGGCGCGATAAGGACTCTGACGAAGGCGGAGGAGCAGAAGACGGAGGAGCAGAAGGCGTCTTTGAAAGAGAGAAGCGCCAGAGTATTACTAATCCTAGATATGTTGGGCCGGAATGGGCCGTGTAATAGGGTAGAGTGGGCTGAGACCTTGTGGCACAGCTGGAGAGAGAGAGAGAGAGATTAAAAACTACTGTGTACTGTCTGAAACGGCATCGATCTGGAACTCGGCGGTCAAGGCAGCGGCGGCGGCTCCGATCCTGTTGGATCGTGAGAGAAATACAAAGTTCCAGCTACCTATCGTGTTCTTGAGTTCGTGGTGAAATCGAGTGCTAGGGTTCTAACAATCTGGTATCAGAGCCATCTCCAACCATATCCTCTTGACTCGGCCGTAGAATCACGAAGCGCGGATTGGAATCTGCTCTCGAGCAGAATCCGCAAAAAGGGAACTCGCTTCCCTTGCTGCGTTTGGGTTGGCTGAGTTCGGAGCGGTTGCGAGTCTTTGATCCTGGAGAAACCACGGTACGTTACGAAGTAGGCTGCGCAAATCATGGCGTAGGAAGGGATGTTGGATTTGCTGCTTAAAACCCTGGAGGATATTGAGAAGATGCGGACTGAGGCGGAAGAAAGAAACAGAGCAGATCTGAATGAGTTCATGGCGGCGGTGGAAGCGAGGTTGCCTCAAGTAGAGAAACGAGTTGGGGATTTGCATTCGTCGCTGGGGGATTTGAGTGCTAAGGTGGAACAACTGGAGAGCGCCATGCTTCGTCAGGCCAAGGCGGAGAAGGCGGTGGGAGACATCAAGGAGGAACCAACAGCTGCATCGCCATCACCAACTCCATCGTTTATCCATGGTATGAGAGATCCTATGTTGAATTCTATTTCGCCTTTTGTGGTAGAATCAGCAGGAGTACCAGAAGGGGGTAGTGGAAGTACTGGAATTATTGTTGGAAGTGTTCCACCCATGACATGTCCTCAGTTCAATGGGGATAATCCACAGATGTGGAAGGCTAATTGTGAAGTGTATTTCAATGTTTACGGCATTCCTCCTGGGCAGTGGGTTAAGGTGGCTACGCTGAATTTTGTTGGCAACGCAGCATTTTGGTTGCAATCTGTGCGAAACCAGTTGATTGGCATTACTTGGTTTGATTTATGTGAAAGAGTCTGTGCTCGATTTACTCGAGATAGGCATGAAGCTATGGTGAGACAATATATACACATCAGGCAAACCAATTCAGTTTCAGAATATGTAGAGCGATTCGACTGTCTAATGCATCGGCTGTTGGCATATGACCAGACTGTGCCTGCATTGTACTTTGTCACAAAATTTGTTGATGGCCTTAAGGATGAGGTGAGGAGATCTGTTATGATGATGAGGCCCCAAGATATGGATGTGGCCTGTTCTCTGGCTTTGTTACAGGAAGAAGCTATGGAAGGAAGTAGACCCACACCTTATAAGAGGACTGAAGGCAGCAATTATGTCAAGACATCCAGCAAGCTCACAGCCCCAACTCTGTCTATGACAAGAGAACCAAACCAAATCAACACTGAAGAAAGGAGAACTGCTGATTCTAACAGACCAAAGGAAGATAGGCTGGCAGCATTAAAGGCGTATAGGAGGTCGAAAGGCTTATGTTTCACTTGTGGGGAGAGATGGGGGAGAGACCATAAGTGTGCAACTGCAGTACAATTGCATGTTGTTCAAGAGTTGTTGGAAGTTTTACAGGGGGATTCAGGGGAGGACTCACCTACTGAAAGTTCACCAGAAAGGGAAGATATCATTGTTATGGCCATATCTCAGCAAGCGTTAAATGGAACTGAGTCACGCAACTCCATCAGACTTAGGGGGTGGATACAAGGGACTGAACTATTGATGTTAATTGATTCGGGAAGCTCCCACTCTTTTATTGATGAGAAAATTGGGAAATCTATGTCTGGGGTAAAATTGTTGACTAAACCCTTGAAAGTCCAAATTGCTGATGGAGGAGAGTTAGTGTGCTCTCAGGTAATTCCTAACTGTAGTTGGTGGACACAGGGGCACAACTTTAGTAATGATTTCAAGCTTATCCCACTGGGAGGTTATGACATAATTCTTGGAATGGATTGGTTAGAGCAGTATAGCCCCATGAAAATTTATTGGGTTAACAAATGGGTGGAGTTTCAGTACCAAAATCAGTGGCTCAGAGTATTGGGAATCAGCAGTAGCACTACTAGCTATGCAGAAATATCTGTGGAACAATTGATGAGTTTGGCCAAGATGGGCTCTATTATGTACATGGTGAAAATCACTGACCACCAAAACACAGAAGAGCAGTCCTATCCAGATAGCATTAAGCAGATTCTCTTGGAATATCATGATGTCTTTGATGAACCATCTGAACTACCACCAGAAAGGTACTGTGATCATCAGATTCCCTTGATAGAAGGTGCCAAACCAGTAAGTCTTAGGCCCTACAAGTATAACCCCGAACTCAAAGATGAAATTGAACGTCAGGTGAAGGAGATGTTAGACTCAGGGGTAATTCAACCAAGTCAGAGTGCTTGGTCTTCCCCTGCTCTTTTGGTGAGGAAGAAGGATGGTACCTGGCGCCTTTGTGTAGATTACAGACACCTGAATGCCTTAACTGTCAAGAGCAAGTACCCAGTGCCTATAATAGAAGAACTTCTTGATGAATTGTCAGGGTCCAAATGGTTCACTAAACTGGACCTTCGAGCAGGATATCATCAAATTAGGATGAAACCTGGAGAGGAACATAAGACTGCATTCCAGACACACTTAGGTCATTATGAATACAAGGTCATGTCCTTTGGATTAATTGGGGCACCTGCTAGTTTTCAAGGGGCCATGAATGACACATTGTCTTCAGTGCTCAGGAAGTGTGCTTTGGTATTTTTTGACGACATCCTGATATACAGTCCTGACCTTCAGTCACACTGCCAGCACTTAACACAAGTTTTACAACT